ATGACTGGCCGCCTCCTGCACGCCCCCCACTGGGGATCGGGCCCACAACCTGGGCATGTGCCCTGACCAGAAATCGAACCGGTGACCTCTTGGTGCAGGGTTGATGCTCAACCAAAGAGCCATACCAGCTGGGCAGCTTTACAGTAAGTTTTAAAAATATATGTTTTTATTGACTTTTTTTTTTTAGAGAGAGAGGAAGGGAGAGAAAGAGAGAGACATCAATGTGCGAGAGAAACATTGACTGGCTGCCTCCTGCACACACCCTACTGGGGATCGAGCCCACAACCTGAGCTTGTGCCCTGACCAGAAATCGTACTGGGACCTCTCAGTCCATGGGACAATGCTCAATCCACTGAGCCACACTGGCCGGCTAAATGTAACTTTTATAAATACTGGGACACCAAAAAAAAAAAGAATCCATGTGACTCACTTTATTGAGGCAGCCTGGAATCGAACCTGGGATATCTCAGAGGTGTGCCTGTAGTAATGCCCCTTCATTTGTGACTAGAAATTTGAGGCTTCTCCCTTTTCTCTTAGTCAATCTAGCTAAAGTTTAGCCCACTTTGTTGATATTTTTAACAAATGAACCTTTTATTTTATTGATTTTTTTCCTATTTTTATATTCTCTCCACAGTAATCTTTATCACTTCCTTCCTTCTGCTATTTTGGGTTTAGTTTGGGCTTTTGTTGTTGTTGTTGTCTTAATGTGGTGACTATTGGAGAATGTAGATACATTTTAGGAAATTTCATGTCACCGGCTAATTGTAGGGACAATAGAACCAAACGTTAAGCGCTACCCATAAAAAGGAATACAGACTTTGGAAAAAATAATTTGGAAAAGTCACTAAACAAATGGCAGATTGTAGCTCCTCAATAAACAAAACCCGACAATCCACAAGGAGGAAAATCTCATCTTCAGATTTATCTCATTATCACCCTCAGAATGTTCAGGTTTCAACAGACATATACAAAGTGTCCAAAGAAGCGGGGAAAGAAATAATTTTTCCATTCACAGGAAAAAGAAACTTACAGAAGCCATCCCTGCAGAAGTCCATGTATTGGAATTAATAGACAACGGTGTTAGGTCAACCCTCTTTAATATGTTCAACAAGCTAAAGGAAGCCAGGAGAACAAGGCTTGAACAAAGAGAGAATGTCAACAGAAAGGAACCAAAGGAAGCCAGGAGCTGGAAAGTATCACCGGCCACCACCCACACGACCCCAACCAGGGCCGGGGACACACTGCAACTGAGGTATGTGCCCTTAGCAGGAACCAAACCCAGGTCTCTCTGGCCCACAGACTAATGCTCTAACCACTGAGCCAAACCGGCCAGGGCGTGGAATTACCTATTTTAAGGAGCAGGAATAAGAGAATGAAGAGGAAAGGAAGACCCAGGGAGGCCTGTGGGACACCATCCAGAGTAGACTTAGAAAGAGAAGAGAAAGGGGCAAATATTTGATGAAATAATGGCCTGAGACCCCTCAAATTTGATGGACGACGTGAATCCATATATCCATGAATCTCAACAAACTCCAAGCAGGATAAAGTCAAAGAAATCTACATTAGTCAAATCGTCAGAAGCTTGTCCAGCCAGTGTGGCTCAGTGGATTGAGCATCCTCCCATGGACTGACAGGCCCAGGTTCTGTTCTGGGTCAGGGCATATGCCCAGGTTGTGAGCTTGATCCTTAGTAGGGGGTGTGCAGCCGATTGATGTTTCTCTCTCATCTATTTTTTAAAAATTGTCAAAAGTCAAAGTCAGAGAGAATCTGGACAGCAGCCAGAGAGAAATAACGTGTCATACACAAGAGAACCTCAATAATGAGAGATTTCTCATTAGAAGCCTTGAGATGTAACATCCAGAAAGAAAAGGAAACCTGTCAACAAACAATTCTATATCCAGTAAAACTATCTCTCAAAAAGGAAGGCGAAAGTAAGATATTTCCAGATAAGTAAAAGGTCAAGGAATCATTACTAGTAGAAATGTTAAAGAGAGCCCTACAATAAATGCTAAAGGGAGTCCTTCAGGCTGAAAATAAAAAACAATAGACAGCCTGGCCAGTAGGCTTAGTGGCTGAGCATCGACCCTGCACCAAGAGGTCACCGGTTCGATTCCCCGTCAGGGCACATGCCCAGGTTGTGAGCCCAATCTCCAGTGGGGGGCGTGCAGGAGGCGGCCAGTTGATGTTCTCTTTCATCGATGTGTCATCTCTTGCTCCCTTCCTCTCTATCCAAAATAAAGAAAAAAAAATTTTAAAGGACAGTAGACAGTAACTCAAAGCCCCATGAAGTAATACAGAACACTGGAAATGCTAATTACACAGGAAAATATAAAGCTGGTATTATTATAGTTTGGGTTTATAACTACACTTTTTTTTTATATATATATGACTAAACTTGCAAATCCATGAAACTAATTATAAATCTCTGTGAATGGGCACACAACATATAAAGATTTGTCTGTGACAGCGATGGGGAGGGATGGAGACACAGGAGCAGAGTGTCTGTGCACAATTGAAATTAAGTTGGAATTATTCAAACTAGGTTGTTATAAGTTCAAGATTTTAATTGGAACTCCAAAGGAAGCCACTAAGAAAATATTGGGAAAATATACAGAAAAGAAAAATCAAATGGTACACTACAAAAAAACACAACTCCACTAAACACGGAAAGAGACAGTAATGGAGGGACTGAGGAACACAACCCATATAAGATGTAACAGAAAACAAACGACTAAATGGTGGAAGTAAATCCTTTGCTTTCAGTGATTGCTTTACATGTAAACGGATTAGAGCTGTCCACTTCAAAGGCAGAGATTGGTAGGGCACATAAAAATCATGATCAAGCCCTGGCCGGTTTGGCTCAGCGGTTAGAGTGTCGGCCCGGGGTCCAGAGAGACCCGGGTTTGGTTCTCGCTAAGGGCACATGCCTCAGTTGCAGTTTGTCCCCGGCCCCAGTTGGGGTTGTGCGGGAGGCGGCCACTCAATGTGTTGCTCTCACATCGATGTTTCTGTCTCTCTTCCTCTCTCCCCCTCCCACTCTACCTAAAACAAAAATGGAAAAATGTCCTCAGGTGAAGATAAAAAAAAAAAAAAAAGATCACTCTACACACTCTGTAGAAGAGACTCACTTCAGACCCAGAGACACAGGAGACTTTAAGTGAATGGATGGAGCAGGTCATTCCATGTAACTAGTCACCCAAGAGGGCAGTGTGGCTAAATGTCCCACAAAATAGGCCTTAGGTCAAGTGCTCTTGAGAACATATATGTCTGTCTTTGCAATCTCTTAATGCTCACTCAATAGCCATTTCCTTTGTACCTTTGTGGAGAGGACACACTGGGTGGGTTGGCCGACTTTATTGATTTATTTAAATCATTTATTGACCCTTCGAGAGAGAGGGAGAAGGAGAGGGAGAGAGACATTGATGTGAGAGCACATCGATCAGCTGCCCCTCACACCTCTCACTGGGGATCGAGCCCTCAACCTGGAGAACATGCCCCAACCAGGAATTGAACCGGCAACCCCCAGTGCACCAGACGATGCCCAACCGAGCCACACTGGCCAGGGCGAAGACTTTGTAATTGTCTGTCCCAATGGTGTCCACTGTCTACCTCATCTCTATGTTTTTGCAGGAGGCCCACCAGCACTTGGCTCCATGACCACCTGCACCCCTTCATCCTGTCTGCTTTCCTTTCTAAACAGCCCTTTTCATATCCAGATGTCGCCCCCCCCTTAATGTTTATGCCTTTCTTCCGCCTCAGGCAGGGGTCTGTGTCTTGTGCGCACGGAGGGAGCAGGCACACGTCAGGCATCACAGAAGCATTTGGCAAATGGACGGGTGAACGGCAGGGCAACCTTACCATGTCCAAATGCCAACTCCTGTGTCTGCACCCCATCTTTCCCACGGAGCTCCGCCCTCCCGTGGCCGAGACCCAAGCATTTCTGTCTCACTCGTATGCGTGCTGCCCACAGCGGGACACCCGTGACCCCATCTGCCTGCCACGCGTCACCGCTCACCTGTCAGACCCTGATGGAACCTGGCAGCATGTGCCCCTCACCTCTGCAGACTCTGCGCAGGCTGCCCAACTGCCCTGTTCCACATGGTGCCCCTCCCACACTTCCTGTTTGCTGCCCCAGCCTCCTTGCCAACCTCACACTGGCACGGGGCACCCCACAGAATGGCCTGTCTCCCCACACAGGTCAGCTCCAGGCAGGGGGATCAGAGGTCCTGTGGGCCTGGGCTTTAGGGCTAAGAACCTCGACCTGAGAAGCCCTTCAGTCCAGGACAGGCCCCAGGGTGGCCCCCGCTGCAGGACGCACGATCCCTGTCATGCTGTTTGTCCCTGGCGCTGGGTCGGTGCGGCACCCAACGAGTGCTGAGCACCTGCTTGAGGAGCGGATGGGGGGATGAACGGGGCACACAGATGTCCAAAAATCCACCCTGGTTCAACTATGCACCCTGCATGGGTGACCCTTCCACGTCCCTTAGTCATCCCCCATCCTGGGGCCCGGAGGAGGGACGTGCCGTGTTCCTGGCCCAGGCAGTGGGCCTGTTGGGCTGTGGGGCTCTGGGTGTGGTCCTGGAGGGTCAACTGCTGGTGACCCGTGGCCTGGGGCCCAGAAGTCACACTGCAGGGCCAAGGGTCCCTCTGTGGTGGGTGTGACATGTCTTTGAATGGTCCACCGAACAGGTGGCCTCAGAGGCTGCGGGACGTGGCCAGCCCTCGTGGACTGGCTGGGCTGGGGGTTGGGGAGAGGATGGTGGTCTGACCCCTGGGGGGAGCCTGGTGCAGGGGGGGGGGGCTCCAGGGGGCGTGCAGGGTCCCGGAAGGGCCAGTGGAGGGAGCTGGCACCTTGTGTGAAGTGGGGGCCGAGTGAAGGACCAGCCTGGGCAGCAGGGGGTCACCCTGCATGTGAACCCCAGCCAGTGTGGGGATGCTCTGGGCAGGAGCAGAAGATGCGCCTGGGTCACTGGGCCTGGTCAGCTGAGAAAGGGTGGGGCTCACACCCTGCGCTCCAGCAGCTGTCGGGCAGGGTCCAGGCCCTTGTCCTCAGGCAGGGACGGAGGCTGTGCCAACGGGTTGTCCAGAGGGAGCCTGGACCAAGCTGAGCCAGGGTCAGGCAGGGGCCAGGTCGTCTGAGGAAGGGGGTAGCCAGCCAGCCATTCTGTTGCTCCTACCCAGGGGGTTCAGGAAGGGGCTGAAGGCCCTTTGTTTGAGCCGAGGCCCCAGGCTTAGCCTGTGGGCCCTCATGGAGCTGCAGGCCTCTGGAGGTGCCTGGGCCCCACAGCCTGGGGTCACCCCACGCTCTGAGCCTGGCTTCTGTCAAGGCTCGGGGTGCCCAGATGTGAATTGGTCCCCACTGCACCCCAGCAGCTGAGCCTTGGCACTTGCTGTTCTTGATGAGACACCTGGTCTGAGTCCACTGTCTCCTGGGTGGCAGCTGGGGAGAGAGAAACAGCCAAGTAGCAACCTTGTCTGGGGGAACCCCCCCCAGCCCCCCCATGCCAGGAGGAAGGAGGGCTGTCCAGTCCTGGAGAGCCAGCGCCCACGTCCGCCTCCAGGGGAGTCCATCTGGACCACGAGCCCAGTCCAGACATGTCACCAGCTAGAGGTGACCCAGCTGGGCAGTGGGACCCAGCCTTGGCTGAAAAGCCCGCGGGGAGGTGGAGGGGGTGGAGGATGAAGGTCGGATGCCCTCTGCAGGCCCTGGAGCATTTCTTGGGGTGCACACCACACCCACCCTGGCCAGGACCGCAGGGGCCAGGCTCCCAGCAGAGGTGGGGTCCCCCATCGGCCTGTGGCCCCTCACCCCCTGGCTGCAGCCCGGCTCTGTCACTCACTGCAGGGGATGTCACACAGCTGCTGGGGAACCGAGAAGCGCACGTCTGCTCTCCAGCCCTGCGGACATGGGACGCTCGGTCAGCCCTTCTCTGCTCTCTGCGCGAAGGCCCAGAGGGTCGGCCTGGGGGCTGCTGGGCTGGAGGGGCCCCTGGAGCAAACCGGGCCCTGGGGCAGCCTTGGGGAAGTGGGAGCTCCCTAGCTGCTGATGAGGGGACACCGAGGTGTGGAGTGGGGGTTGGGCAGCGCAGCACCACCACCTGGATGCAAATGTCGGGCCCACAGGCCTCATCCCTGGGGATGTCCACAAAGGCCGGGTCCACTGTGAGGTCAGCCTGGTGGAGGGAGGGGTAGGTCACAGGCTGTGGGGGACAGTCCAGGCCACTCCATGTCCCTCACGCACACGTGTGTGCGCGGAGCATGCGCAGCGGCCCTCTGCGCCGTCCCCACCGGCGGCCTCGGGCCTGGAGGGAGGAAGAGGGGACTGCAGGGTCAGCCGCCCCCCAGGCGGTGCCCGCCCACCCGGCTCACGGAGGCTGGAGAGAGGGTGGTGTCCTGGAGTGTCTGGTGGCAGGCAAGGGGCCACGTCTTCCTTCGATGACACAGGCACACCTGGAAGCGGGCGGGGCCGGGCCAGAGGAAGGTGACCCGGAGGTGTGTCCCAGAGGGTGCCGGCCGGACGACCATCTTCCAGGCTGTGGGTGGAGGGGTGAGGCCCAGCTCCCTGCCCCGCCTCCCTGCCATCACTGCCCAGGGCACGGCCAGCCTCCCCCCCAGGCAGGCTCACCTGGGAAGCGGGGCTGCTGGAAAGGGCACCTCACCCAGAAGCCCCGGCTGGTGGAGAACTGTCGAGAGGTGAGGGGCAGGGTGTGGTGGGGTGTGAGTTGGGGGCTCCCACAGGGACCTCTGGGACTGACTCTGCACACCAGCCCTTAGCTCCACCCACTGTCAGACCAGAAGGGGTCAGAGGGCTGCTGGGAGGGTGGACCCCAGGCTGAGCGAGGCATGGGGAGGGGGGAGGGCCGCAGGCACCCTGCCTGATGCCCCAGGCCCTGCCGCCTGCCTCCCAGCCACCCTCCCCGCGTGCTGGCATGTGTGTGGCAGGCTGTGGCCCGGCCCACTCACCTTGAGGCACAGCTGTGGCTGGGTGTCCACCGGTGAGTACTGCACCTGAGGGGGGCTCAGGTCAGGGCCCTGGCCATCGGGGCTCGCCCCCACCCCCCTGGTGGCACTCACCCTGCCCTGTGCGGGCCGCTGTGAGTGCTGCAGCTCCTGGCAGTGGGCCCCTGGGTCCGGGTACCAGCACAGGCTCACGTGGCCACTCACGGGGCAGGCGGGCTCCCAGCTCAGTGCCTGGCGCCCTGGGTGATAGTGGACGGCCTCCCACAGAGCCTCCGTGTCTGCATGGACCCTCCCCCAGGGCGCAAGTCAGCTGGGCCCTGCCTCAGCCCCAGGCCTCAGCCCTTCCGGTGGCCGCCCCCCCCACTGGACACTCCAGACCTGCCCGTCTCCCACCCTTCTCTCCTCCCTCTCTCCCCCACCCCTTGGGCCCATAGGGCACTTGCCATTTTTAAAGGGGCAGATCTGGGTCCGCACCGCATCCGGGGTCGCAGGCCAGCTCTGTGGGAGAGGCTGGGGTCAGCGCGGGGCCTGCCCCTCCCTTTGGCCCCTCCTGGCCCTGGAGACCACACCCTCACTGACCTCAAGGCACAGGCAGGGCAGCTCCTGGCTGTAGGGCAGAGAGACCATCCCAGGGATGCTGTTCGCGGACACCTGCGGTGGACGGACGCGAAGGAGCTGGGGGTCCGCGGGCGGGGCCTGGGCGGGCGGGGCCTGGGCGGGCGGGGCCTGGGCTGGGGGCTTGGGATCAGGCTGAGGCGTGACCTCGGGGTCATAAGTGGGGGGGCTGGGCCTGGAAGGGTGAGGCGTTGAGCGGGTTGTGGACCAGGGGCAGGTGTGGGCGGGGCTTGCATCGGGGTGGGGCTTGGGCCTGGACAGGTGTGGTGGTTTGGCTGCGACACTGTGTGCAAGGCTTGGGCCTGGGGCTCACCTGCACCAGCTGGCCCACGTCCTCGCAGGTGAACCACTTGAGGCAGAGCCGCAGGTAGTAGTCGGTGCCCCCAGGGGCCTCCGGCACCTGCACCAGAACGACCTTGTGGCTGCGATCCACCCAGTAGGGCAACTTCTGGGCTGTAGGGAGCGGCAAGGGGGGTCACACCGGGACCAGAGGTGCCAGACTCAGGGTTCCACCTGTCCCGAGAGCCTCGAGGGGGTGACTTCTGCTAGAGTTCCCGAGTGGGGCGGCGAGAAGAGCTGGTGGGGGGCCGTGGTGCCCGCAGCTCCCCGAGGGTCTTCTCAGGTAGGCTGTGGGCCCACCCGGGGAGGGGCTCACCAAAGCAGTCTGGCACGTTCCTCCCCACGTCCTCATCTCCGCAGCCTGAAAATGACCGAGGCAAAGGTGGGCTGAGCCTGCTGTGTCCGGGGCCCCCCAGCTGGCCTGGGTCCACATGGTTCCAGAGCCCCCCCTCCAGGGAGGCCATGACCTAAATGAAGCCAGCGATTGTGCCGGCCTGGGCCCTGCCCCCTGCCCTGGGCGAGGGTCGCCTACCTCGGGCCCCAGAGGCCCCACGGAGCTGTGCCCAGGCTGCCCTCCCCGCCCCGGCTCTCACCTTCCACGTGGTACTGCTGGTCCAGCTGCACCCCACACAGCTGAGGCACAGTCCTCAGGGTGACGTAGAGGCTCTGGGCCACATGGACCTCGAAGCAGTCAAAGTCCACCTGGAGCTGGGCAGGTACAGGTATGAGCTGGGGGGACCTGGGGCCTCTGCCCACCCGCCCTGGCCAGGCCAGCTCCCCCCGCACAGCCAGAACCCAGAGCCTGGAAGCAGAGGAGGAGCAGCGCCCTCTCCCGGGGCCGGGGGTGGTAGAGCCCTGGGAACAGGTGGCTGAAAGGGGAGGGCAGCCCAGGGCAGCCCAGGGACGGATGATGAGCTGCAAAGGCTCTGGTCAGACCCTGGCCTCACCTGCTGCCCCAGGTGCAGCTGGCGAGAGGCTCTGGGGACCAGCACGCTGTGGCAGTGTGTCTCCTGGGTGCCCAGGCTCATGGAGCAGGCCTCCAGGCCCCGCAGGCTCTCTGGTGGAGGGACAGGCCAGGGCTAGTCAGACCATGGCAGGGGACCCCTTCCTCCCCTCCTCTCTGGGAAGTGCACTCAGCAGGGTCCCCTGCCCGTCCCACACAGCTGTGGGGGTTAAAAGAGCCAGGAGCCCGCACCCTCTTCCCGGTGTCACCCCTCTCACCGTGCAGCGTGACAGTGGCACGCACACGCAGCAGCAGAGAGCAGCCGTCGCGGGGGCCACACTTCATAGCAGTGGAGAGTGTCAGGGCCCCCAGGACTGACCGGGACATGGACTTGGGGGGCTGCCGGCAGAAGCTGTTCCATATGCTCCCTGGGGAGGGAGGGGGAGGACGAGTGTCACCGGGCTCCCTGGTGCCCAGGGAAGCTTCGTGTGGCCAGGCCAGCAGGGGGCGCTCTGGGGCTGCAGGGATGGGGGGGCTCCTCATGACCTTGCCCGGAGCAATCAGGGCACCGGTCCCCTGGTGAGTGCTGGACCTGCCCCTGAGCCACGCTCAGACTGTCTGCTGGCATCAGAACGGGGCCCAGGTCAGCGGAGCAGGCTACACCTGAGCTGAAGAAATGGGCAGACAGTCTGGGCAGACCAAAGTGGCCAGAGTCCGCAGGGCGACATCTGTGATACTTTCAACAATAAAGATAAACATAGATAAACAAACAAATAAGTAAAATATAAAGACACAAGTCAGTTAAAAGTAATAGAATAAGAATGAAAAAAGACATGGAAGCTGACACTAATTTTTAATAAAGCTGGGGTGGTGCTCTGGCTGGTTTGGCTCTTTGATTAGATCGTCGGCCCGCAGACCAGCGAGTCTCGGGTTCAATTCCAGTCAAGGGCACGTACCTCAGTTACAGTTTGGTCCCAGCACTGGTCAGGGAAAAAAAAAAATCTGAAGCGGTTAATACCAGGAAACAGGTTCATGGCAAAGAATACAACCACAGATAAAGATGGTTATTTCACAATAATACAGGGAGCAATTCACCAGGAGGACATAATACTCCTACACATTTGTGCACTCAACACTGTCGTTCCACCATACAGGAAACAAAACTGATTAAACCACACGGGGAAATAGACAAGCTCACAAAGGCAACTGGAGATTTCAACACTCTTCTCTCTATAACTGACAGGACAAGTAGACAGAAAGACAGAAAGAATGTAGTAGCCTGTGCACCACAACCAGCCAAGCCCACTCCATGGACCTTACAGAGCACCCAGCCAATGGCAGCAGAATCTGCATGCTTTTCAAGTGTACACGGAACCATATTCTGGTCCATAAAACAGTCTCAATAAATGTAAAAGAATTCAGAGCATGCAAACTATCTTCTCTGGTCAAAATATAATTTAATTAAACATCAATAAAATATTTATGGAAAATCTCCAAATATTTGGAAACTAATCAACACACTTCTAAACAATCCATAGGCCAAAGAAAACAATGAAAACAAAAATTACAAAGTACTTTGAACTGAATAAAAATGGAAAGACAACATATAAAAAAATACAATTGAATGCTGCTAAAGCAGTATTTGAGGAACATTTGTAGCACTAAACTCTTATATTAGAAAAGAAAGTCTCAAATTAGTGACCCCAGCTTTCACCTTAAAGAACCAGAGAGCGAGAGAAGAGTAAACCTTAAACTAATATAATGTTCTAAGTCAATTTTATCTCAAACTGGGGTGGGGGGGGGAGTTGGGGGAGAAGAAACCCAAAGTAATTGGAAGGAAATGATAAAGATTGGAGTGGCAGCCAGTGGGATAGAAGACAGAATAGAAAACAGAAAAGCAATAGAAAATAGTCAACGAAGGCATATGTAAGTTCTACACAGTTTCTTTCAGAAAGTCGAAGATGAGGGAGTAGAAATTTGATGGGTGCAAAGGTAATTATGCTGAGTGAAAGGCACTAGAGTACATGCTGAATCAGTCCATTCATATACCACTTTAGAAAACACAAACTAATTTCTATGGACAGAAAAGCACATCTGTGGTTGTGGAGGTGGGGGCAGGTGTGTGTGTGTGTGTGTGTGTGTGTGTGTGTGTGGAGGGAGGTCTCCAGGGCACCAGGAAACTTTGGGGTAATGGAAAAATCCATTGTCCTGACTCTGGTAATGGTTTCACAGGTGTGTACATATGTAAACCTCAGCAAACTGAATACTTAAAATATGTACAGTTGCTTTGGGTCAACTCTATGTCAATAATGCTAAAAGGGCCATTTCCTTCTCCCTGTCCATGAATGAAAATGGAAAGACAACATATTAAAAAACAAAAACAAAAAACGAGATGCTGCTAAAGCAGTATCTGGGGAACATTTGTAGCACTAAACTTTTTTTTTTTTTTTTTTATCCTCACCTGAGGACACTTTTTTATTTTTTGTTCAGATAGAGCAGGAGAGAGGGAGAGAGAGAGAAACACCGATGTGAAACAGACACATTGAGTGGTTGCCACCCGCACAACCAACCAGGGCCGGGGACAAACTGCAACCGAGGCACGTGCCCTTAGTGGGAACCGAACCCGGGTCTCTCCAGACCGCAGGCCGAGGCTCTAACCACTGAGCCAAACTGGCCAGGGCTGTAGCACTAAACTCTTATATTAGGAAAGAAAGTCTCAAATTAATGACCTCAGCTTTCACCTTAAGGAACCAGAGAGAGAGAGAAAACACACACCTTAAACTAATATGATGTTATAAGTCAATTTTATCTCAAACTGGTGGTGGGGGTGGGGGGAGAAGAAAGTTCTAAGTACTTTGTAATTTTTGTTTTTATTTTTTTCTTCGGCCTATGGGTTGTTTAGAAGTGTGTCGATCTCCCTGTCCATCTGTGTGTGTGAGAACCCAGCACATTTCCAGATCCATCCCCAAGTGTGGGGGCCCCTTGGTGGCAGCTTCTCCCAACTCAGTTTAGCACAATCTGAAATGGGAAAAACAAAACAACAAAACCGACGTCTTAAACACGCTGGGCCACCGTCTTCACAGCCCTGAGGGTCTCTTCATGAGTACACTCTCAGCTCCTCAGTGAGGGGGGGGTTTGGCGAGGAGCAAGGGGGACCCACGCTCCCTGTGGACCAGAGAGACCTGGGTTCAGTTCCCGCTGAGGGCACGTACCGCAGCTGCAGTTTGTCCCCTACTGGGGTCGTGTGGGTGGCAGCCACTCGACGTGTCTCTCTCACATTGATGTTTCTCTCTCTTCCTCCTTCTCTCTCTCCTGCTCTATCTGAAGATGAATGCAAAAATGTCCTCGGGTGAGGATAAAAAAAACAAAAACAAAGAGAGGTAGAACAGGGGAAGAGAAGGGCCCAGGTGAGCCCCGGGACGATGAAATCTGTGGAGTTAAAGACAATACCTGCAAAGAAGTCACTGTTATAAAACAAATCATATAAAAATAGTCAGCTCCGGCCCCAAGTGAGCTGACAGAACCGGGAGAGCGTGTCGTATGGAGGAAAACGTGAATTATCTGTGGCTTGAAATGGGAAAACAACCCTCTGTCACCGTGGAAACAGCTGTGAGCCCAGAATTCATTACAAAGACACAGGGAGAAGTCACTGTACCTGTTCTCAGAGATGTAAAGACCACCTCAGCATCTTCCTAAAGGGAAGAAGATGGCCTAACAGATGTATTTTTTTAAAAGTTTTGTTTTCTGCCCTGGCCGGTTTGGGTCAGTGGTTAGAGCGTTGGCCTGCGGTCCAGAGAGACCCGGGTTCGGTTTCCGCTAAGGGCACGTACCTCGGTTGCAGTTTGTCCCCGGCCCTGGTTGGTCATGTGGGTGGCAGCCACTTGATGTGTCCCTTTCACGTCGATGTTTCTCTCTCTCTCTCTTGGTACCTCCTACTCTACCTGAACAAAAGATGAAAGAATGTCCTTGGGTGAGGATTAAAAAAAAAAAGTTTTGTTTTCTTTATTGATTTTAGAGAGAGTGGAAGAGAGAGGAAGAGAGAGAGAGAAACAGTGATGAGAGAGAACATTGATTGGTCACCTCCTGCACGCCCCCTACTGGGGATCAGGCCCACAACATGCGCATGTGCCCTGACCAGGAACCGAACCGCGACCTCTTGGTGCAGGGTCGATGCTCAACTGCTGAGCCACACTGGCCGGGCCAGATATATTTTTTAAAAAATTTTTTTATTGCTTTTTAGAGAGAAAAATCATCGATCAGCTGCATCCTGCACGCCCCCTACTGGGGATCAAGCCCACAGCCTGGACATGCGCCCTGACCGGGAATCGAACCAGCGACCTTTCAGTGCACGGGAGCCCCACTGAGCCACACAGCCAGCGCGAACAGAGGTACTTTACAAGGAGGAACCATGAACCCAGGGGTGGTGAGACGTGGTGAATTCAAATGGGAACTGACAGAGGAGGGGGAGGGGCAGAAGAAAACCGACCGCTGTTGTTTACAACAAGGTGGTTTTCAGTTCCCACCGTGTGGCAGAGCAGGCTGTCCGGACCGATTCTGTGGCTCAGAACACGAACAGGGCTGGAGACAGCGCACGCACGTAGAAGACGGCATCTTACAAACTCGTGAGAGCTGAAGAGAATCAGGACCGAAGGCCAACGATGGCCGGAGGCCAGGGGACACAGTGCACAGTGTCCGGGGCAAGGTGGGGGCAGGAGCGGGTGAGGCTTCCGGAGAGCCGTGGCCTCGGAGGGGCTGGGGCTGCTCCCCAGCCCTGGCTGCACCTCCAGGAAGCTCCCAGGAACCCCAATCGGTGATTTAACTAGACCGGTCCGGACAGTCAGCATTAGTCCTGGGACCACTCGGGAACAAAGGTGGACCTCGTCTGGGGGAGGCTCCTTCATCCCTGGCGGCGGGGAACCCCAAACACTATTCCTCGAGGATGCGGAGCAGACCGACAAGAGGGAAACCCAGTAGAGGGGACCGGCCCCACCCAGCCCCACCGAGTCCCCTGGGAACACAGTGACGGTCACGAACTACCCCGGTCACGCTAAAGAGACGAGGCTGGAAACCTGTGGCTGGAACAACTGGGACCTGGGCTCCTAGCACGTTTGACAATTATAACACGACGTTGTTGTCTGTGTTCACGGCCCTGAACGTTATCCAGCCCCTCCCTTTTTTTTTAATCCTCTTTTTCCGTTTATCTTCAGACAGAGTGGGCGGGAGGGGGAGAGAGAGGAACATCGATGTGAGAGGGACACATCGACTGGTTGCCTCCCGCATGACCTGACAAGGACCGGGGAAGAACCACAACCGAGGTCCGTGCCCTTGACTGGAATCGAACCCGTGACTCATTGGTCCGCGGGCCGACGCTCTAACCTCTGAGTCAAACCGTCCAGGGCAGCTGTCCTTTTCCTAAGCATAAAATGTTGCCATTAAAGCCCTGGCCGGTTTGGCTCAGCGGTTAGAGCGTCGGCCTGCAGCCCAGCAAGACCCGGGTTCGGTTCCCACTAAGGGCACGTACCTCGGTTGCAGTTTGTCCCTGGCCCTGGTTGGGTCATGCGGGTGGCAGCCACTCGATGTGTCCCTCTCTTTCTTCCTCTCTCTCCCTCCCACTCTATCTGAACAAAATGGAAAAAATGTCCTGGAGTGAAGATAAAAAAAATAAAAAATAAATAAAATAAAATGTTGCCATTGAAAAGTTCGATACAATATACCTTCCTTCCCCTTTTATGCTGTATACCTTCTGCCTAAATGTCCCAACGACCTTTCTCTCTAAAATTGGTGAATTCACCAGAACAGGTCTGGCATGGGGTATTCGGGGTCGAAAGTCTCGGGGATGGTGCGTCACCCTCTCGATATCCAGTTTAAAGAAACAGTTTAAAGCGTCCCAGGCAGGTTCCCGGTGTTGGCCCCGCGGCGTCCCTGAGAGAGCACCCGCGTTTGGACACCTTCACGGCATTTCAATCTTTTCTCACTTCCTTGTGGTTTTCAGCATACGCCTCCCTTTGGCCTTCCTTTTTCCTTAAGGCATCACTGTCGGGGGGCCACCCGAGTTCTAATGTGACCCCATTTCTATCACGGGTTTCCCTTTGCTTCCAGCCCCGAGCCTTGTTGCCTCACGAGTATTTCTGAGTTCTGTGAACACGGTTTGGAAGCCGGGCACCGTCTTCCCGGGCACGCCGAGCCTTCTGCAGGGAGACCGGGCCTGGGTGCTGGCGAGCCCTGGCGCGGGGCCCCGCCCGGCCGCGTCTGCTCCGTGGGCCTCGCCTCATGCCCTGCGGGAACTCCGAACGTGGCTGCTTCAGAACCACCCAGAGCTCCCGCTTCCTCTTTCTGTGCACTTTGAGGACAGGCTGGGTGGCCTTTTCCGTTTCTCAGCTCGGTCCCCTCGTCTGTGTGTCTGAGCCTCCGCTTTCCTTGCCTCTGTTGTCCGTGTTCGGCTCAGCCTCGACGCCGAGCTCCTCTGTGGAGCGTCTCACGAGGGGGCCCCGGTGCCGAGAGTGGGCTGACCCTCGCTCTGGCCACAGGGTGGGGTCGCCGGCTTCCTCTAGTGACCCCTCTGTCCGTCTGGGTTCCCCTGAGCTCGGTCCCCTGCGGCACAGGTGCCGACAAGCCACAGGCCCGGGCGCAGGGAGTGAGCGCCTCGCTGGACTATCTCCAGCTCTGTGGGTGTCTGTGGCTTCGGGGACGGCAGGCCACACTGCCGCCACCTCTCCTGGGGCGGCAAGGGAAGGAGCAGAGAGCGCGGGACACGCTGTCCCAGACATCAGTGCCTGGCTGAGACGGATCCTGACGTGGGAAACCCCACATGGGCCAAGTCCCACGGGCTGAGGACGCAGGAGGAAGCAGACCTCTGTCCAAGCTTCAGAGTGTGGCCCAGGCAGAAACAGTGTCACACACACAGGACAGGAAATTAAAATAAGAATGAAACCCGGCCGGTGTGGCTCAGGGGTTGAGCATCGGACCCTGCACCAAGAGGTCATCGGTTCGATTCCCAGTCAGGGCACATGCCCAGGTCGTGGGCCCTGTTCCTAGTGGGGGGCGTGCAGGAGGTGGCCCATCGATGTTCTCTCTCATCGATGTTTCTCTCTCCCTCTAAAAATCAATAAAGACAAAAATTTTAAAAATAAAATTAAAGTAAGAATGAAGGGACGTGAAGGAGGTGGCAGGGACAAAGGTACCGGAATTCAAAGGACGAGGGAGAGAAGAGCGTGCAGGCACCTCCGATGAGAGAACATCTAAATAAAACCGATTTAGTAACCCTGGGGGTCAAAGGCCGACGGCCAAACAGCCGACAGAGGAACATCGTGGGGACTCGAACAGCCCAACTGCAGAGCTGATCGCGGCAGGGGAAGCAGGCAGGGAGGGGCTGGGGGGCAGGACTGGGAGTTAACCGCTGGCTGGGATGGTTTCGGGAACCAGGGGGAAGCAGCTGGACCCCGGTGATGGGGAAGGAGGCGCCGGAGTGTGGATGAGGGTCCGGCCAGGAGCCACGGAGGAGCCCAGACCAGCTGCATCCCTCATGGAACGCGGCGGCCACTCTCTCGACTGGGGGGATCCAGGAGCAGAACCACCCAAGCGAGTCACTGACACCACTAAATGCCCCATAGCCGCTCACTGCTGCCTACACGGACAGGGCACCCTGCGGCCCTCAGTGTGGGCACCCCCCATGCCACTTGTCAGCCTGGCGCGTGACCTTCCTCATCGTGGAAGGTCACGGTGCCTCTTCAGGTGAAGAAGCATTTAATTCAACTTAGCTATTTATTCATTTAATTTTCATTGAATGTATTGGGATGACATTGGTTAATAAATGTAGATAGGTTTCAGGTGTACAATTCTAGAATACACCATCTGTATGTTGTATTGTGTGTCCACCACCCCAAGTCAAGTCTCCTTCCATCACCGTTTATCCCCCTTCACCTTCTACCTCCCACCCCCTGCCCCTCTGGTCACCACCATGCTGTGGTCTGTGTTTGTGAGTTTTTTTCTTAATCCCTTCAGCTGTCTGTTCTCTGTATCTGTGAGCCTGTTTCTATTTTGTTTATTTGGTTCATTAGATTCCACATATAAGTTAAATCATACGGTATGTGCCTTTCTTGGACTGGCTTATTTCACTTAGCATAATACTCTCCAGGTCCATCCATGCTGTTGCAAAAGGTAAGATTTCCTCCTTTTTGGTGGCTGTGTAGTATTCCATTGTGTAAATGTACCACAGCTTTTTTATACACTCATCTATTGATGGGCACTTGGGCTGCTTCCACATCTTGGCTGTTGTAAATAACACTGCTCTGAACATAGGGGTGCAGATATTCTTTCGAATCAGTGTTTTGGGTTTCTTCGGATATATTCCCAGAAGTGGAATCACTGGGTCATAAGGCAGTTCCATTTTTAATTTTTTGCGGAAACTGCATGCTGTTTTCCACAGTGGCTGCACCAGTCTGCATTCCCACCAACAGCACACAAGGGTTCTCTTTTCTCCACACCCTTGCCTGCACTTACTGTTTGTCGATTATTGATGACAGCCATTCTCACAGGTGATACCTCATTGTGCATTTAATTTGCATTTCTCTGATGATTAATGATGTTGAGCATCTTTTCATATATCTCCTGGCCATCTGTATGTCCTCTTTGGAGAAGTGTCTATTCAGGTTCCTTAACCATTTTTTAATTGATTGTGTGTTTTTTTTGGTGTTGAGTTGTTTACAAAATTTCTTTACAATATTTGGATATTAACCCTTTATCAGATGTATCATTGGCAAATATGTTCTCCCATTTTTGGGTTATCTTCTCATTTTGTTGATGGTTTCCATTACTGTGTAAAAACTTTTTAGTTTGATGTAGTCCCATTTATTACTTTTTCTTTTGTTTCCCTGGTCCCAAGTGATATATCAGAAAAAATATTTCTATAAGAAACGTCCGAGGTTTTATACCCATGCTTTCTTTTAGGATTTTTACATTTTTGAGTCCTACATTTAAGCCTTTATTCTTGTGTATGGTGTAACAAGGTGATTTAGTTTCATTTTTTTGGACTTCTCTGTCCAATTTTCCCAACACCATTATTGAATAGACTGTCTTTACCCTATCGTATGTTCTCGCTTCCTTTATTAGTGGACTATAAAGGTGTGGGTTTACTTCTGGGTTCTGGGTTCTCTATTCTGTTCCATTGATCGATATGTCTGTTTTTATGCCAGTACTATGCTGTTTTGATTACTATGGCCTTGTAGTATAGTTTGATATCGGGTAGCATGATTCCTCCAACTGTGTTCTTCTTTCTCAAGATTGCTGTGGCTATTTGGGGTCTTTTGTGGTTCCAAATACAGTAGCTTTTTGTAATATTTGTTCTAGTTCTGTGAACTATGCCATTGGTATCTTGATAGGAATTGTGTTGAATCTATAGATTGCTTTGGGGAGTATGGACATTTTAATGATGTTCATTCTTCCTATCCATGATCATGGTATATGTCTCCACTTATTTGTATCTTCTTCTTTTTTTTAATCCTCACCCAAGACTATTTTTTTATTTATCTTCAGATAGAGTAGGAGGGAGGGGGAGAGAGAGAGAGAGAGAGAGAGAGAGAGAGAGAGAGAGAGAGAGAGAGAAACATCGATGTGAGACACATCGACTGGTTGCCTCCCGTATGACCCGACCAGGGCCAGGGACCACAACCAAGGTACGTGCCCTTGACTGGAATAGGACTTGTGACTCTATGGTCCACAGGTGGACGCTGTAACTGCTGAGCCAAACCGGCCAGGGCTATTTGTATCTTCTTCAAATTATTTCTTTAGTATCTTATAGTTTTCCAAGTAGGTCTGTTTTTTGTTTTTGTTTTTTAATCCTTCCCTGAGGATATTATTCATTGATTTTCAGAGAGAGGAAGGGAGAGGGAGAGTAAGAGAAACATCGATGTGATCGGTTGCCTCCTGTATGTGCTCAGACTGGGGACGGGGACATGCTCCAACCGAGCGAGCCACCTGGCCCGGACTGGAGTGAAATTTATTTTAACTTTCCTCCTAATACAGGGTGTCTGTGGATTCTATTACATTTCGAAAATGAAAGGTATTATAATAAACACTGGCTTTACAATTATTCAAAGTTGTGTATACATTTTGGGGGACACCCTCTATATTCTACATCACTTTGAGTGAATATGAGCGCTATTTACAAAGACAATACAGCTATTTGAAGAGGGTTACCATGCACGGTGGAAAAGCCTGAGGAGAGGAAGGAAGATCACACGTTGCTGGCGGGGATGTAAAGTGGCGTGGAATGCATGACCTCGCACTCAGCGAGCTCACGTGTCCCAGGCTGTGGGCAGCCCTGACCCCCAGGGAGGACCTGGTGACCCAGGATGTACTCACTTTTCATGAGTCTCTTGCAGGCGATGCCCTGGAGACAAAACAGTAAGAGAGGGTGAGAGGTCAGCTCGGCCACCTCCTGTCCCACCTCCTGAACCTGACCTGGAGGACAAGTCCCTCCGCCTGCACTCCGTGGGAGGTATGGGTGCCCCAGCCTGGGTCCCTGCTCCTTGGTATCTGGGCACTTGGCCCCGAGAGTCCAGCCCAGGAACCTGCACACAGCGGTCACTCAGGAAATGGTGTAACCTGGACCTGTGAACCTTCAGGCCCTGCCGTCCGGGGCTCCGGGGGACGAGACCCATGGCCAACAGTGACACCTGTGGCAGCAAGAGGCAACAGCAGTGGTACTTCTGTCCCTTCCCCAGAGACACTGACCATCTAGTGACCCCAGGAAGCTGGGACAGTGGGCTGGGGGGGCTCCAGATGAACCCTGGGCTCCCTGCTGGCGGGGGATGAAAGGGTAAAAGTGGGGTCCGCTTCTGTTCCTTGGGTTTGGGGAGCAAGCACCCTGCTGGACGTGGCTCCTTACCCCCTTTCTAGACAAGCTTTCGCTTTAGAATGGCGCCAGGTTCGGGGGTTCCCCAGCATCCCCGATGCTGAGTGGTGGCCCACGGAGGGCGTGTGGCTTAGGCAAAGTCCAGGCTGAAGTTGCACCCCTTTCCCACAGCCTGTTTTGGCTCCACGTGGTGAAGCACCCACGTCCACCTTTGAATTCCCACCTGCTGTCACTGCCCCGTTTCCTGGCGACACACCACCTGCCCGGGGTCAGCCTGCGCGCTCCTCCCTCTCCGGCTGCCCCCAGACCCACTGAGGTTGGAGGAACGGCCGGGACTGGAGGCCTTGACCCCGCAGCCACACCCACGGGCCAGGAGCCACGTGGGGGCAGGTGGATGAGGTCTGGTTGGCCCTTCCGTGCCCTTGGGACACAGGAAGAGGGACCAGCAGGGGCAAAGCTCCCGGCCAGAGAGAGCACCTGTGGGGGTGTCTGGGAACAGGGGTGAGGGCTGCCCAGAGCCTGGGGCCTGTGGAGGGCGGGCTGGAAATGGAGAAGTTGGAAGTTGCTGGGGTTTTCCACTGGGTTTCCCAGGGCTTCCCGGCCCTACAGGGGGGTGGGAGGTATTGTCTGTGAGGAGGGACCCCCGAGGCACACATCTTGGAGGTGGGGCCCTCGCAGGGCCTGAGTTCATCCAGCTGGAGGAAGGGACCCAGCATCCGGGGGTCAGCTGGAGGACAGCGCCGGCGGGTGGAGCCGGGAGGATCCCGGGGCCCCATGCACCCTGAGGCCCTGCCCTCCCCGCTCACCCCACAGGTGCCACGTGCCCTGACCGCGTCCGTCCTCCCGCCCAGGCCAGCCAGGACGGTTTCCGGTGCAGAGGGGCTGAGGCCCCCTCCCCTGCTGCTCTGGCTCCGTCCCTGCCCCCGCCCCTCCCCCTCCCCTTGGCGCCCTCCCTCCCTTAGATTCCCCGGCCTCCTCCCTCACCCTCCTCTCCTAACCCCACCGCCAGGCCAGCCCCGGGCACCCTCTCCTCCTCCCGACCGCCTCCCACCCCTTTTCTTCCAGGGTTCTTTCTCCTCCTCATTGCTGGGGCGGACTGTCCAGTCCCTTCCCCAGGTGGCATGGCCTCGCCTTGACCGCCACCCCAAGACCCCTCGGCTCTCCGCATCGGATGGGCTTCTCAAACCCTTCAAAAATATGAGCTTCTCCCCTTCAGGACCACTTGCCCAGCCCCCATCTGAGGACCGGCTCCTCCTCCGTCAGCTCCTCAGCTGTAAACCACCGCAGCCTTCCTCCCTCCGGCTCTGGGGGGGGGACCCTGCCACCTGCGCTGCACCAGGCACCCCAGAGCAGCCCCTTCTGCTCCCCACCTCCAGTGCCCCACCTGCACCCACTTGTTTCCTCCACAGCTCCGGGGAGCTGCCCCCCCCAGGGTCCCTGCACTCAGATCTGAGCCTGGTCCCTAAACTCTGAGGCCCCACCTGACCCTTGCCCGGAGCTCCAGCCGCCCGAGCCCCCCTCGCTGAGTTCGGGCTTCTGCTGCACACGCTCCCAGGCTCCTCAGGGACGCCCGCCTCTTGAGAGAGGACCGGGTGTCCCCAGGGGCCCAACCGCTGCTGAGGCACCGTGGGCACCTGCCCAGGTCACCCCTACCTGGGCTCTGCTCCTTCCCTCCTAGCAGGTGCCACCCCTCAACCCAGTTCTGTGGTGCGTTTTCACAACTAGAACAGCAGCCCCCATCCCACACCTGGCCGGTGCGCACAACAGGTGCTCGGTGAGGTGCCCTCCCTGTCCCTGTGACACCTCCGGGGCTCTGTCCCGCTGTGCCTTGGCCAGCCTTGGCGCTGGGGCGCCTCCTGGGGTGCAGGTAGACCCGCTGGGACCCTCCGTTGGGCGAAGCTGAGTCACCCTGCTCTGCCCAAAAAAGTCCCGGGACACCACCATTTCTGAGCCGTGTTCCTGCCGGAGGCCGCTTCCCACCCAGGATGAGCACGTTCCTGAAGCATTTCCTCAGTGTCCACACAAGCCTGATATCGCCGCGGCTAGGGTCCCGGTGACGCAACATGACTCCAGCGCCTCCAACTCATCTCTTCAGAGGCAGGATCACAGGGGTGTCAGCTCACCCTGCCCTCGGGCTCCGGGCACACGCCTCCCAGAGCGGCGCCCCAGGGCCGGGCTGGCACCTCAGAGGGAGCCCCGGCCCCTCAGCCTCCTACCCCCAGGGCCCCGGCACCCCCACCTCTTTCTCCCGTGGGCCAGGCCAGTGCCCACCTGCAGGAGAACCAGGGCCCCCCCGGATGAAACTCAGAGGGGGCAGAGGCTCACCTGAGAACAGGAGAGGCCACATTCTGTGACCCGGGGGATGGCCAGGCTCTGGAAGGTGCTCCAGGTCAGGGCCAAGAGAGCGAGGGCCCGTCCCACCTGCATGGCGTGGCAGCGCCCACGCGTGTGCCCGTGGGAGCCGGGGCTCCCCGCTCCAGCTCCGGCCCCACACGGACGGGCAGACACTCCCGCTCGCTGGCTCCTGGTGGAGTGACGCCCAAGTGGGCCGGCCGACGCCTCAGCCCGCGACTTCCCGCCCGTCCCTGCGCGCTGTGGGCCTCCGGACTCTGGCCAGATGCCCGTGGGGTTTCCAGGCTGCCAGACTCCTGCTGTTTGAGTCACTGGGGTCCCAGGTAGCTGGATTCTCCCCGGGGCTCAGCGGGAGCAGCTGCCAGCCTGGCTGCGGGATCAGGGAGCCGCCCCCGCCCTGTCGGCGCCTGGGGTACCTTCGCCTCTCGGGCTCCCCGCCCAATGGCAGAGAATGGACGGTGGCCGACGACCCTGGTCGTCCAGCCCTGCTGTTAGCTGTGGGAGGCGTCCTGGGTGCCTGCACCCCAGTGCTGCCTTCTCTACCCCACCCCCCGGACAGGTCTCTCCTGGAGTGGGATCTGGGACTGCACCCTGAGTCCCGAGTGCCCCCCTCGCACCCCTCTGGGTTGGAAGCTGCGCCCCTCTGCTGAGCCCTCTGGTGGCCGTCCCCCGCCCCAGAGGGCACTTCCCACGGCCGGTATCGCGAGGCCTGGACTCTGCTCGGGGAGCACTCTGAGCTCTTTCTCACTTGAATCTCCCCGAGCCCGGGCGGGGTCTCCAGGCAGAGGCTCACGGCCCCACGGTCCAGGGGCGGCTCTGGCCCCTCCGTCTCCTTCCCCGGCAGGTGTGAGCACCTCTGGCCCCAGCCAGGCACTGTCCCATGAGTAGGGGGCATGCGAAGGGGTGTATAGCTGGGGAGCCCCCACGTGCTCTGGGCCCAGAGGTGTTGGGCATCTGCCTGGACCCAACAGGGCACCCCTTCTGTGGAGGGGAGCTGGCCCAGAGTGGCACCCAGGCAGGCGGGTCCCTGGGGTGGCCCTCGGTGCAGCCGAGCTACACTGGCTGCGAGTTCCGTGAGGGAAACTGAGGCCCGGGCAGGAACGGACCGGGAGGCACCCCGGGGGAACGTCACCTGCGGAAGATGGAGCCTGTCAGCAGCCACCAAGGCCACGGGGCGCACCCTCCTGCCACTTGGGCCTGGGTGCCCGAGCCCACCACCCAGCCTCCCTCCCTCCTGGGCTGATGCCCACCCTGCTCCCACCTGCTCTCAGGTTGCCCCTGGCAGCGAGGTCAAGGGATGGAGCCCCACCCCAGCAGTGCTCACCGTGGGCACCGTGGGGGCGTGCCGGCCTCCGCTGGGGGCAGTCACCGCTGTGCTAGAGGACTCCACGGGCAGTCTCCTCGGAGTGAGGAGGCCACGCGGCCCGAGGGACACCCAGTGCCAAGGGGTGATCAGAGGTGGACGGCAGACCCGCCCACATGGCTTCGCAGGAGGGACCGGCCAGCAGGGGGAGAAGCTGGGTGAGATAGTCCCTCAGCTCCAGGGCCCCTGTCCCACCCGAGGGCTGGGGGCTGCAGGCCTTCCCAAGGTCCACAGAGAACTGTCCCCGACCACTCCTCACTGCCCCCCGTGTCAGCTTGGGGTGCTGGAACACCCCAGCCTGCACCCAAAGAGTCTGTAGGGGCTCCCCACACCCTGGGTCTCCATGGCCAGGGAGCCCAGCAGCCCAGCTGTGGTGGACACGAGGGAGGGGTCTGCCGCCTGCCCAGAGCCAGGCTGGAGGGGGACACGAGGTGCAGAGCGCCCGGACCCGCAGAGCAAGGCTTTTGCTGAATAAATGAGTGAATGAATGGCGACCTCGTCCGAGCCCTCCCCTCTGGCGGGAAGGTGGGGTCTTCCAGCAGGGGGTCCAGGGAGGAACTCACTCTCATCTGCCCTCGGGCGGGCCTTGCCAGGGAGAGGGTGTGGCTGTGGGGTGCAGGCCCAGGACCCCGTGGGGACTCCACCAGAAATACGGTTAGAACAGCAGGATTTCGCTAAAATAGCTCTGTGTACAAGGTTTCTCTAGGTGTAGGTTTCCAAAGAAACAGCCAGGCTCTGGAGGCTGAGGGCCTGGGCCGTCTGTGCGTCCTGGTCCTCGGAGTCTCGGGGTTCTCGGGAGCAGAAGCGAGGTGCCTTGCAGGACAGTGCTGCCGGAGCAGCAGCGTCCACGGGGCGGGATGCGCGCAGCGGGCCGTGCACCCTAGACGCGCCGTGAGCAGGTCCCTCTGCAGCCCTTGGGGGGAGAGAGAACCCTGAGACCCGGACACCTGCTCCCAGGGCGCCCCCCTGCCCAGACCACACCCACCGAGGCCAAGCACCAGCCCCGACTCTAACTCAGCAGCTCCTGAAATCACACCCACCACCCCAGCCTGGCCCTCCTCAGGACGGGACCTGCCTGTGTGCCTGAGCTCAGACCCCTGGAGCCACGGCCCTGTCCCCATGGGGCCTGGACGGACTTGGGCCGCAGGCATGGGCTGGATGCCAGGAGACAGGGCCGGCAGGCAGCTGCCCGCCCCATGGCCAGTGCGCTGCATCAGGACCCAGAGCTCCAGGCAGGTTGGTGGCTGGAGGGGCACCGAAGGGCCTGGAGCATCAGGACCAAAGGTTCACCACAGGCGGACATACCAGCCCCTGGCCTCAGCTTGAATCTGTTTTGCTCACTGGCCACCTGGGGTGCACTGGCAGCTGGGGAGCCGTCCATCTCCCAGCAGGCTCAGCTCTAAGCGGCGGGGACAGCGGCTGGTGGCCATGCAGACGGGCACCCCAGCAGAGGCTGTGGCCGGCCCTTTGTGAGACCACCCACCCCGTCCCTGTGGACGGACGGAGCTGCTGCTTCACGAGGGTTTGCACAGCTGCCCAGACACCCAGCGAGGGGGAGGCCAGCAGGCCTGAACCCATCCAAGAAGCCAGGCCTTGGCCAGGCTCCCACAGGCCTCTGTGCTCATTCTGTGGGGCTCCGGGCGCCCCCCAGGTCTGTGGTCCCTCCTTTTTTTTTTAAGTTTTTTTTTCTTTATTGATTTTAGAGAGAGAGGAAGTGAGGAGAGAGACAGAAACATCGATGAGAGAGATCATCGATTGGCCGCCTCCTGCATGCCCCCCACGGGGGATCAGGCCCACAACCTGGGCATGTGCCCTGACCGGGAATAGAACTGGCGACCTCTTGGTGCAGGGTCGATGCTCGACCACTGAGCCACACCGGCCGGACTGTGGTCCCCCCTTAAGGAGTGGGGTGGGCCTGTGCTGGGCCCCCTCTCCGGCGGCTCAGGTGCCGTGGGGAGAACGGGGCTCCCTGGGCACCTGGCCTAGGGGCAGGGTTCTCCTCAGTCAGCAGTCCCAGCCCAGGACACCCTGCCTGCCAGGGCTGCCCTCTGCCAACAGCCTGCTGAGTCACTGCTCCCTGCGGGTCAGGTGGGTCTGGGAGGAACGGGTGGCTGAGGGGCCACCCAGGGCCTATGCAAAGCAGCCCAGAGCTTCCTGGATCCTGGAGCAGCTGCTGAGCCCCAGCCCGGAAATGCGCTCCCCAAGGCTGGGGCCAGCCCGGCCCCCAGGACAAGCCAGGTCCTGCTGCACCAGAAGCTGTGGGAGGCAGGGGGTTGGGGCAGCTGCGCTGGGAAGTTCGTTTTCTTTTTAAATCGTCACCCAAATGTATGTTTTTATTTGTTTTTAGAGAGAGAAAAAGAGAGAAAGAAACCTGGATCAGTATGGGCCCCGGCCGGGGATCGAACCTGAAACCTAGGTACTGTGCCCAGACTGGGAACTGAACCCGCAAACTTTTTGGTGTATGAGACGACGCTCCAACCAAGGGAGCCACCTGGCCAGGGCTGTCGGGCAGGGCTTTGCCCACCGATGCACCAAGTCTAAACAGGGCCCACGGTGGGGCTGGAAGGGGCGAAGCTGGGCCAGCTCCACCCACGCCAGGGAGAACAGAACCTGACTCCCTTGAGGTGCCGAGTCCAGGTGCTTGGGGCAGCAAACCCGTGAGCACCGCAGGGGGCGAGGGAGCCGGGCCTGGGGGGGTTGGGCCGCGCCGTCTCTGGGGACAGGGACAGACAGGGGGCTGCCAGGGAGCAGCACCAGGTGGGCACAGCGTGTCCGGGAACCGGTGCTCTGGGACCCAGATGAACCTTCTGGGAAAACCCTGCAAACCTGGGTCATAAGGTATGAAAAGCATCTTCCCCAAAGCAACAAAACACTGGCAAAGGCTCAAGGAAGGATTGGTCTCCGCTGCAGGGCCGTGAGCCAGCCCCAGGTGCCTCCTCCTGTGGCTCTGCCAAGCTCGGGGCTCCCTGGCCTCCGGGGCTGGGTGTGAGGGCAGAAGAGCACCCCGAAGGGAGCAGAGACACCGCCTCAGTGGAGCACGGGAGAGCCTGAGCTATGCTGGGAAACCCCAGAGAACACGGGGCCAGGAAGCCCCCAGATCTGCACGGCAGGCTCTTGTCCCGGCGTGGGTGGTGGGGGTGTCCGCTGTGGATGCCACTCCCCTGGGCCTGGAGGGACAAGGACCTGCATTCCGGAAGGCATGCCAAGGATCCCACAATGAACGGTTTCAAGAAAACGTGCCGTTTACAAGAAAACAGCCAGCAACACAGGAATGACTAAGACTCCAGCTACTACAGTTACCAGACACGATCAGACCCTGACTGTTCCCAAACCGTATGTCTCAACACCGCTGAGAAGTCACAGGCAGGGGAAGGCACAAAGGCAGGACCCAACAGCTGTGTGAACACCTTTCTTTTTTGATCCTCACCTGAGGACTTTTTTTTCCCATTTTTTGTTCTGATAGAGTGGGAAGGGGGGGGGGGGAGAGAGACATCGACGTGAAAGGGACACATCGAGTGGCTGCCACCCGCACGACCCCAACCAGGGCGGAGGACAAACTGCAACCGAGGTGTGAGCCCTTAGCGGGAACCGAACCCGGGTCTCCCTGGACCGCAGGCCGACGCTCTGACCACTGAGCCAAACCAGCCAGGGCGAGATCTTCTTAAAAGAAGGGAATTTTATGCCTAAACCTGAACTGTCAGCAGACGGGCTGACAGTGCCCTGGACCTTGGAGCAGACAGGAAACGGCCGTGAGGTGTGGGGAGAGGCAGGGAGGGCAGCAAACACCCCGCCTGACCCCAAGGGCAGGAGGGAGGTGGGGCGGAGGTGGAGAGCCGCTGGCTGAGGGTGGCCCGTGCCGGACTGATGGCCTTGTGTGCAGACTGCAGAACACAGGGTCCAGCTGGGTAAGGAAGCCGGCCCCACACCCAGACCTGCAGGCAGACAGCCAGTGAGCAGGCGCTGCACTGACTTCGCCAGAGCGGCAGAGCCCAGACGGAGCGGATGCTGTGGGACCGGCCCGCCGGACTCCTCCTCCGAGATCCGTCTCTTTCAGAAACACGTGCGAACAAGATTTGTAGACCAAACGCGAGTCAGAGTGTGCCCCTGCCAGGCCCTCCCTGAGGGACGTTCTCAAGAATATGTCTTCACAGGGTCCAAGTGGTTCCACATTGAAAGTGTGAGGCAGGCCCTGGCCGGTTTGGCTCAGCAGTTAGAGCGTCGGCCCACAGACCAATGAGTCGCGGGTTCGATTCCGGCCAAGGGCACGTACCTCAGTTGCAGTTCATCCCCGGTCCTGGTCGGGGTCTTGTGGGAGGCAACCAGTCAATGTGTCTCTCTCACATCGATGTTTCTCTGTCTGAAGATAAATTGAAAAATATCCTTGAGCGAGGATTAAAAAAAAGAAAAAGTGTGCCGTCTCTCGGCCTGCTGGGATGGGTGCAACACAATGAAACTACAAGCACACACTGTTTAGAATTTGGGGGAGCTTTGCAAGGTAGCAAATGCTCCAGATCTCTGGACACAGTCCCACAGTGCAGATTGGTACCCCCAGGTCACAAGTGGATTTAAGTAAATTATTTCCTTGAGACGGCATTACTGCAAACATACACCTTGGATTTGTCTCTTGCTTTTTCCAGGAAGAGACCTTGAAGCCAAAAGATAACAAACCCTTATTCACAGGCAAATGAAGCACCCAATACACCTGGGCGGGCCAGGTTTCCCCCGGGCTAGGATTCCGAGAATGCATTAACACAAGGTTGAGAGTGCTTAACACAAGGTTAAAAAACTTCCATTTTCCAAGCCCCTAACCCCACAAAAGGGTGAGGCAGCTGGAGGGGTGACAGGCAGAGAGGAGGGTGTGTAGGTAACCCTAAAAATCACTGATGGCATAAGCAATGGTCATAATGATATCTTGTAGGGTAAAGGATGGGGGAGGGAGAGAGAGCTAGAAATATTGATGTGAGAGAGGAACATTTATCAGCCGCCCTCTGCATGCCCCCTTCTGGGGATCAAGCCTACAACCTGGGCATGTGCCCTGGCTGGGAATCGAACCAGTGACCTCGGTGCATGGGACGACACTCAATCCACTGAGCCACACTGGCCGGGCTCTCGTAAGGTTTAAAAACCTATAATTAAACTGCGTGATGACATTTGCAAGACTCAGAGGGAGTGGGGACAGCAGGTCTCCAAGCCTTAAGGTCATCGTGTGGTCTGAGTGCAGGTGCAAAGAGGATTTTCCTTAACTTGGGACTCTGATAACTGACGCATGTGACTAGTCACTTCTAGGCAGTCACAAAAAGTCCAGAAACAGAGTGTACAACCTCCAAACTAGAAAAAGGAAAAACTGAAGTGAGAAAAATGTTAACCCCAAATAGGATGGAAACAGAGAGAAGAAAGAACACGAAACGGGTGGGATCAACCGCGATGAAGCCTCCACACACGGGCCTCTCCTGTCTGCGCAATTTGCCAACTCAGAATGCCCGGGAGCCCCGTGCCGGAGCCCCCCTTGCACGGAGCCCCGTGGTGCGCGGGGCCCCGAGGGTGTGCGAGAAGTCATGCTTGTCAAATAAATACCGCCGAGGGTGGGGAGGGGTTGTCTGTTTAGCAGCATTACTGCTACAGAACCAGGTGGATATGTGTCCCTTTCACGTCGATGTTTCTCTCTCTCCCTCCTACTCTATCTGAACAAAATATGGAAAAATGTCCTCGAGTGAGGATAAAAAAACAAAACAACAACAAAAAAACCAAAAACCAAACAAACAAAAGACAGCGCCCTGGCCAGTGTGGCTCAGTTGGTTGGAGTGTCCTCTGTGCACCAAAGGGTTGTGGGTTTGAATCTCTGTTGGGGCACGTGCCTGGGTTGTGGGTTCCCATCCCTGGTCTGGGCGCAGGCCAGGGGCAGCCAATCGGTGTTTCTCACGTCGATGTTTCTCTCCCTCTCCCCTTCCTCTCTCTCCAAAAATCAATGGGAGCTTGTCCTCAGATGAGGATTGAGAAAAAAGACAATAGAGTCCAAAACCCAAACAGCACGTAGGGCCACCCGCTGTCTGCTGCCGGTGCAGCGTGGTGAGGACAATGCGATGACAGTACGTCACTCCAGCTGAATCCCCAAAGGGAAGATAATGAGTCCTGACGCCTACATCACACCGCACACAGGAACCATTCCCGACGGAATTCAGCTCAACACGTGAAATGTCAAACGATACAACTAATGTAGACAAATTCAGAAGAAAACACAGTGACTATTTTTATGATTCTGAGACAGGCAGAGACTTCTCAAACAGAAAACGAAAGTGCTCATCATAAAAAAAAAATGGATACAGGGATCTATGAAAATCAATAATTTAGGTGCAAATCATCAAGGGTAAGACATTTTTTTTTTAATCCTCACCCGAGGATATTTTTTTTTTTCCATTTATCTTCAGATAGAGTGGGAAGGAGGGAGAGAGAGAAACTTCAGTGCGAGAGAGACATATCGACTGGTTCTCAGGACCGGGGACTGAACAGCAACTGAGGTACGTGCCCTTGGCCGGAACTGAACCCGTGCCTCTTTGGTCCGTGGGCCGACACTCTAACCACTGAGCCAAACCAGCAAGGACCGTAAGACACTTTTAATACATATACTCACAAAGGACTGGATCCGGAAATGCTACAGTCAACAGGAATAGGCTGACAGAAATATGTGGAAATACAAAAATGGCACTTTGTAAGAGTATGCTCAAGTCAGTCATCAGGGAAATGTAAATATAAGCTATAATGACTCATCTACCAGAATGACTAATAGCCGGTGTGGCTCAGGGGACTGAGTGTCCTTTCATGGACTGAGAGGTCCTGGTTCGATTCCTCAGCAGGGCATGTGCCCGGGTTGCAGGCTCGATCCCCAGTAGGGGGCGTGCAGGGGGCAGCTGATTGATGTTTCTCTCACATGGATGTTTCTATATCTTTCTCCCTTCCTCTCTCTCTAAAAAATCAACACACACATATTTTTTTTTTATCCTCACCCGAGGACATTTTTCCACTTTTTGTTCAGACAGAGTGAGAGGGAGAGAGAAGGAGAGAGAGAGAGAGAAACATTGATGTGAAAGGGACACATCGAGTGGCTGCCACCTGTATGACCCAACCAGGGCCGGGGACAAACTGCAACCGAGGTACGCACCCTTAGTGGGAATCGAACCCGGGTCTCCCTGGACCGCAGGCTGATGCTCTAACTGCTGAGCAAAACCAGCCAGGGCTCAACACACACATATTAAAAAATAAAAATAAAATAATAGAAATACCGAGAGGATCTAGTGTTGGCAACCGACGCACTCCTACACCGTCGTGGGAGGCCCGTCAGAACAGGCACAAGCACTGGACACTGTCTGACAGGGAATGCTGACTGCACAAAACTTCAATACTCCTTATAAATTAAAGGCAAGGTAAAGAAACAAATTGTAAACAAGGGGAAAAAACAAAACAAAACAAGAAGGGAGAACCAGATGGCTTTATCAGGTAGAACTTTGTAAAAAATGAAACTGATATAACTAAAATTAAAATTACAACAGACGGGATTAATGGTGTCCTGGACCCTTTGGGAACTCCCTGGGAGTGTTTGCCGACGCTGGTGTGTGACCCAGCAACTCCACACCGTTGGAGAAAGATGTGTTCACCACACTCGAGAATGTTCTCGGCAGCACTGATGGTAACAGTCTGCACTAGAAATGGTGTAAATGTCTATCAACGGCAGTATGAATAAACACATGTGGTTGAGAATAAATTTTTAGCTACATGCAAGAAACCAAATCGAGCCATGTGCCAAAACGCAACAGCAAACCAAGTTGGGAGTCATTCCTGGAACGCAAGGTTGGTTTAATACCCAAAACCTGATGGATAGCATTCACACTTAAATCGTACAAAGGACTAAATGGTGATGACAACCTCCTAGGTAAAAAAGAGTTCTTGAGAAAATTCACCACACATTCACAACGTGACATCTCGGTCAAGATGGAAAGAAACGTCTTTAACATGCTAGAGTGCCCATACATTTACATCTACATCTTTATAAGGACCTAGACAACTGTCATTATACATGAGAAAACGCTGGGGACATTCCCTTGAAAAATCAGGAATTCAACAATGGTGCCCAGCGTTGAATAGGAAATTCTAGCCAGTACAATGAGCTATTTGCATGTGATGTAATTATTTATGCAGAAAAACTAGAAGAATGTACATAGAAATGGTTAGAAATGAGAGCATTTAGAACAGTGGTGGTGCATAAAATTAATATATACGGGCCAGTGGCATTTTCTACACCAGCAGCAACAACGAGGACACCTGTTCACAACAGCAACCCCGCAATGTACACGCCCAACCGCAGAAGAGGAGGTGAAGAACTGTGACCTGCTCACACTAGTCGTGAGCTGCAGTGACCCATGGCCACACAGACAGAGCTCAGCAGTTTGATACTTAGTGGAAAGGTAGGATGGACTTCTTGAAAACCAGCTGAAATGAAGTCTTTTCAAAAATACATATAGCCCTGGCCAGTGTGGCCCAGCGGTCAGAGTGTCGGCCCAAGTACTGCAGGGTCTCAGATTCCTGGGCTGCAGGTTCGATTCCCAACCTCAATCGGGGTCGTTTGGGAGGCAGCCACTCGATGTGTCTCTCTCACATCAATGTTTCTCTCTCTCTCTCTCTCTCTCTCCCTCCCTCCCTTCCGTTCTCTAAAAATCAATGGAAAAGTATCCTTGTATGAGAATTAACTACAACAAAAAGACAATACATAAATGGAGAGGTAGACCACGTTCATAGATTGTAAGACTCAACAATGTAAAGAAGTCAGTTCTCCCCAAATTGATACATGAATTTAACTTAATATCAATAAAAATCTTTGTTTTTTTAATCCTCTCCCAAGGATATTTTTCCATTATCTTCAGACAGAGTGGGAGGGGGAAGGAGAGAGAGAGAAACATCGACTGGTTGCCTCCTACACGACCCCGACCAGGGCCGGGGACGAACCCCAACTGAAGTACATGCCCTTGATCAGAATCGAACCCACGACTCATTGGTTTGCAGGCCGACGCTCTACTGCTGAGCCCAACTGGCCAGGGCTCAATAAAAATCTTTTAATTTAATTTTTTTTTTTTTGGTGGCTCTTGACAACCTGAGTCTTGACAACTTGTATGGACGTACGGGTGGGGGTCAAGGTCCAAGTCATTTCCAAAGAAGAAAAACAAGGTCGTGGGACTTGCCTGACCGGTGCAAGGACCTCCTACAAAGCGACAGTAACAGGGACCAGTGGCCTTGGCCCTGGGCAGATGGACGGAGTGATGGAGGGAACCAGAAAGTCCAGAGACACGGATTCGGGGCAGCCGGGCCCTGCGGAGGAGTGGGGGAGGGGCTCCCCACAGGGACACGTCGGGCTCCCACATCTCACACCACCGGCCAAATCAGTCCTAGGGGATTTCAAGACCGAAACGGATGAGCACCAACGATGCTTCTACCAAATGCCCTGGAGGTGCTCTTCCCGCGCTCAGGGAGAGACAGAGACCACCCTCCATGCCCGTTCTCATGTTATCAAAACGGGACAGGAAGCTGAAGTGGCCATTTCACAGGTAAGTAGGAAAATGCCGACCTGCACCCTGGCGCGCTGTCCAGAGGCAAACCGACCGTCTGTGGGCGCCACGGCCACTCACTCGTACCACCGTGGTCCACGTGTGACCCCTCGGGCACTCCGAGCACCTGTGTGCCTGCCCACCACCAAACCCAAGGCCACTGGAGCCTGTGACGGGCCTTATGTAGAAACAGGATCTCTGCCCGTGTAAGGAGAGTGACCTGATCCAACAATGGGAACCTCGTAGGAGGATCTGGACTCAGAACCACACGTGAACACAGGGTGGGGCCACGTGTCCACAAGCCACGGGACACCAAGGATGCCAGTGGCCACCAGGGGCCGGAAGAGACCAGCAGGATTCTTCCCTGCAGCCCCTGGGAGAGTGCGGCCCAGCGACACCTTGCGTCCCAGCCTCCAGCCCTGGGACAGAGCCGGTTCTGCGTGTCAGCCGCCCCGTCTGCAGTACCTGTCACAGCCGCGAGGGCGTCCGGTCGCAGTGACCCTGTGTGCCCCCGGGCCATCGGCATGTCGCTCCCAGGAAGACGCCTGTACGGAGCTGCCCAGTGTCGGCGGAAAAGGAAACACTTTCAAAATACTAGGAAGTCTGGAAAGGGCCCGGATTTCCAGAGGCGGGTTGCTAAGTGGTGGGCTGCCTGGCGACAGCCGGCCTGGGGCGAGGCGGGCGGGCAGGACCTCTGGAAGCAGGTGGCAGCTGCGGGGGCGATGCCCACACGCCCACCTACCCACGGCCCAGGGCCTGGGCGCAGGAAGGACCCTGCCCTCAGGGGCACACAGTCTGGGGGAGGCAGACAACCAGCAGACAGATGGTCAGCGGGGCTGCTGGTGTCGGGCGAGAGAGAGGCTGGACCCTGCGTAGCAGGTGCGGGTATCGGTGTTTGGGGACTGGGGGGCCGTGGGCCTGGCTGGTGCCTTTCCGTCACACAAACTCTGGCCACTGCTGTGCGCCATGCACCATGGGAAGCAGGGGGTGCCCAGCCACCCCAGTGCCAGGCTGCCCCTGTACCCACGGTGCGAGCCCAGGACAGGCCCCGGCCATGTGTGGTTGGACCCCCCAGAAAACGAAACACAAGAACCCAGTGATCCTTCAAATCTCGACCTCAACCCCCCATTCACACTTCACCCCATGAGAAGGCTGCTCCTGAAACTGATGCGACAGGACGGGCCTGGATGGGCCAGGGTGCCCCAACCCCGCTCACAGCTCCGGCCAGCGCCCGCAAGACAGGCTGCCCGCCCCAACCAGAGGCCCAGGGCAGGGCTCCTGGGCACCGACGCCCGGCGGCCCCCACAGCGCCCTCTGCTGTCTCCACTCTGCTCGGAGGAACAGGCAGCAGTGGACGCTCTGGGTGTTTGTGGGACCTGGTTTTCGGGGTCCAGGTGTCACGTCACACTGCAGACGCGCCGTGGACAGACGTGGCCCGCAGGGCCTGAAGGGTGGCCTCTGCAGGCTCAGGCAAGTACCTTTCCGTCTTTCAGCTTCAGGTCCTGCTGCAGAGCCGTCTGTGGGGGTCCGGGCGCCAGGACCGCGCTGACCGAAGGGCACCTCACTTTCAGCAGCTGAGGGTCCAAGAGCGGAGACGAAAACTTCAGGCCGGGCGTGGGCGGCGTTTGCTTCTTGGCTTTCCTCACGCTGACGCCTTCCACGCAGAGGTCGGACCCGTGGGCTGGCGGCAGGTCCACGGCAGGCTGAGGGGGACAGGTCAGCGGTACCAGGCTGCCCCCCACAGGCACAGCGCTGCCCCGTCCATGTGTGCTGGTCAGGCGTCGGGGCTCACAGGGAGGCATCAGCCACACTTCCCGATGGCTGGGCTGCCTGCTGGGTGCCCCTCCAGGCTTTGGCTCGGGGTCCCACCCACAGAGACGGAGGCCAAGAACAAAGCCACCCCCAGCCCGCTGCCTGGCCTGCAGGGAGACCCCTGAAGGACGGCACCGTTTTCCGGAACAGAGGAGGGAGCAAGAAACAGCCTGGCCCTGGCCGGTTTGGCTCAGCGGTTAGAGCGTCGGCCTGCGGTCCAGAGAGACCCGGGTTCGGTTCCCGCTAAAGGCAGGGACCTCGGTGGCCGTTTGTCCCTGGCCCGGTTGGGGTCGTGTGGGTGGCAGCCACTCAATGTGTCCCTTTCACATGGATGTTTCTCTCCCTCTCTCCCTCCCTCTGTTCTTCCTGCTCTATCTGAAGATAAATGCAAACGTGTCCTCAGGTGAGGATAAAAGAAAAGAAAGAAACAGCCTGCAGGACCAGAGGCGGGGACAGCCCACCAGCCCTGTTACCCGTTTTGCTCGGTTTGCTGGAGGTGACTGGTAGGAGCAGGCACCAGGCCCTCGGGCCACGCCGCCCGAAGTTGGAACCGCGGTGTCCCCGGCTGGGCCGGGCAGCGGGAGCATGTGCGGCGCCCCCACCCTGCCGGCCCCTCACCTGTCTCCACAGCAGCTCGAACTTGCCGACGTCGCAGCTGCGGTCGCCCTTCCGGTCCACGACCACCTTGATGGTGTCCTCCTGCACCTGCGTGCACAGCTGCGCCGTGACCGGGGTGGAGGGGTGCATGGCCGGGCTGGAGTTGATCTCGATCAGCCAGGGCTTGAAGTCGTGGCCCAGGATGAAGTCGGCGCCGTAGAGCTCGAAGCTGTTCTTGCGGGGCTCCACGTGGTCCTGGGCCACCTTCATGGTGTTGGCGATGGCCCGCTTCATGCAGGGGTAGACGACGCTGCTCCACACGGAGCCCTGGCCCCTCCTCTGCAGGTACTCCTGGAACCGGGTGCTCGTCCACATGTTGTGGGGGGGCAGCAGCGGGCTGCGGTCCTTGTCGTTCCTTAGGTGCTTCTGGATGGAGTTGTTGCAGAGATGGATGGCCCTGCGAGGCCAGGCCACGGTCAGGCGGCCGCCCCTGGGCCCCTGCACAGCCCGGGACCCAACCACCGCCTGGCTCCACCCCCGGGCCCCTGCACCAGCCCAGGACCCCAAATCCACCACCTGGCTCCACCCCTGGGCCCCTGCACCAGCTGGGACCCCAAATCCACCACCTGGCTCCACCCCTGGGCCCCACCCCCTGGCACAGGGCGGCTGCAGGAGGGGCTCACACAGCCTCCCATCCTGCCTGGGGGATTCCACCGATGGCACCAGGGCCAGGTCAGAAGCCCACCAGCTCGGGGCCACCAGCTCGGGGCCACCAGCCTCAGCTTCCCCACTGGACATGGCAACAGAGACGGGCCCCTGAAGGGCAGGTCTGGTGGGAAATCACCAGCATCTCCAGTGACTTCTAAGCAGCATACAGACAGAGTCACTGCTGGGAGATTACAGAGCCCTGCAGCCATCTGCCTCGGGGTGCGAGCCCCGCCCTGTGACCGTGGCTAACTTTTACTGCATAAGACACGAAAGGAACAAGATACAGATGTCGGAGAGTCCTGGACGCCAAGCACAGTGTCGGGATAAAGGACCTTCGGAGCTCACCCCACCTGGCAGGGCTGCGCCTGTGCAGAACAGTTTCAGGGGCTCCCCCGTCAGTTTGGGGTGAGGGCTGGGGTTCCAGACCGAGAAGGGAGCTTAGGGGCGGGGAGAGAGGTGCTTCCGGAATTTTCTGAAGATGCACACTTCATGGGAGGGCAGAGAGCTGGCTTTGAGGGCAGCGGGCCGGGGCCTGTCCCTGGGGCAGGGAGGTCATTTAGCCTCCCAGACCTTGGTCACCTCACTGCAGGGGCAGCCTGGGTACCCAGCCCTGCCCTGCCCGTGCCCTGCCCTGCCCCTCCCTGCAGAGCCCAGCTGGTGCCCGCTGACCCGTCCAGGTCGTCCAGGGAGAAGCGCCGCGTGGAAAACCGCAGGTAGCTCTCCTTGTAGAACCAGATGGTCAGGGGGTTCCAGTCGGTGACCAGGAACCACTGCCTGATGTCGAACTTGGTGCCGTGGATGAGCAGCGGCGTCTCGATGTACTTCTGCACCACCCACTTGTCCTTGGTGGAGGAGTGGTCAGCCGCCACCAGCTCCAGGATCTCCTCCACGCGGTCCATGCACACGATGTCTGCAAGGGGCCAGCGCTCAGCCCCGGCCGCGGCCCCCAGGGCAGCGCAGTGGGGAGGGCAGGGGAGGCTCTGATCTCGGGTCCAGCCTGTAGCCAGTGCAGCCCCGGGACCCCAGAGAGGACAAAAGGACGGGGAGGGACAGGGGTGGGGACAGAGGCCCTTTGAAAGGTGGCCAGTGAGTGATGAGTGCGGCTGAACGAGGAAGCAGGGCCGCTCTCAGGGACCAGCCGGCGGGGCAGGGGGTGTTCTGCCAACTGCGAGGGTCCAGTCAGTGGGGCCTCACACCCAAGGGTGACGGGATGAGCAGGGGTGGGCCCGGGGGGAGCGCACTGGGCACACGACCGTTCACCCACACTCGGCCCTCCTCCGCTGGGCAGGAGGGTTTACGAGTCCTCACGCTCACCCCACAGAGTTAGGCCACGTGACCAGCAGTGACCAGTGACGTCTGAGCAGAAGCGACATGCATCTCTGTGGCAGTTAATGTCGCCTATAGACCCTGCAACCCGCCCTTCCCCTGGCAACCCTGGAGCCTGAAGGGAGTGGTGTTACGAGATGGTGGGGGGCCTCTGATGGGCAGAGCCACCCCCCACACCATCCGCCCAGCCACCCTGCATGGGAAACAAGCATGAGGGGGAGGAGCTTGGTGAGGTTGTTCATGGCCTTGTGAGAGCCACAGAGGTCGGGGCTGTTTGTTACTCAGCACAGGGTGGCCCCCCTGACTGATGTGAGGGTGGAGGGGAGCACCCTCCGCTGAGGCCCAGAGGCGCAACAGTGTGACACGAGGAGAGCTTTCCTCACAAAAATACAAGACCAGTGTCTTCAGCTACATGAAGCTGAGACCTTGCTGTCCTGAAACGAAAGGCTGGGACAAAGCAACAAACCATGAAGTTATCCCGAGCCGCTAGCAGGGAGGGGCACAGAGCTGGGGACACAGCCAGCAACGGGGCGGAAAGTGGCGCATTGGGGTCTTGAACAGGTGGGTCCATCTGCCCCTGAGGATACAGGTGGACGCAATGGGAGAAGATCTAGCCTGATGGATAGTAGGAGAGGGCCACCCACGGATGGGAGAGCGGGCAGAAGCCCAGGAGACGGGCATGTTTCAGGACAGATGTTTAGGGCTGAATACAGTAACATCAAATTAATAGATTTTTAAAAATCACATAAAAATTAACCACTTGTGAATGTAAAACAACAATGAAAAAATAATTCAAGGGGCAAATAGAATATCCAAATAAAAGAAAAGTATATTTGGATCCTAGGGAAAATGAGAACATTATAAAACAAACAAGAGGATGCAGCTAAGGCCATATTCAGAGGGCATGTCATAGCCTTGAAGCTTTTTGTTGCACAGAAAAGATTGAAAACAAATAAGCTTAGCGTTTAAGTCAGAGCCAAGAGGGGAAAATGTCCCTCACAGGAACATTGAAAGAAATGCAACCAAAAGTTGACTCTTTGGAAGCACAAATAAGATTAGAAACCACCTTGAAATCTTGTTTATAAAAAAACACATGCCCTTCCTGGTTTGGCTCAGCGGTTAGAGCGTCGGCCTGCGGTCTGGAGAGACCCGGGTTTGGTTCCCGCTAAGGGCACGTACCTCGGTTGCAGTTTATTCCCGGCCCTGGTTGGGTCATGAGGGAAGCAGCCACTTGATGTGTCCCTTTCACGTCGATGTTTCTCTCTCTCTCTCTCTCTCTCTCTCTCTCTCTCTTCCTCTCTCTCCCTCCCACTCTATCTGAGCAAAAAATGAAAAAATGTCCTCGGGTGAGGATAAAAACAAAAAAGGACGGGAATATCCTCATTAACCAGCTCAGAACAAAAGCCGAGAAGGGTGGTCCTGTTGACATGCCTGTTCCTGAGACCTGGGCTCTGGGCGCCTGGGGTCCCTGAGCCCCCTCGGACCCTGCTGTCCAGCCCAGGCTGCCCGCGGCAGGCCGTCCCCAAAGGCCCCAGCCCGGGTCACACAGTGCAGCCTCAGGACTCACCTCGGCCCCGGGACTTGGCCGCAGGCTTGACTATCCAGATGTTTCGCAGCCCGTCAATCTCTGTCTGAGGGCTCACGGAGGAGATTCTGTTCAGCAGAGCCTGGCACTGCGAAAGGTGACTTCCTGAATTCAAGACAAAGGCGTCGCCACTACAAAGCAACAGGCAGAACACGTGTGAAATTCTGAGGGCTGAGCCCAGCTCCCCCGACGGCGGGTCTAGGACTTCTGGGCCCCCAGGGCGCCTGGAAAGGACCTGACGAGGCTGCTCCCGGCCGGTCATGTGGACACTGGGGGCCCCAGATGTGGACCCGGACTGCAGCACACCCCAGGAGCATCGTGCCTGGGCTGAGTAAAGGTTGCAGGGAGACAAAGGCGGGGTTCCTGTGAGGGGCCCCAAGTCAGTGCAGCCCTGGCAGCCCCATGTCTGGCAGTCGTGGGGCCTGGGACAGCATCCATCTAAGGGGCGCCTCATGAAGAAGCAGACCTGCCGGGGTCCCGCGGCTGATGGAGGCTGGATGCCAGCTCAGCGTCCTGTGGGCTCGACTGTCCATCAGTCGGGCTGGTGGCCACGCAGTGACGGTGACAAGAAGCCACCATAATTTAAGAGAATGAAGGAGGGAGAGCTTCGAGTGGCTTCGGGAGCTCAGGGTACACTGGACGCTGGGGCGGGGAAATCTGCGCCCAGGGCCACTCCGCCCTGCCGTGCGTGGATGAGCACACGGCAAGCCCTCGGGTGATGGCGCAGAGGGGAACAAGGTTTTCTACGACACCGTTGTCTATTCACACCTGCCCGGGAGGGGACAGCAACGTGAAGTGAGGAGTGACGCGCGGGGGTGTCCCGTGGTTTGAAGAGGGCGCCACCACCTTAGGTGCAGCTATGGTGACAGCGTGAGAAGCAGGGGCCGCCGGGTGGTGCTGGGAACATGGGGAGGTGTCGGACGGGGCCTCGCCCCTGGTTCTAAGTGGATGCACCGAAGGGGAGCTCCAGCCCCAGACCCACCGGGCCCTCCGTCTGACCCCAGGCGGACGACAGGGTGCGGTGGGAACAGTGGGAGCCCCATGCTCGCCCTGACCGCCTCTCTGGCTGCAGACTGGCCCCAGACACCAAGGTGGAGCACGCAGGCCGCCCGGTGTCCACCACGCCGGTGAGCGTCACAGCAGCCCAGGAGCAAGCAAGCTCACGTGACCCGAATGCCATCTCGACTTCGCTCAGAGAGGAGACAAGCACCTGCTGTCCCACAGGACAGAGTCCCCAGGGCGTCCGAACCCCAGCTTGAAGGACACCTCAGCCCAGCACGGTGGCGTGTAGGCAGGGAGCAAGGTCAACGGCAAGTGTGTGCGTCGTGGTAATAACACTGTCGTCTCCACCGTGGAGGGAGAGGTGGGAGGGCTGGGAGCTAGTCCCAGCCTGCCCATGCTTCTGGTCCCGGACACCTGCAGAGTCACCGGAGAACAAGCAGGTCCCCTGGATGCTGGGGGATTTGTTAAGATGTCAACAGTAGCCAAAGCGATCTACAGATTCAATGCAATCCCTAGCAAAGTCCCAATGACGTTTTTTGTTTGTTTGTTTATTTTTTATCCTCACCTGAGGACATTATCTTCAGATAGAGTGGGAGGGAGAGAGAGAGAGAAACATCAATTTGAGAGAGACACATCGAGTGGCTGCCACCCACACGACCCCAACCGGGCCAGGGACAAACAGCAACCGACGTATGTGCCCCTAGCAGGAACCGAACCCGGGACTCTGGTCCACGGGCCAACGCTCTAACCGCTGAGCCAAACTGGCCAGGGCCAATGATGTTTTTTTTCAGGAAGAGAAAACCCATCCTGAAAGTGTTTGGACTCTCAAGGGACCCGAAGAGCCTAAACAATCTTGAAAAAGAAGAACAAAGGACTCATACTTGCTGATCCCAGGGAAGTCGGAGCGGAGACTCCAACGAGAATCTCTCCTGTACACAGTCGAGGAGTTCTGACGAGGGCGGACCCTTATCTCTACCATAGACAACAATTAACTCAAAATTGATCAAAGATTAAACATAAGACCAAAACCTATGAAACTCTTGTTAAAGATATACTCCTGTAAGTTTCAAACTATGTATATATATTTTTTGGAAATAACATCAAAGAACAGACAACAAAGAAAAAATAGACAAACTGGACTTGTCAAGACATTTTTAGATTTGTATATCAGCAGACAGCGTCAACAGAGTAAAAGGGCAACCCACAAAATCGGAGAAAGTATTTGCAAATAATATATCTGATAGGGGAATAATACCCAAAATATACAGAGAACTCCTCAACTCAACAACAACAAAAAGCAACCTGATTCAAAAATGGGTAAAGGACTTGAGCAGACGTTTCTCCAAAGAAGATAGACAGAGGGTCAATGGGCACATGAAAAGATGCTCAACATCATTGATCATTCAGGACATGAAATCAAAACCACAGTGAGTCTCACCTCACACCCACCAAGGTAGCTACTATCAAAAACCAGAAAACTGCTCTGGCCGGTTTGGCTCCGCGGTTGGAGTGTCAGCCCACGAGCCAAAGAGTCGGGGTTGCCTCCCAGTGAAGGGCATGTGCCTCAGTGGGGTTTCGTCCCCAGCCCTGGCTGGGGTCAGGTGGGAGGCAACCAATCAGTGTATCTCTCTCGTGTCAATGTTATTTTCTCTTTCTCTCTCTCTTTCCCCCTCCCACTCTATCTAAAGAAAAATATCCTTAGGTGAGGATTTAAAAAAACAAAATAAAAAGCAGAAAATAACAAGTGTTGATGAGGATGTTGAGAAGAGGGAAGCCCTGTGCCCTTTGGTGGGAATGTAAAATGGGGCAGCCACCGTAGAAAATAGTGAGGCGTTTCCTCAAATAATTAAATATAGAATGGCCAGCAGTCCCAATGCCGGGCATGTACCCAGAGTTGGTAGCAGGGTCTCGAAGAGACATCTGTACACCCATGTTCCCAGCAGCATTATTTACAGCAGCTACATCTGGAAGCAACCCAAGTGTCCATTGATGATGAACAGATAAGCAAAATGTGGTCTATACACACAATGGGGTATTCTCAGCATGTAAAGTGAAGGAAATTGTGGCACACGGTACAACCTGTGGAATAAGGCAGTCACAAAAAGACAAGTACTGTATGATTCCACTTACATGACATACTTAGAGTCATCAGAATCACAGGGACAGAAAGTTGGGGGAGGCTGCCAGGGGCTGGGGAGGGAAAAAGAGCTATGGAGATGGATGGTCTATGGAGATGGATGGTCACACGACACTGTGAGTATACTTAATACCACTTAACTGTGTATTCAGAAATGGTTACGAGCCCGGCCAGTAAGGCTCAGTGATTGAGTGTCGACCTATGCTCCAAGAGGTTGCCAGTTTGATTCCCAGTCAAGGCACGTGCCCAGGTTGTGGGCCCAATCCCCAATGCGGGGCATACAGGAGGCGGCCAATCAATGTTCTCGCTCATCAATGTTTCTCTCTCTCTCTCTCCCCCCTCTCTCTAAAGTCAATAAAAAAAAAATTAAAAAATGGTTACGAGGGTAAATTTTATGTTGTGTGCTTTACTGCAATAAAAATTGAAAAAACAATTGTAAAACTAGAGCAAAATGAATGAGGAGGGTGTGCACAGAGCACAGAGTCACATGTGGAGGACGTTGAATGATTGTAATTTTCTTCTGTAAATCCTAAAAGACAAAAACAAAAATGCGTAGCTAAACATCAAATGTAGGAGGTCAAATGGCTGAAAAACACTTGGTCAGGAGACCTTATTTAAGTAGCGTGTTGTAGGCAGTGGCCAGTGGTTGTGCTGTAACAAGCAGAAAAACAGCAGGTAAGTCACAAACTTACTGTGTTTCTAAACATCAGGAAGTTGTGGGAGTAAAGAAGAAGAGATGAACTACACAACACCAGATACAGAGAAGTCTTTCCTGGGTGAGTAGAGTTTGTTGGCCACTTTATTCCCTGGGAATATTTGCCAAACCCAGGTCAAAGCTGAGATTCAGGCATAAACATGTTAAGGACAGAGAGGCCATGTGGCACGAGGTGATCAGCACACAGCCATCTTTCCCCCAGAGCACAAGGAGATACGTTTCTCCTAGAGGGAGGGGCCTGCAACAGGCATTTTTGAGTCTCACTCTAGAGATACTTGACACCAGTGAGAGCTGATTTACCCAAAGCTGCAACCCAGTCTTTTATATGCAAGGTCTGGTGTGCAATAAAAATGAAAGAGACTGAGAAGAGATACATCTTCTCTGAGAAGAGGCAGAGAAACCTGAGCAAAGACAAACAATACAAGAGAGATGGCCCAGATACCATAATTAGAAGCAGGTGGATTTAAAAACGAACTGGAGACAACAGAAGACAAAGCTGGTCAACCTGAAGATGGCCCAGCACAAAATATCTATGCTCAGCCTCAGAGACAAAAATGGAGAGAACAGTATGGAGCAAAGAGACATGTGAACCACCGTCAGAGGGTCAAACAGGCATGTAATTGGAGGCCAAGGAGAAGAGCAGGAGCAATATTTGAGGAGATACTGGCTGAGAACTTCTAAAAATTAAAGTAAAAAAGAGAGAGAGAGAGAAAATCTTAAAAAGCAGCTTGAGGGAATAAAAAGAGTCAGAGGAGCTGCCGTAAGATGGATAGTGACCGCTGATTTTCAACAGGGACTATGGCAGTGCAGAGTCAGTGGGACAACATCTTCCAGGTGGTGGTGGGAGGCACCACCCACAGAGCCATCCTGGTGAAAACACCTTTGAAAATAAGGACAAACTGAAACTGAGAAAATTCTTTAGCAACAAGACCATAAAAAATATTAAAGGAGCCCTGGCCGGTTTGGCTCAGCGGTTGGAGCGTTGGCCTGCGGACCAGAGAGTCCTGGGTTCAGTTCCCGCTAGGGGCACGTACCAAAAAAAATAAAATAATTTAAAAAATAAAAAAGAAATATTAAAGGAATCTTTTTTCAGGCTGAAAGAAAATCTCAGAAGGAATCACAGAATTGAAAAAAAAAGCCCAGAAAGAGTCAACCTAAGGATAATGCAAAGAACTGATTTTTTTTAAAGCCACACCACCACTACGTGTGGTGAAGTTGGCACCTGTGTGGGAGTAAAATACCTGACGGCAGTAGCACAGCCAGGAAGACGGAGTCCGGGGAGCTCAGCTAGTATGAGGATTAAACTGTCCGGGAAATGGTAGAAATACGAATGTCAGACAGCCTGTAATGAGTTAAGATGCCTGCTATAGTATCCAGCGTAACCATTAAAATACAAAGATATTTAGCTAAAACGGGTGCATGGGAGAGACAATGGAATTGTTAGAAGGCGGAAGAGAAGGAGAAACCAAACCAAGAGTGAAGCGGAAAAAGAGAACACAAATTGCAAGAGGACAGACACGCACCAACCACATTGATGACGACTCGGTGTCAATGGAACTCTCCGACTCATAAAAACAATTGGGAGGCTGGGCAAAAAGCCAGACCCGGCCATTACCACATGCTCTGTATGTGAGACCAGCTTCAAAGGCAGAGCCTCCAGCCCAGCCGGTGTGGCTCAGTGGACTGAGCGTCGTCCCATGGACTGAGAGGCCCCAGTTCCATTCCAGGTCAGGGCGCAGGCCTGGGTTGTGGGCTCGATCCCCAGTGGAGGGCGTGCAGGAGGCAGCCGATTGCTGTATCTCTCACATCGATGTTTCTGTCTCTGTCTCTCTAAAAAATCAATAGAAACATATTTAAAAAGCAGAGCATGTCTCCCAGATGGCGAGAGGCACGGATTTCTGAAGCAGTTCTCTGAGATCTCCGCCAGGACAGAAACAGCAAAGTGACACGCTGGCGTCCAGCAGAGGACCTGCGGACTGGCAGACAGAACTCTGGGAGGTCGTTCCCAACACAGAGCCAGCCTGACTTCTGAATGAGCAGAACACCGCAGCAAGCTCTCCACGGGAGAGGCAGCCAGGGGACCAGAAGTACGTGGGGCCACGTGGGCTCAACACCACGCTGAGAAACGCCAGCTCACCACGGTCAGGGGAAGTGAGACGAAGCAGGATGGTGCCAGGCACTGGGTGGGGCGCCAGGAGCCCACACTCACGCCGTGGGGGTGTGAATCTGCAGAACCGCCCTGGGAAAGGTTCAGAACTGGGGGAGCCCATTGCCCATCCACAGCAGAAAAGGTGAGCCCTCCGTGGTCTGCAGACAAGACGTCAATGAGAAAGAGTGTGCTCCCCGCCTGCAGCCTCCCGGATGGACCTCGAGGCGAGCGTGAACGGGAATTCGCGACGGGCCTGGCTGAGTGGGTAAGAAGCAGAGCAGGTGTCCTCTGAGGGGCTCTGCCAGGGAAGGGAGCCGAGGGGGCCTGGTGGGGATCGGAAGGTCCTCCACCATGTCCAGGGCAGTGGCTCCACCGGGGAGCATACATGGCCACTGCATCCACCTGAACAGATGCCCGGAGTGCCCATGTGCCCTGTGCTGCACTTCTGTCTCCGCAAAAAAGGGAAGGAGCTGTCCACCCAAAAGGAGGGCGGAGGATGGAAAGGCGGGGCTGCAGGCAGGTCCCAGCACAAGGGCTCCGGCCGCCCGACCCGGCCAAGGACAGCAGCTCACACTGCAGGGCTGCCGCCACCTCTGCCCAGCTCGTCCCTGCGGCCGAGGAGGGTGCATTGGACCCCGGCTCCGGGGTGGACTCAGCCCCAGGAGAAGGGAGGAGAGCCAGGCTCAGCCTTGGGGCCCCGGGCGGCGAGGGGCAGTGAAGGTTCTGGGGAGTCAGGAGCCTGCCCTGCCTGTCTCCACAGCCTCGGTGGGGCTCAGACAGGGTGAAAGACATGAAGGGACGGGAAGGTGCTTAAGGCGATGTTACCCAAAGGTACCCCAACGGGAGCATCATCCTCTCATCATCCAACAGGGACCTCTTGGGCCATGCTGGGCCCTGACACTCAGACAGGTACCCCAACACCTGGACGGTGCCCCCACACACCCTCCTGCAGCCCTCGGGTCCGCCCCGCGCTCACCGGATGAGTGAGTAGTACTGCTGGGTCAGCTCCTTCCACTCGTCCTCCGTGGGGTCCCTGGCGGCGTCCTCGGGTTCGTCGAGGTCCTCGTGCTCCAGCTGCCCCAGGCGGGCCTGGCACACCCGGCAGGCCAGGTCCACGAGCTGCTCCGACAGGCCCTCGAGCTTCGCGTCCTTCTCGGGACCTGCGACCCAAGTGCCAAGCCGCTGGGGAACGGCTCTGAGCACACCCTCCCCAGTTAGACTCAGCCCCTCGGGGTGGGGACGACACACGCTTGGTTCAGCGAATGCTTTGTGAGGGACGCTGCCCCCGTGGGGCCTGCGAGCCGGCGGGTCCTCAGCACCTCACTGTCCTGGAACCCCGGGTCAAGGTCACTGCAGGGTCTCAGGAAGCACTGAGCGCAGGGGGTCCCCTCATCCAGGTGGCCTGGCTGCCACCAAAGCCGCTGGCCCCAGGTGGGAGGTGGGGACCGGGATGAGAGGCAGCAGGGTCCGCAAGGTGTGGGGCAGGAGCCCGAGGGCAGGTGAACCCCGGCGGGGCTGCTCAGCAGGGAGGGGGCAGACCCAGCGCCCCAGGGGGTCAGGCCCGGCCCAGGTGCTGCCGGGTTCGGTTCCCGCTAAGGGCACGTACCTTGGTTCGCTCCCAGCCCCAGTGGGGGTCGTGCGGGTGGCAACCACACTCGATGTATCTCTCTCACATCGATGTTTCTCTCTCTCTCTTCCTCCCTCTCTCTCTCCCGCTCTATCTGAAGATAAACGCAAAAATGTCCTCGGGTGAGGATAAAAACAAAAAACTTAGAGGCCATTGTTCAGAGGTGATGGATAAAGAAACTGGTCCAACTGGCACAAGAACAGGCAGATAGATCAATGGAACAGAACAGAGAACTCAGAAATGGACCCAAGACAACATAATCAATATTTGACAAAAGTGGCAAGAGCATACAGTGGAGTAAAGACAGCCTCTTTAATAAATGGTGTTGGGAAAATTGGACAGCTACGTGCAAAAAAATGAAACTAAACCATCAACTCATACCATACACAAAAATAAGCTCAAAATGGATAAAAGACTTAAATGTGACTTGTGAATCCATAAAAATCCTAGAAGAAAATGTAGGCAACAAAATTTCAGATATCACACAGCATAATTTTCACTGATACATCACCTAAGGCAACAGAAACAAAGAAAAAATTGAACACATGGGACTACATCTAACTAAAAAGCTTCTGCACAGCAAAAGAACAACCATCAAAATGGAAAGGGAACCCACTCTATGGGAGAACATCATTGCCAATGATACATCAGATAAGGGGTTAATTTCCAGAATATATAGAGTACTCATACAACTCAACAAAAGGAAAACAAAGAACCCAATTAAAAACGGGCAGAGGAGCTGAATAGACACCTCTCCAAACAGGACATACAAATGGCCAAGAGACATATGAAGAAATGCTCAACATCACTAATCATCAGAGAGATGCAAATTAAAACAACAATGAGGTATCACCTCACACCTGTCAGAACGGCCGCCATCAACAAATCATCAAACAACAAGTGTTGGTGAGGGTGTGGAGAAAAGGGGACTCTAGTACACTGCTGGTGGGAATGCAGACTGGTGCAGCCACTAATTTTTGGTGTTACCTCAAAAAATTAAAAATTGGCCCTGGCTGGTTAAAAATTGGCCCTGGCCGGTTTGGCTCAGCGGTTTTGGCCCGCGGACTGGAGAGTCCCCGGTGTGGTTCCCGTTAGGAGCACGTGCCTCGGTTGCAGTTTGTCCCCAGCCCCGTTTGGGGTTGTGTGGGTGATAGCCACTAGATGTGTCTCTCTCACATCGATGTTTCTCTCTCTCTCTTCCTCCCTCTCTCCCTCCTGCTCTGTCTGAAGATAAAAGAAAAAAAACAAACAAAAAAAAACAATTAAAAATTGAATTGCCATTTGACCCAGTGATCCCACTTCTAGGAATATACCCTAAGAAACCTGAAACACCAATCAGAAAGAATATATGTACCCCCATGTTCATAGCAGCACTATTTACAATAGCTAAGATCTGAAAACAGCCCAAATGTCCATCAGTAGACGAATGGATAAAAAAGCAGTGGTACATATACACAATGGAGTACTATGCAGCTGTAAGAAAGAAAGATCTCTTATCCTTTGAGATGACATGGAGGGACCTGGAAAGTATCATCCTAAGTGAAACAAGCCGACAAATATCACATGATCTCACTTATTTGTGGAATATAATGAACATCATAGTCTGAGGAACAGGGTAGACCCAGAGACGTGGAAATAGGGTACCGACTGACAACCCTCAGAGGAGGGGGTGGGGGGGAGGGAAGAGATAAACCACAGAACTTAGATGCACGCGTGCATAACCGATGGACATGGGCAACAAAGCTGGGGCTGGGGAGGAGGGTGTCAATGGGGAAAAAAGGAGAAACATCTACAACAAAAATAAATTAATAAAAAAGAAAAGAGGAACTGGTCCATCCAGACGGTGGAACAGTATTCGGCGATGAAACGAAATGACCTAGGAAGCCACATAAATGTTCGTGACCAGGCGGAAGCAGCCGAGAGGCTGAGCTGTGGAGTTGGGCAGGTCCGTGGCTGCCAGGGGTGGGGGAGGGGGAGCAGGCGGCACAGAGAGGATTTGGGCAGTGGACTGATTGTGTGACACTGTGACGCTGGACACGAGCCATCATACATTTGTCCAAACCCACAGACTGCGCAGCACAGAGTGAGCAGTCAGGGAAACTGTGGACTTCGGGTAATGATGACGTGTCCACGCAGGTGCATCAGCCGTAACTGACGGCCCCCTCTGCTGACGTGGGGGAGCCCTGCACGTGGGGACAGGGAGGGGGTTGTGTGAGACTGTGCACCTCCCCCTCAATTTTGCTGCGAACCTGAAACGGCTTCATTAATGGGGACCACCACCAGAACCTCATCGGGCTTTCGGGCCTAGAACCGTGGAGAGCCAGCCCCTCCTGGAGGGCTTCTTTCCACGGGGCCATTGGGACAGACTGGGGCAGGGCACGGCGGCAGGTCCCCTGGCCTGTCCTCCCAGCGTGGTCTGGCCTCGGTCACACTCACCGTTCTGGGTGTCAGGGTCACTGTCCTTGGCCTCCCCCGTCTTCCTGCTCTGGGCTGCGCCCCTGTGGCTGACCACCCACTTGAGAACGCTGCAGGCCACCGTACGTCGAAAGTCATCTGAAAAGGCACCAAGGCCTCGCCCCCTCTGCCCATGTTGGGGACCGGGGACCGTGGCCAGCGCCAGCTGTCCAAGCCTGCAGGGGCCTGGCTCCACCCTCACAGCCCTCCTAGGGCCTGGGCGCTCGCGCCAGCCTGCCCCTCCCACTCCTCTGCAGAGGGGTGTTGAACACACCCCGCAATGGGCCCAGAGGCAGAAGCCACGCCCCTGCTGCCGCCCCGCTCCCACCATCTCTCTCTGCTCTTGGGTCCTCAGCCCTGCACCAGAGGGTCCCTCCTGGACAGCTCCCAGTGACAGCACCTGGGCCCTCCCCTCATGGCAGCCTCTCTGGATGCCCTGCGTGTGTGGCCCCCACAGTGGTCAGTCAGTGCCGATGGGGTCCTGAGTACCCCCAGCACAGCAGTCAGCTCTGGAGCACCCACTCCTGGGAGCAAGCCCCCACCTCGTCCCCCCCAGACTGCACCCTGGGCCCCCAGGGGTCTGCAGGAGATTCCAGCACCTTCCTGCTTAAAACTGTTCCTCCCACAGCCCAGCAGAGGGCGCCCCACCCCACACCCACCCACCCCGCAGCTGTGCCTCCTGGAAGCATGGGGAACCTGAGCTCCCCTTGCTGCGGCCTCCACAGCCCCCGCCCTCACCAAGCCCCCTTCACAACAAATGCCCTGAGCTCGCACCCCACCCCTGCCCCTCTGCGCGAGGACACCGACACACTGCCCGCACCCAGCTGGCCTCGGGGCTCCGGCCTGCTCCCCTCGGCACCCGCCCTCCCCGCAGGCTCCCCCGGCCCCGGGCCGCCAGGCTAGTGTTGCACTCGTCACCTCCAGCCCCACCACCTGCCTGGTGGTCTGCTCCCTGGAGTCCAGGTGGAGCGAGGGCACAGGGCAGGGGTGCCCGGCAGATGCTACATCTCCAGGGCCCCCAGGTCAGGTGCTCAGGAAACACAGGTCCCCCCTCAACGAACCTGTCCCCCCCTGCCCTGACCACCTTGTCTCTCCTGTGGCCTCTGCGCAGGTCAACCAGGCGCCCTCCCTGCCCCAAACCGGAGCCCGAGGTCGCCAGCCTGGTCCCAGCACTGTCCCCCAGGCCAGGCCGCCTCTCCAGCTGCAGACACCCAGCTACATGGCCTCTGCCAGCTCCCCCTCCCCCGCCCCCATGCTCATGGGAGTTTCTGCACAGCCCTGACCACATGCACTGAGCGGAGCCCCAGGCCCCGGGATGAGACCAGACCCTCCACCGTCACCCCGGCCCCAGTCCCCAGGCCCTCGGCCAAGGCTGTCCCAGCTCCCTTCTGAAGGCTCCTGCAGCACGTCTGCAGGGGTGGCCCCGAGCCGTGGTTTCCCGGCGCAGCAGCTACGTACCCAGGAACTCCTGCTTCTCGCTGTCGGAACACAGGCCGTAGCAGCGCGGGAAGAAGGCGTCGGGGTCGGCCTGGACGTACCATGGCAAGCTCCTCAAGTTCAGGCACAGCCCGATCTCCAGGGACAGCAAAGAGTCAGGTGCCACCCCGGCCACCTACCCACCGGGCACACGCTGGACTGGCCGCCCACCCCCGCCAGCTGGTCTCCTCCTCTGGCCTGTGCCAGGTCCAAGGCAGGGGCAAGGGCTCCCTGAAGGCTCCCAGGGTGGTGGGCACTGCATCCCCTTCCCAGGTCCCTAAACGGTGGCTGGGCTCAGGCCCAGGAGAGGCAGGCGCAAGCTGGAGGGGCCCCCGCACCCCCGCGCCCCCCTGCTCTGGCCCGTGGACAGCATCTATTGTCACAGAGGTCTGGCAGGAAGTCCTGCACCCCAGCGTCCAGCTCACTGCCCCGTTAGGAAAGAAGCTGAGCACACTCATGACCACCCTGCATGGGGTCTTTGCAGGGAGCCCCGCCTGACTGGGGCACCCATGAGCACTGTCCACACTGCAAAGGACGCTGGCGGCCCCAAGCCTCGTGAGGACGCGCGGCAGCTAGCCCCCCACAGGGAGCTGGAGCTGTGGGCACAGTGCTGGGCCTAGTCCCCACCCCCTCCTGTGTCATCCTGGCCTGTTGAGGGGATGGTCCCCTCGCTGCCAGGGAAGCCAAACTCGCCCCAGTGGGTATGCGTAGGCCCTGGGCAGGCCCCACCCTTGAACCTGAGCCCTGGGGGGAATGGGGGCAGCTCCCTCCAGGGGGTCATGGGGCTGGAAGGTAAGGGTGAGAATTGACAGGCACGGCAAAGACTGTGTCACCGCCCCCTGCAGAGCCCATCACTGTCCCTGTAGCTATAAGTCACCATGCAGGTGAGGGTGGGCCATCCCTCCTTCAGACTGGAGCCCCCCTCCAGGACTCAGACCCAGGGTCCAGTCCCACTCGGGCTTGGCCTGTGTACCCAGAGGAGGGGGTTTCCGCGGCCTCGGGTCACCCAGGGACATAGCAAGGGGCACGCAGGGCTCCGGGGGACAGTGGGTGGGGCAGGTGCTTCGACTCTGGACACTGGCCCTGGGTGTGGCCTCTGACCAGGGCAGCGGGAGGGGTCCGAGGAGGAGCCCCAGGACCGGCCCACGCGCGACCCCCACGGCACAGCCCTGCCTCCTCCTCACCTTGGTGGTGAAGGAAGCCGTCTTTCCATAGTGGTTCAGCATCTGGTCACAGCCCAGGCTGTGGTAGTCGATGGAGTCTCTTTTGATCGTCCAGAGGAAGTAGGGCATCTCATTTCTCACCAACCTGGACTGGCAAGAACACCTTTATCAAGACCAGCCTTCGAGGCCCGTGTCCTTGGTCAGCTGGGATTAGCCGAGGGCGAAGGAGACTGACTTCGCACGACAACAGGTAGATTACAACTGCGTCTCCCATCACACTGCGGGTCGGAGGCCCACTGTGTGCGGGGCTGGGGGCGGCGGACACCACACCGGTTCCGGCTCCCAAGCAGCAGTGGGGGGGGCGGGCCAGCTCTGGCTGCAGGGGCGCCGAGGGGGCCCGGGCTGCGCTGCTGTCTGAGCCGCCTGCCTGTGGCAGCCCACATGGGCTCGGGGCCCTGTGAACGTGGGGCAAAGGCCATCGATGCTTCCTGACCTGGGTGCACCCCCGGACCCAGGAGACTGAGCAGCCAGAGGACGGAGGCTGGACGGGCGCCCCTGGTGCCCACATTTGCACGTTTACAGCCAGCGACACGTGTTTGGTCAAAATTTCTTACCAAAGACATACAAGGAAATGCAAACTCTGTCCGAAATCCTACACCCCTGCCCCCCCCGACCCTGGCGCAGACCCTTGGGTCCTTCTCTGCAGACGGCAACTGTAAATTAGGTGCCCAGGAGCCAATGTCCCTTCCTAACCTCCTCCCGGCCCCTCCCCTCCCCGCACTGGGCTCAGCTCAGGGACGTGAGGCTGGGGGTGGGGACCCTGAGACAGGCATCAGCAGCAGGACCACCCAGGCACCACTGGCGCGGGAAACCAAGTCCCGGATGAAGCCGCCGGGCCCTGGAGCCCCGTGCTGTACACAGGTGCCACCAGGGACCCCGAGGACCAACTTTGTTTGTTTTTTGTTTTTGTTCATCCTCATGCAAGCATGTTTTTCCATTGGCTCTTAGAGATTGGGAGGGAGAGAGAGAGAGAGACATTGATGTGAGAGAGGCACATCGACTGGGTGCCTCCCTCATGACCCCGACCTGGGCCACGGATTGAACCTGCAACCCAGGTACGTGCCCTTGACTGGGAGTCGAACCCGAGACCCTCTGGTCCCCAGGCCAACACTCTAACTGTTGAGCCAAACTAGCCAGGCCCAAGGTCAACTTTTATAGAAAAAAACTCAAAGAATGTGCCCAGCAGCCTGTTCAAGTCTTTGTTCGTTTTCCTAGTAGTCATTTTGGGACTGATTTGTGAGTTCTTTTTTTATCCTCACCCGAGAACACTTTTTTCAGTTTTTTTGTTCGGATAGAGTGGGAGGGAGAGAGAGGAAGAGAGAGAGAGAGAAATGTCGATATGAGATTGAAACATCGATTGGCTGCCTCCTGTACGGGGAGCCCACAACCCGGGCATGTGCCCTGACCACAAATCGAACCCTCAACTTTCAGTGGGTGGGATGACGCCCAACCAACTGAGCCACAGCAGCCAGGCTGGGTATCAGATCTAAATCACATGACTGCAGACCTCTCTCCAGGGGCTTATCTCCCCGCGCCCCAGGAACTCTGAATTACAATGTAGCCAAGTGTCGTCCCTTGTGGTCTTGTTTAAATCTGTCCTCCCCTGAAGTCACAGAGTGACACTTTGTCATCTGTATGAGGACATCTCCCATCTCAGCACCAGCCCTCGGGTCCGTCACCGCAGGCTGAGCCGCCCTGGCCGCAGCAAGGTGACCAAGCTGGCCGTCCGGGGCTCGGCGCTGCTCGGTGGTCAGTGTGCGGCCAGGACGACACCATCTTTGTGTTGTGACCCCGCGAGTGAGAGGCACATTCCCCAGCCTGCTCCTCGTGAGCCTGGGGCTGCTCTGGTCCTTTCCCGGTGTTCCCAAAGTCACAGACACCGCTTGTCAGCTCGCACAAGGGCACACGGGACGCACACGCTCACACACGTGTGTCCTGCAGCATGTCACTCGGGCTGTCGGATCCCCGCCCGGCTCTGCGGTGGTTGGTCTGGAGCCGCGCGTGACTCTGGCTCGGGCTCCCTCCCCCAGGACATGGCGGGCGGCACCAGGTCAAGGCTCCGCCCCGGGGCCGCTGGGACTTGCGGGGGGACCTACCATCAAGTCGTGGATGTCGTCGGTTTCCTCCAAGGGCACCTCCTGGTTTTCTTTGCCTTCGGCCTGCTTACTTTCTGCGAACACAATATGGGCAGCGTCATGGCCTGGATGCCTGACCACGCGGCCACACAGCGCCTGACTTCCAGCAACCTCGTCTGCAGGTGCCCTGGGGGCCTGAGCAGGGCAGTCAGGCTCGGGCCACATCGACCCGTCTGAGGTCCAGGCACGAGCCAGGGCCAGGGCCCCGGGGTTGGGGGCGTGGAGAGGGCACGGGGATGGGGTGGTGGGGGTTGGTGTGGGTCCGGAGGACCACGTGGGAGCTGAGGCTGGAGCAGAGATGGGCCGGGCATGCGAGGTGACGGCACTGAGAAGTGACCAGCACCAGGGTTTGAAAGCGCCTGCCCACTGCATGGGTGCCAGGGGGCAGGGGGTGAGCCCTGGCATGGGCGTGGGGTCCTCTGCCCCAGAGGGAGCCCCAAGTCACGGGACCTGCAGGGCTGGCCTACACCGGGGCCCTCAAGAGAAACACCAACGTCTGAACGGAGGACGAGAGCCTCAGTACCTACCGGTGGCCCCTTCACCTTCGCCTTCTCCGCTGGCAATGACCTTGGGCAGGAAGTGCAGCTTCTTCTCCACCCAGCCCTTCCTCCGCAGGGCTGCCCGAATCACCGGGTAGTGGCCATAGATGGAGAAAATCTTCTTTTCCTCAAAGCAGAGAGCATGTTTTCCATTAGAGAAGGGGAAACATGCACAGGGAGAGGTTTTCGAAGACATGGGTGACCTCAGAGAGGAGACCCAGGAGCTCCGGAGATGCACAGACAGGTGTGGGGCGGGCCGCCCACTGGGTGCATCTGCGTCCTCGGGGCCCTGCACACACCGGAAGCACAGACGGCCAGGACCACGGGGCCTCCTGAGGCACGGGCAGGACTGGACCCGGTTACAGGGCTGAGGACATGTGCTTTACTCTTCTCTACAAAGGTGAGCATCCCGCATGCTTTGGTGGGTACCCCAGGTTTGAGGAGGGGCGGGAGGAGCCATCCAACTAGCAAGGAAGGCCCAGCGCGGGGCCAACACCACCATGTGGAGATGAGCTCGGCTGCCTGGGGACGAGGCAGGAGATGGCAGCTGGTAGGTGTGCCCAGGCCTTCCCCGCCGAGGGTGGGGCAGGACAGAAGTGACGTGCTGGCTGGGCCCACACGGCTGAGGATGCAGGCTGGACGCGCTCTCCTGGGCAGGGCCCCAAGGGTGGCAGCTGAGGGGCACAGTCAGGAAACAGGTGCATGGTCAGCAGTGAGCCTAGGGCCCCACACATTTATGGGAGTAGGTAAGGGGGCCAGGAAAGGAGGGGAAGCGGCTCAAACTCACAGGGGCCCCCCAATCAGTTGACTTTGAATTGATGAAAAAAAAAAGGCAGACCAGCCGGCTGGTGTGGCTCAGTGGTTGAGCATCGACCCTGCACCAAGGGGTCACGGGTTCGATTCCCGGTCAGGGCACATGCCCAGGTTGTGGGCCCGATCCCCAGTGAGGGGCGTGCAGGAGGCGGCCAGTCGGTGTTCTCTCTCATCAATGTTTCTCTCTCTCTCACTTCCTCTCTCTAAAATCAATAAAGAAAAAAAAAGTTAAAAAAAAAAAAAGGCAGACCATCCTGGGGTGGGCCACACCGAATCAAGTGAGTCCCTTCAAGAGGGCTGGGGCGCCCTGGCCGGTTTGGCTCAGCGGTTAGAGTGTTGGCCTGCGGTCCGGAGAGAGCCGGGTTCGGTTCCCGCTAAGGGCACGTACCTTGGTTGCAGTTTGTCCCCAGCCCTGGTTGGGTCGTGTGGGTGGCAGCCACTCGATGTGTCGCTCTCACGTCGATGTTTCTCTCTCTCTCTCTCCCTCTCACTCTATCTGAACAAAATATCGAAAAATGTCCTCGGGTGAGGATAAAAAAAAAAAAAAAAAAAAAGAGGGCTGGGGCTTCCCCGAAGTCAGACTCAAAGCAGCAGAGCTTCTCCTCATGTCTGGCTTTGAAGCAGGTGCCCCAGATTCTAAGGACACAAGGAAATCAATTCTGCCAACAAGTGAGGGACTTCGACGTGGGTCCTTCCCCAGCCAAGCCTTCGGATGAGCCCCCAGCCCGGCTGATGCTTGATTTCAGCCCCGAGAGGCCAGCCTGGACTCCTGACCCCAGAAACTGTGAGATAAGAGGTGGCTGTTCAAGCAGCTAAGCTCACGATGATTTGTTGCTCGGCACCACCCACTGTGGGAAGTCTCCACACCCTCACCCAGCACACCTGCCTCCTCAAACCTCATGCCTGTGGCTAGGAGCTCTGTGTTCAAGTTCCCATGAAAGACTCACCAGTCAGAGGAAGTCCCCTTCTACTCAGAAATTAATCCAAAGCCTGCCCCCCCCCCCACCACGAGGCTGCACGGGGCAGAGGGAGGGGGCCGAGTCGGATCCACGGCAGGTGCTGCTGTGGGTGGCAGGGGACTCCCACAATATAGTCAAATCAAAGGACTTCAGAAGGACTGACTAATGATTTTACTACGTGAGCAGAATACCATGCCTAAGGGCTACAGAAAAAACAATATCCAAGTATAAATAAGGCTTCTCACAGATGAGAGACGAAAAATGTGATTTTTTTTTTTATATCCTCACCCAAGGACATTTTTTTTCACTTTTTGTTCAGATAGAGCAGGAGGAAAAGAGAGAGAGAGAGAAAAACATCAACGTGAAAGGGACACATCGAGTGGCTGCCTCCCGCACGACCCAACCAGGGCCGGGGACAAACTGCAACCGAAGTACATGCCCTTAGTGGGAACCGAACCCGGGTCTCTCTGGATGGCAGGCTGACGCTCTAACTGCTGAGCCAAACCGGCCAGGGTGGGAAATGTAATTTTAAAAAGCAATCAGTCCACAGAAGGCACGAAAGGTTAGGGAAACAGAACAGACGGGAGGGAAACCGAGTGAGTGAAGTTGGACCCCAGCAGTTTAACTAGGTAAACACACTTCATGCTGCAGCTACAAGGGGAAGAGTCCCAGACCAGGTTTTGAAAAACCCAACTCTATGTTGTATACAAGAGAAGATAAAAAGCACAAGCCTACAGACACATAGAAAATGAAAGGACCTAAATCTGACAGAAAACAGACGTTGGGACAAATTAACACCACTAAAGTAAAAACAATTATTTCAACATTGAAAGAAGAGTCAATTCTTCAGAAATGCACTCATTAATAGGGCTCTAAGTTATCTACAGTGAAAGTGAACAGAACTGAAGACCACACAAACAGGGCATTAACATGCTTCTCTTAGTAAATGATAGAACACAGACAAAAGTTCAATATGACCACAAGACTTGAACAACACAAATAACACACTCTGCCCAGTGGCTGTGAAGACAGCAGTCCATACCCCCTTTCACTTAAATTAACAAAATGGCAGGCATAAAATGAGTCCAAACACATCTCAGTAGAATAACATTATACAGACTACATTCTCAGCCACAGTGCAATCAGTAACAAAATAACTAGGAAAAGTATAGACATTCAGAACCAAACTTGTAAATAGCCCATGATCAATGAGGAAGTAATCGTATGGAATATAAAATACTTTCAACGGAGTCTCCACAAAAATACTACAAATGAAAGCTTGTGAAAAGCAGCTAACGAGGTACTTTGAGGGACGTTTGTAGCCTGAAATGTTTATATGTTTTCAGGTATCAGAGGAAAATTGAGAGTCACTGAGCTCTATTTATATGAAATCCCAGAAGGGATGGTGACAGAGATCACAGAAGGCATACCCACGGTTGCCAGAATTTGAGGGGCAGACAACCAGGGGCAGGAGGCAGCTTCCAAGGGTGATGGACATGTCCTCTGTCAGGACTGTGGTGGCGGCTGCCTAACGACATGTGTTATGTGCAGCATGTTTCTCTCCCCAGGTGCATGGCGAGCTGTGCAGTCTGGGTGACTGCCTGTTGTGCCTCAAAAGAAAGAACTGAGCATAGGTTCATGTCCCAATGTGCCTTGTACGGTCCTGACCTCTGAGCAAGGCCGTCCATGCACAACAGAGCCAGAGGAGACAGTCTTTCCCCAGAAAAGGTGGCGTCTATCCTCACTGCAGCTCCTTGAGGGGCCTGAAGTGTGGGGGGCCACACAAGGGGCTCCGTAGGTCACTGAGAGCCTGTCCCTGATTCAGAACCCTGGTCCAGAAGTGTGTCCAGAGCCCGAGGTCGCACAGCGAGACACGGGACAGACTTCCATGGCTTGTATCTGCACGTCCCCAATTTTGAGAGTATTGCCTATTTCCAATGTCCAGCTGAAATAAAAAGTAACTCTGGGAGACTTCCGGTCAGGATGGAGGGTGGGTAAACGCGGTATCGCATCCTCCCACAATCAAATCAAAGTTACAACTAAACTACAGAACAACCATCATTCAGAATCGCCTGACATCGAGCTGGATGGAAGTCCTACAGCTACAGAATTAAAGCAGCAGCCACATTGAGACTGGTAGGAGGGCAGAGGCGGACGGGCTGGTCCCACACCCACGTGTGGCGGATAAAAATCAGGACACCTCGGCTGGGAAGGTCCTCCCTGAGGACTGAGGGGTCCCCGTCCCACACCAGACTTCCCGCTCAGGGTTCCAGTGCCAGGAAAGAGGTTCCCATAACTTCTGGCTGGAAAAACCAGCGGGAACTGAGGCTCAGAGAGGCTGATGCAGCTGGAGCCCCAGGCAGCTCCTTAAAGGGCCTGCGCACGGACTTATCGGACTCAGTCCCTCTGAGCTCGGAGGGGAGGCAGCTCGGGGGCACCAGAGACATAAAGGGAAGAACTGAGCTGTTTGGCACTGGAGCGAGGGCTGGAGAGGGGGCTTTCTCTGGAACAGATGTGCTGTCAGAGGCCTTTGTTCCTTTGGGGAGCCCTTCCCTGGGGCAGCAGACAGCCCCCATATCTGGGACTCCAGCAACTTGGCTCACACTGGTTGCCCCGCCTTGGTGATTCCCTGAGGCCCTGCCCCACCCAACTTTCAGGCCCACCCAAGCTGTTGCCAGCTGCTTAACCATAAGATTGGTCTGTCTTGGATCCTGCTTCAGGTTTTTCTAAATTCTTTCAAACAAGCAGCATCTGGTCTCAGATAGCCCCATACCTCTTGTTAAGTAATACACAAAAACAAACACAGGGAGGCAGCCAAAATGAGGAGACAAAGAAACAGGTCCCAAATGAAAGAACAGAACAAAACCCCAAGAAAAGAACTAAGCGAAATGGAGATAAGCAACCTAACAGATGCTGAGTTCAAAATACTGCTTATAAAGATGCTCAATGAACTTAGTGAGAACCTCAGCGAACTTAGTGAGGGCCTCAAGAGCATAAAAAAGGACCAGTCAGAAATGATGGATGCACAGTCAGAAAAGAAGGAGGCATTAACTGAAATAAAGAATAATTTACACAGATTCAATAGTAGAGTACGTAAATCCAAGAAGCAAACCATTGATTTGGAATATAAGGAAGCAGAAAACACCCAATCAGAACAGCAAAAAGTAAAATGAATCCAAAAAATGAGGGTAGTGTAAGGAGCCTCTGGGACAACTTCAAGCGTGCCAACATTCGCATCTTAGGGGTGCCAGAAGGAGAAGAGAGAGAACAAGAAATTGAAAACCTGTTTGAAACAATAATGGCAGAAAACTTCCCTAACTTGGTGAAGGAAACAGACATACAAGTCCAGGAAGCACAGAGAGTCCCAAACAAGATGAACCCCAAGAGGCCCACACCAAGACACATCATCATCAAAATGCAAAAGGTTCAAGACCAAGAGAGAATCTTAAATGCAGCAAGACAAAAGCAGTTAGTTACCTACAAGGGAGTTCCCATAAGGCTGTCAGCTGATTTCTCAAAAGAAACTTTGCAGGCCAGAAGGAGTAGCAAGAAATATTCAGAGTGATGAAAAGCAAGAACCTACAACCAAGACTATTCTATCCTGCAAAGCTGTCATTTAGAATCGATGGCCATATAAAGAGTTTCCCAGACAATAAAAAAGCTAAAGGAGTTCATCACCACCAAACCAGTATTATATGAAATGATGAAGGGTCTTTTTGAAGAAAAAGATAAAATATATGAACAAACAAAATGGCAGTGAATACATATCTATTGACAATGGAATCTACAAACAAAATGAACAGGCAGAACAGAAACATTCTCATAGATACAGAGAACACTTTGTTGGTTGCCAGATGGGAGGGGGGTTGGGGGAATGGGTGAAAAAGGTGAAGGAATTAAGAAATACAAATTTATTGCTAGACTGACAAACCTCAAAGGGAAAGGGGTTGGGGGGTGGGAAGAAATAAACCAAAGAACTTATATGCATAACCAATGGACACAGACAACAGTGTGGGAAAAGGTGGGAGGGGGGCGGGAGTGGGGAGGAGGGGGTCAATGGGGGAAAAATGAGGAACATTTGTAATACATTCAACAATAAAGATTTAAAAAAAAAAAAGTAACTCTGGTACAAGCCTCCACGTGGGGCCAGGCCTGGGGGTCAGGGCAGGGACCAAAGCCGGGGGGAGGAGGCTGTCAGAGCTAGGACTCACTCCCCAAATTCCAAAATCAATTTCCATTTTTATAAAGCGTTGCCTCCCAACGGAGCCCCAGGAAGCATTTACCTTGATCGCCTTTTCTGTCAGTTGTCTTGCTATCTTGTATCTGTCTAGTTTGGGGGAAGAACACAAGTCTTGGGAAATCCCTCGTTTTAATTCTGCAAAAGAGAAAGCAGACATGGTGCTCTTAACACCAGAGACGCCACGTGGGACCGAGGCCCAGCCCCTCCCACCAGCCTGCCAGCCTGCCCACACATCTGTCCCCAGTCTGTCCTCAATTCAGGGACTGACCCAGGACCCCCCAGCCCAGAGCAGCAGGTGCAGCCCCTCCTCTACCTCCATACCCCCCGTACCCCTCCCCACCCCTCCAGCCTCCAGCTCTCACCCCGAGACCTTCCCTCTGCATCTCCCCAGCCTCCTTCCAGGACTGCAACCCCCTCCCCATGCTCCCCCACAGCTCAGCCTTGGGGCACCCTCTCTCCTCACGGGGTCCCCCTCAGCCCCTGCCTGGGCCAGCCCTTCCCGGACCAGCCCCTCACAGCTCCTTCCTGTGACCCCAGCCAGGAGACTCACTTCTGCACACACCAAGTTTCCTAGAAACCACCTTAAGAATTAAAATGAACCCTGACCAATTTGGCTCAGCGGTTAGAGTGGTCGGCCCATGTGGACCAGAAAGCCCCAGGTTCGGTTCCCACTAAGGGCATGTGCCATGGTTGCGGTTTGTCCCCGGCCTGGTTGGGGTCGTGTGGGTGGCAGCCAGTCGATGTGTCTCTCTCATGTCAATGTTTCTCTCTCTCTCTCTTCCTCCCTCTCTCCCTTCTGCTCTATCTGAAGATAAATGCAAAAATGTCCTCGGGGCCCTGGCCGGTTCGCTCAGCGGTTAGAGCGTCGGCCTGCGGTCCAGAGAGACCCGGGTTCGGTTCCCGCTAAGGGCACGTACCTCGGTTGCAGTTTGTCCCCAGCCCTGGTTGGGTCATGCAGGTGGCAACCACTCGATGTGTCCCTTTCACATCACTGTTTCTCTCTCTCTCTCCCTCCCACTCTATCTGAACAAAATATGGAAAACAGTCCTCGGGTGAGGATAAAAAACAAAACAAAACAAAAACCCTCCTTCTGTGCCCTCCTCACTCCCCCACCAGCCTTTGAGCTGCCCTCTCTCCACACCCGTCTGCGGGCTCCAGCAGGCACGCTCCTGCTAAGGCAGGCTGCTCCCACGTCACTCCGCTGGTCCCGGCCTCTGGCAGCGCTGGACACCATGGGTCAGCTGACCCTCCTCACTGTGGCCCCTCTCCCTCCCCACCCGAACCCTGGGGCAGCCCAGGCCGGGACTCCAGACCCCTGTGCTTGGTCCACACCCTAAGCCACCTCTTCCAGTGTAGCAGCTTTAAAATCCCCCGGCCCTGGCCGGTGTGGCTCAGCATCAGAGCGGCGGCCCGCAGACCAAAGCGTCTCAGGTTTGATTCCAGTCAAGGACACGTACTTTGGTTGTGGTTCGTCTCGGCCCTGGTTGGGGTCATGTGGGAGGCAACCAATCCACGTGTCTCTCTCACAATGAAGTCTCTCCCTCTCTCTTTCCCTCTTTCCCTCTCTCCCACTCTATCTGAAGATAAGTGAAAGAAGAAAACTTCAGGTGAGGATTAAATAAATAAATAAAAAAACCATGCCAATGCCCCAGGGGTGTACGCATCCCCCCAGACCACCCGACCTCCTGCTGCCTACCACTCCCCTTGCCCTGGTGGTCCTAGGTGCACTGAAGGTGGCACAGGCCAGCGGACACCCGCCCGCCTGCTCCTCCTGGGGCCCTCACCCCTGGGCCCCCGAGCCCCAAGCCCACACGGCCTGCGGACTCAGACTGACGCCCGGGAGCACCGCCACGTGGCCCCGCCCAGCCCCACGCAGAAAGACATCTGGAGTGGGTCACAGGCCTAAGGGGGAGAGCTGAGCACACAGCTCAGGGGGAAACACGAGGTGTCTTCCTTAGCGGGGGCCAGGTTGCCAAAAAGCACTGGCCATCGAGGTAAACCGGGACCCCGGACTCTGTCCAAGTCAGTGTGTTCTGCTCTGTGACGGAAGCAACCGGGCCACAGGCTGGTAGGAACAGTGATCCCACCGCGTGTGCCGCGGAAACAGCCCCGGCGCAGGCACAGCCAGACGGGGCGGGCGGGGGAACCACAGGTGCCAGCGTCCTGCGGCCCTGCCCTCAGACGGCCAGACCCAGGGCTCTGTTTCCAGCCACAGACCAGCCAACAGAGACGGGCAAGGACCGAGATCTGAGCACCGCTGTCGAGACTTCGCCTCAGCGACACCACAGCCCTGCGCACGGTCACTCCAGGACGGGGGACACCGATCAAAACTGACTCTAGAGAGGACTGTGCCCCTGCTCACAGCACCGCTGGGTTAGGGATCGGGAACAGAAGCAGGTCTCAGACAGAAAACACCCCTTTACCGAGCTCGCTCCCACATCTGCGGCCGAGCAAGTGAGCAGGACGGAGAGCAGACAGGCACCTCGCCTGCAGAACTAGACACCATCACCCTGCGGGGCCACGGGGGGTGTTCACAAAGAGCTTTTCGGTTGTAAGTGCATTTATTACAAAATAATAAAGGCAAAACACTGAGTGAAGCCCTGGCCGGTGTTTCAGTTGGTAGAGCATCACACCAAAAGTTGCTGGTTCGATTCCCAGTCAGGGCACATGCCCAGGTTTTGGGCTTGAACCCCACTAGGAGGCAGGCGATTGATGTTTCTCTCTCTAAAAAAAAACAAAAAACAAACAAAACAAAATAAAAAACAATCAAAATGTTTTTTAAATAAATAAAAATACTGAGTAAAGCACCCACCTCAAGACATGAGAAATAAAACAGTAAATTTAAACCCCCCAAAATTACAAGAAAATAAATAAAAAGGAGACATTCACGAAATATTTTTTAAACATTCAATAAAGAGAATCAACCAAGCCAAATGTTCAAGACGTAAAAATCAGCCCTGGCCAGTTTGGCTCAGCGGTTAGAGCGTCGGCCTGCGGTCCGGAGAGACCCGGGTTCGGTTCCCGCTAAGGGCACATACTTCGGTTGCAGTTTGTCCCCGGCCCTGGTTGGTCGTGCGGGTGGCAGCCACTTGATGTGTCCCTTCACATCGATGTTTCTCTCTCTCTCTCCCTTCCTCTCTCTCCCTCCCACTCTATCTGTACAAAAAATGGAAAAATATCCTCAGGTGAGGATAAAAAAAAAAATCAATGAACAACTGGTGATGTGACTAAGAACAAAGAAAAAAGGCATCACAAAGTGGTAATGGGGCAGGAAAACCCTTTCCTTAGCTGTCTAAGAACTAAGAGGATACAGTATTATGAACTTTATGGCAATAAACTAGAAATTTAGAAAAAACGACAGTTGTTAGAATCAGGGACGAGTGGAGACCAGCCTTGAAAACTCCCTGCGCAGACAAAATAGGTTTAGTCATCCAAAAAAACCCTCAAATCAGCTTATTTTTTGAGACTAATGACAGGGTTCAGGGCAGGCTGCCCACAATATGCCACTCTGATGTGTTGATTATTATGAATTAAAGTTACTTAAGAAAACAGTCGGACCCAGTGATTCCACTTCTGGGAATATATCCAAAGAAACCTGAAATACTAATTCAAAAGAATGTCTGCACCCCTATGTTCATTGCAGTTATTTAACAGCCAAGATGTGGAAGCAGCCCAAGTGTCCATCAATAGACACGTGGATAAAAAAGCTGTGGTACATTTACACAATGGAATACTACGCATCTGTGAAAAAGAAGGAAATCTTACCTTTTGCAACAGCATAGATGAACCTGGAGAGTATTATGCTAAGTGAAATAAGCCAGCCAGAGAAAGAGATGCCATGTGATTTCATTCATATGTGAAATCTAACAAACAAAACAAACAAAATAGAAAGACTCACAGATACAGAGAACAGACTGACAGCTGTCAGAGAAGGGCTGGCTGAAAAAGATGAAGGGGTTAAGGGGAAAAAACCTCATAAACACAGACAAGAGGGTAAGTGGTCAGGGGAAGTAGAAGAGGGTGAAGGGGGGTAAATGGTGATGGAAGGAGACTTGACTTTGGGTGGTGAACACACAATACAATAATAGCCGGTACCAGAAGGACACTATGACCCGCCCAACCCCACCCCCGCAGAAAATAAATCTCCCCCTTGCAAGGTGCCAGCCCTGCACGAAGAGGAAGAGGCTTCCTCTCCCCAGAGAGGGGGGATCAAGGCTAAGAATCAAACTAGAAATTAATAACAAAAAGGTAACTAAAATTTTTCCTAAATGTTCAAAAATTAAGCTGCACACTTTTAAAATAAAACATGAATCAAAGTAAATTTTAAAATTTTCTCAGTGGTTAGAGCATCGGCCCACGGACCAAAAGGTGGAGGGGTCAAATCCTGGTCAAGGGCATATACCTGGGTTGCAGGTTCGATTCCAGGCCCTGGTCGGCGTCGTGCGGAGGCGACCAATCAATGTGTCTCTCTCACATCAATGTTTTTTCTCTCCCTCCCTCTTTCCCTTCCACTCTAAAAAATCAATTAAAAAAATCCTCAGGCCCTGGCCAGTTTGGCTCAGCGGTTAGAGCATTGGCCTGCGGTCCAGAGAGACCCGGGTTCGGTTCCCGCTAAGGGCACGTATCTCGGTTGCAGTTTGCCCCCGGCCCTGGTTGGTCGTGCGGGTGGCAGCCACTCAATGTGTCCCTTTCACATCGATGTTTCTCTCTCTCTCTCTCTCTCTCTCCCCCCCTCCCACTCTGTCTGAACAGAAAATGGAAAAATGTCCTCGGGTGAGGATAAAAAAAAATCCTCAGGTGAGGATTGCAAAAAAATAAAATAAATAAATAAAAATAAAACGATTTGAGTTAAATGACAATGAAAATGTGATGCATCAAAGCATTATGATGCACTAAATAGTGGTTAGAGGGAAGTTTATAGATTTTAAATGCATATATTAGGGGAAAACACTGGAAATTATCTAAGCTACCATCTCAAGAGGTTAGAAAGAGAAAAATGAAACAAAAAGAAAGTAGATCAAAAATAATAAAGAGAAGATAAGAATTCAGTCAAATATAAAGCAAATGTACTATAGAGAAAACAAACAAAACCAAAGGTCAGATCTTTGATACATTTTTTCAATTGATAAACCTCTAAATAGACTGGTCAAGAAAAAAGAGAAAATACGAATTACCAGTATCAAGAATGAAAGCGGGCCCTGGCCGGTTTGGCTCAGGGTTGGAGCATCGGCCGCGTACCAAAGGGTTGTGGGTTCGATTTCAGTAAAGGGCACGTCCCTCGGTTGCAGTTTGTTTCTGGCCTTGGTCGGGGTTGTGAGGGGGACAATCAGTCCATGTTTCTCTCCCCCCTCCCCCACTCTATCTAAAGATAAATAGAAAAATATCCTCGGGTGAAGACTAAAAAAAGGAAAACAGGCACTGTGATGCACAAATAGTAAAGTGATATAACAAAGTATCATGAACATCCACAGGCCAGGAGCTTGGCTGTTCATATCACAAGGACGTTTTCCTTGACAGGCACAGCTAATCAAAACCGACATAAAGAAAATCTGGATCGGCCGATATCTGTTCAAGAAATTCACAATTTAAATACTCCCCACAATGAAAACTCAAGGTCTCGATGGTATCACAGGTCAATCTTTCCAAATATTTAAGGGGGAAAAATACCTTATATAAACCTCCCATCGAAAAACAGACTCCTTCAACTCTTTAGGAGATCAGGCATTTAATACCCAAACCTGACAGGAACATACAAGAAAGGAATCGTAGCATAGGCCAACTTCGCTCATAAAAATAGACACAAAAATCTTTTTTTTTTTTATCCTCACCCGAGGACATTTTTCCATTTTTTATTCAGATAGAGTGGGAGGGAGAGAGAGGAAGAGAGAGAGAGAGAAACATTGACATGAAAGGGACACATTGAGTGGCTGCCACCCGCACGACCAACCAGGGCCGGGGACCAACTGCAACCGAGGTACATGCCCTTAGCGGGAACTGAACCCGGGTCTCTCCGGACCACAGGCGACACTCTAACCGCTGAGCAAAATCGGCCAGGGCAGACGCAAAAATCTTAAACAGAAACATCTGTAAGTCAAAGCCAGTGACATCTGGAACACACAACACGGCTTATGCGGGGGTTACTCCATAACTATGAAGTTGGTTTGACATTTGACAATCCATCCACGTAATCTACCACACTCATACAGTAAAGAAAAACGTGTATACTAACATCTCAAGAGATGCAGAAGAAAGTGTCATAAAATTTAACATCTATTTATCTAAAAACTCCCAGTAAGCCCAGTCTGTGTGGCTCAGTGGTTGAGCGTCAACCCATGCACCAAGAGGTCGCCAGTTCGATTCTTGGTCAGGGCAAGTGCCCAGGTTGTGGGCCCAGTCCCCAGTGGGGGACATGCAGGAGGCAGCCAAACGATGTTCTCTTTCATTGATGTTTCTATTTCTCTCTCCTTCTCTCTAAAATCAATAAAATAAAATAAAAACTCCCAGTAAACCAGAACTAAAAGGGAACCTCCTTTAAAGTTTACAACAACATCATACGTCATGGAGAAATACTGAGCATTTAAGCCCTAAGTTCCGGGACAGAAAAATCTCCACTCTCCCACCTGTATTCCACAGTATCCTGAAAGAGCTAGTCAATGCAATAACGCAAGACAAAGAAATAAAACGTGTAGAGATGGAGAAGCTTTGCAGACAATTGTGCACATAACACATCTACGTGGAATCATACGTTGTTACAATGAATGTGTTTAGGGAAGTCACCAAATTCCAAATCAGTAAAACCAATTGCATTTCTATATATCCTAGAAAAAAAAATTAGAAAATGACACTTTAAAATGTCATTTACAACAGCATTAAAAAAAAAATCAGAAATCTAACAAAAGGGATCTTGATCATCTGCACACTGAAACTACAAAACATCGCCGACGAGAATTAACTGAATGTTCACGGGTTGGAAGGCTCAGTGTTGTTAAGATGTTCATTCTCCCCGACAATGATCTGTAGAGTCAACATTAATCACAAAATCCCAGCAGGATTTGTGTCTGTCCATGTGTGTACATTAACAATATGACACTCACATTTATACGGCAGTGCCAAGGTCCGAAAAGATCTAAACAGACTTACAGAAACATTAAGACCTGTTACGAAGGGTTGGAATTAAAACAGGGCAGCAAGTCAATGGAACACAACGGAGAGCCTGGGGGATGGAGCCTGCGGTTAGGAGCCTATGGGACGGAGACCGCGGGATGGAGCCCGCAGGATGGAGCCTATGGGACGGAGCCCACGGGACGGAGCGCGCGGGACGGAGCCCACGGGACGGAGCCCGCAGGGCGGAGCGCGCGGGACGCCTGTCTGATTTTCACAGAAACACACAGGAAGCACAGGCAAGCGTCCAGCTCTGTGGCCTCTGAGCCACCCAGGGGCGGCTGCGAGGACAAGCAGGTGGGCAATACTGACTGTTTTCTTCTCTCCAGTCTCCATCCGACGAGGCAGACAGGAGCCTCTTCCTCTCCCCGAGCTCCATGCCATCCTCCAGCGGCTCCCCCTTCCTCCCTCCTGCTCTGGACCCTGAAAGGAGGGGGACATCAGTGCTGGGTCCTAGCCTGGAGCCCGGCAGGGCTGGGGCTGGGAGCAGATGTGGGGTTGGGAGCAGATGTGGGGTGGGGTCAGGGCTGGGGTTGGGAGCAGATGTGGGGTGGGGGCAGGGCTGGGGCTGGGAGCAGATGTGGGGTGGGGTCAGGGCTGGGGTTGGGAGCAGATGTGGGGTGGGGTCAGGGCTGGGGTTGGGAGCAGATGTGGGGTGGGGTCAGGGCTGGGGTTGGGAGCAGATGTGGGGTGGGGTCAGGGCTGGGGTTGGGAGCAGATGTGGGGTGGGGGCAGATGTGGGGTGGGGTCAGGGCTGGGGTTGGGAGCAGATGTGGGGTTGGGAGCAGGGCTGGGGTGGGAGCAGATGTGGGGTGGGGGCAGATGTGGGGTGGGGTCAGGGCTGGGGTTGGGAGCAGATGTGGGTTGGGAGACAGGTCTGGGGTTGGGAGCAGATGTGGGGTGGGGGCAGGGCTGGGGCTGGGAGCAGATGTGGGGTGGGAGACAGGGCTGGGGTTGGGAGCAGATGTGGGGTGGGGGCAGGGCTGGGGTTGGGAGCAGATGTGGGGTTGGGAGCAGATGTGGGGTTGGGAGCAGATGTGGGGTTGGGAGCTGATGTGGGGTGGGGGCAGGGCTGGGGTTGGGAGCAGATGTGGGTTGGGAGCAGATGTGGGGTTGGGGCAGATGTGGGGTTGGAGGCAGATGAGGGGTTGGGAGCAGATGTGGGGTGGGGGCAGGGCTGGGGCTGCGGGTGGCCCCGGGGGTGGGGCAGGCTGGAATTCCACCGGGAAGGGAGGGTCCGGGGTTCCAGCGTGGTGGGCGGGGCGTGGAATCTGGTCGGGGTCGGGGGGCACAGGCTGGGTGGGGAGATGAGACCCGAGCTCACCCGGCAGTGGCCCCAAGGATCGCGCCGGGCCCCCGCTCCCAGCCACCTCGCCCAGGGAGACCGTGCATTGTGCAGGCGAGGGGCGCGGGCGGCGAGGCCCGGAGCGCAGGGAGCGGCGGCCGGCGCGGGGCGTGGGGCTGCGTGGGCGCGCGGGGAGCACGAGGGGCTGCGCGCGGCTCCGGCTGCGGCGGGGGTGGCGGGAGCGCGGGCGGCGCGCGGGGCGCTGGGGGCCGCCGGCGGGGGCGCCCCCGCGGGGCGCGGGGCTGGGCTCGGGGCTGGCGCGGGGGCGGAAGCTGGGGTGCCGGGTCGCGCGCGCCATAGTCCTCGGGAGGAGGGTCTGCGAGTGACCTCGCTGCTCCCAGCCCAGATCACGCGGTCACGGCTGCGCTCGCTGTTGGGGTCACACAGCCGCCTGGTAGTCAGAGCGCCACCAAGTCACAAAGACCCGAGGGTCACAACCGGTCCCCGCCCCCCAAGGACCAGTCCGGACGCCTGGACAGGCTCCGCCCTGCGACCCTCTGTGCGCGGCCTTCTCGGCCCCACCCAGGCCTGCATCTCGCTCCCCAGCAGCCGGCTTGGGGGGCGCCCAGCCCTGCCCCCGCCGAGGGATGAGGGTGGGGAGCTGCGCGCTGGTGTCGCCTCGAGGGCTGGGGACACGGGGTGCCCTGGGCAGCGCCCTGCCCCCCACCCCGTCCCGCAGAGGAATCTGGAGCGGACTCGGGTGCCCAGGTCGCCCGTGGGCCCGCGCTGTCGCCCGGTGTTCCTCGCTCACCAGGGTCCCCGCCACCCAGGCGTTGCTTCTTTCTTGGTCCCCACCTGTTTGCTCCGCATCTTTGTGGGGGGGAGCCGTGGTGGGAAAGAGGAAAGACCCACCCACCCTCGGTGCTCTTGTCGGTAAATTTCTGAAACCTAGATCTCATCGTAATTTGGTTTAAAACCAACTTTATTTTGTGTTTAACTTACCAAGATAACCGCGAAGTGAGAGTCTGCTTCCACTTTGAAGGGGCTGTGGAGGGCTCAGTGCAGGGGGCCGTCCCCCTGGGTGGGGACCCTGCCCTCCCGCCCAGGCTCTCACCAGCCCGGCCTCCAGCTGGCCCCGGGTGACCTTCGCCAGGAAGCGGTGGGAGGCGGCCCTCACCTCTACCCTCCGTCCCCCAGGGTGTGACCCTGCCCTCACCCCACCCGCCTGCGTGCTTTTCCTCTCAACTTCTCCAGAGCCGGGCAAGGATATACCTGGGATCCCCAAAATTAAATAGGCACAAGCCACATTTCCACGTTAACATTTATTGCTCAGGCAGTATTAACTATACCAAAGACAGAGTAAATTGACAGAATTATACATTTTTTAAATCCTACACATGTGGATTTTTCAAGCTCTCTGAACTAAGGCACAAGCAGGTATTAAGCCCTCGGGCGCCTAACTATGGTTCTCTGGACCCCCAGGAGGACATCAGCATCGCCTGGGCTGTCCCGGGGCTCCTGCCCCAGCTCAGGGCCGTGCCCACCTGGCCACCTCCCTGTGAGCAGGGGAGCCACCTGGCTGAGGCTCTGCCGCCCGGCCGGCCCCTTGCTGCCCCCTCCCCACCCCCGCCTTCTGGAGCTGCGGGGATAGCGAAGGGGTTGTCAGAGGGCAGCTTCGATGACCCCTTGGCTGGCTCTCTGCACTCGCGGGTGTCCAGCCTGCACTCCTCCAGTTTGACCAACCGTGGCCTTGGCAGCTGAGTCCCCCCACCAGGCCCACAGCTGGCCAGCCCCAGCCGGCCCTCACCTCCTGGGCTCTGGTTCTTGGAGGCCCTGGGACCCGACCAGTGCACCTGAACTAGGCGAGCGGGAGCCTGAGCCTCCCCCAGCTGGGTCTGCGTATCACCTCCTTGTGCTGCGGGAACAACCGCTGGGACAGAGCCTTATGAAAGCAGTTCCCAGCGAGCACTGTTCCCCCGGGAGGTGCTCATGACAGCTGGGAGCAGCTCACAGGCCTCACGACCCCAGGTGTGCTCGGGCACAGAGACGGCACGGCTGCTGCTTGGCCATGCTTTTCATCAAAACAAATGCTGTTCACACTGTCCCTGCAGCCTGGCAGGTGGGCGGTGACAGAGGGAGGAGGCCCCGCCCAGGCCAGGCCGCAGGGGAGCTGGGACCAAGAGGACTACTTGTCAGGACATGGCGGGGACTCCCGGGCAGGCTGTCCTGCAGGTGGTGGCAGCAGCCTGGCCTGGGGAGGGGGCAGAGCCAACAGGGCAGGAGAGAAGGGCTCAGCCGGCCCCGGTCACTGAGGCCATTGAGACACGGAGGTGACCCAGGCAGTTTTCAAAGCCTTTGATCCAGCCCCACCCCAAAGACCACTGAGCCAGCTCAGTGGGCAGGTTGATCATGGTTGTTGTTAGGGCTCAGGAGCTAGAAATGACGTGGACAAGCCGCCACGTGGACCAGTGCCCCGAGCAGGCTGGGAGGCGGGGAGGCAGCAGTGTGGCAGGCACACGCTGCGGGGCACCGGGTGGGGTCTGCTCTCCTCAAGGGAGCCGGGCAGGGGCTGGGGAGAGAAGCACTCGGGTGCCTATGGGTGCACACAGCAGGTGCTCCGCAAGGACGGGCGGGAGCAGGGGAGGGGAGGACGGGCACAGGCAGCGTCCCGGGGCCAGGAGCTGTCCAGACCAGCTCCTGGCACCTGAGCTCCTCACGCAGCCCGGCCACCCGCACACGGGAGGGTTAGAAAGCAGGAGCTGGAGGGCACTGGCGTCTGCCGCACACGCTGGGGGCGGGGCTGCGCCGCGGTCCCTGCGGTCACTGCGCCATCTGCACCACCACGGCCCTCCAGGCTTTCTCCTTGTCGAACTCCTTCAGGGGGCTTCTGGCCACCTGCGCCGGGACAGGCAGAGGTGTTTGTGTGGGAGGGCAGCACGGACCCCACAGCCCCTCAGCCTGGGAAGCAGGAGGAGACCCTGCCTGCCCTGCAGCGGCTGCACCTGCCCTCCCGGGGCGGAGCCTGGGCTGGGGCTGAGCTCTCCACGTGGCCACAGGCTGGCTCTGGGGGTGGGCACTGGCCTGGTGTCCAAGGAGCCGGGCCGCGGGGACCCACCCCTGCCCCTGAGGCCGGCTCCTGGCAGAGCGGGCATCCGTGAGCATCAGGCGCTTGGGGAGGACTTGCTGACGGGAACCATACCCCAGCATGCAGGAACCAGCCGGACCTCCAGGCCCTTCCGGGGGCAGAGAGGGGCCTGGGCCTGGCCTGGAACACTGTGCCAGCACCGGCGGGGGCCTGACACCAGGGAGGAGGGCTCTCAAAGGGGCCGTCACCCAAGATCCACAGAAACAGGGCCTGACCCCACGCCACACCCTGTCCCGACGCGGAACCAGGTCCAGGGACAGAGCCGTCCCACAGGAGACCAATGGCCACCAGGTAATGAGGAAGTGGTGGGTCTGAGGCTGATGATGGAAGGAACAGCACCCAGGATGGGGCCACGGGTCGGACGGGTCCCCCGAGAACCAGGAGCAGCCTGGTGGGCACACAGCACCAAGGTGTGCAGAGCAAGGATGTGAGACCATGAGGGGCCCAAGGGGCGGCTGCAGGGAGGAGTGTTCAGTGCACCCCGGGGGGCCCTGCAGGACCCTGCACAGGGCCTCGTGCACCTGAAGGGCTGTGGGCCAGTGTCCCCGTGAAAACAGCACTGGACAGCGGGCCACCCACAGGGAGGGACGCAGACCCCAGCCTTTTAGGTGCGGGGACGAGAGGTGGCACGTTTGCAGGAGTAAGACTGAAAACATTCGGTCCCGAGTATTTTTTCAGGACAGATTGTATTTGCCTAGCTGGTTTGAAAAACATTCCGTGGCCCTGGCAGGTTTGGCTCAGCGGTTAGAGCGTCGGCCCGCAGACCAGAGAAACCCGGGTTCGGTTCCCACTAAGGGCACCTGCCTCAGTTGCAGTTTGTCCCCAGCCTTGGTAGGGGTCATGTGGGTGGCAGCCAGTCGATGTGTCTCTCACGTCGATGTTTCTCTCTCTCTCTTCCCTCCTTTCTCCTCCCGCTCTATCTGAAGATAAATGCAAAAGTGTCCTCCAGTGAGGATAGAACAAATTTTTTTTTAAATTAAAAACATTCCGTGTGTCCTGGCTGGTTTGGCTTAGCAGTTACAGTGACAGCCTGCAAAACAAAGAGTCGCGGATTCGATTCCAGTCAAGGACATGTACCTTGGTTGCAGTTCCGTCCCCTGCTCTGGTTGGTGTTGTGCGGAAAAAGTATCTTCCAGTGAGAATTTAAAAACAAAAGAAGCCCTGGACAGTTTGGCTCAGCAGTAAGAATGTCGCCCACAGACCAAGGAGTCCTGGGTTCGATTCCGGCCAAGGGCACATACCTCGGTTGTGATTAGTCCCCAGCCCCGGTAGAGGTTGTGTGGGTGGCAAACAGTCAATGTTTCTCTCTCTCTCTTCTTCTCTCTCTCCCTCCAGCTCTATCTGAAGATTAATGTAAAAATATCCTCGAGTGAGGATCAAAACAAAAACATTCCATATGTTACTTCCCCAAGATGTTTCCTGAGTCTTGAAACCAGTCAGTGAGGGTGGGTGTCACTTGCACGGGCCTGCAGGCTACCAGGACAGGGCGGCGGCCCGAGGCCACTCACCTGGGCAGCGGGGCGCGCCTGCGGGCCGGCCGTGAAGCGGGCGCACAGGATGACGGTGCCCGTGTGCAGACTGGCCTGCAGCAGGAGCTCCAGCAGCAGCAGCAGCAGCAGCACGTCGTAGGATTGCTGGTGGCGGGAGGACAGGGCGGGGTAAGCTTGGTCCCTACCCTGGCTCTCGGAGACCCCGCCCCTCACCCTGCCAGCCAGGGCGCCCACACAGCCAGCTCCCCGGTGCCCACGGCCCAGAGCCCGAGAGCGGTTCTCGTGGAGCCGTCAGGCCGGAACTGGGGCCAGCATCCACCTGCACTGTGATCTCAGTGACCTGGGGAGCAGTCCGTCTGCCCCACGATGGGCGCTGAGGGGCCAGCTCTGCGCTGAGTTCCGCTCTCTCCCGTGTCACAGGCACAGAAAGGCCCATGGCTGGGTGGATCGCACGGGCTGCTCATGGCCAAGTCTCCCGTGTCCCCAGCAACCACACGGGTCAGCGAGGGAGCCAAGGGCACCCTGTGGCCACGCCGAGGGCACCCATGGGGGGCGAGTGTCACGTGTAAGCCACATCTGCTGTGAGACGCCACCCACAGGCTCCTCCCGAGCTCGGGCTGCGAGGGAGAAGGGGTCTGAGCAGTGCCAGGACTGGAGGCACCGGGAACCCACAGCTGCTCAGGTGTCCCGGAAGCATCCACCCCCGCACTGCATCACGCCCTTCTGCCTCGAAGTGCAAGCCCTAGATGTCAACCCGGAGAAGACCCGTGTCCACACAGCATCCCTGCTACAGATAAACTGTCCTCCGACGAATGCGCACATTCGGCTCGGAGTCCAATGAAAATACAGGAGCCTCATCGGTGGCTCCTCCCGCCGGCTCTGTTACCCGCGGTCAGCTGCGGTCAGAACAGACTAGACGGAGAATTCCAGAAAGAAATAATGCACAGGTTTTAAATCGCCCGCCATTCTGGGCAGTAGATGACGTCCGGCAGCACCCCCCCAGGACATGAACCATCGCGTGTCCCGCGTCTCCACACTCTGGATCCGTCAGCGGGATGCTGGTGCCTGTGTTCAGGTCCCCCTCCTTCTACTTAGCAGTCACCCTGAAGCACGAGAGCAGATGCTGGGAATTCGGATGTTTCAGAGACGCCCAGAAACCTTCCCTCAAGGGAAAAGACGGAAGTTCTTGACTTACTGGGGAAAAAAATAAATCCTGTGCTGAGGTTGCTCAGCTCCACGGTGAGAACAAATCTCTCAGTGAAGTGCAGGAGGAAAAGGAAACACATGCTAGTGTTTAGTCACATCTCAAACTGCAAATCCGGGCCCGGCGGGTGGGGTGCTTGCTCAGGGCAGAAAGGCGTTAAGCCTGTGGGTAAAGGACAGCGGAAGATGCCTTCCGACGGACACACAGGTTTGCACCAGAAAGCGCTGAGATCCCACGAAGACACCAGCAAGGGACCCCCTGAAGCCATGACAATAGGGAGGGTCCCACAGACTCAGGAAAAGGTTCAGACGGAAAAACATATAAATTCCTGGAGATGCGTCTGCCTGGGGAACCGGTACAAGGGGCCACACTGCCCGCAGGCTCAGGCTCCCCAAGGTCCTGGGACATGTCAGGTCTAAAATGCGTTAGAGAAACAAGGCACCAGGCAGGTAACCTGAGAGCAGCGTCCCCGGCGATGGGGCCCTGGGTCACTGGCGCCACCTGCTGGAAGCTGCCGGTCCCCAGCAGGACCGAGCGTGGGCGCCGCCCCTCGGTGAGGGCAGGGGGGGGGGGCTTTCAGTAGCATCTGCACTGCTGGGGCCCTCTTTCCGCCTCGCCCAGGATGAAGTGGGGCGCATGTCACTAGCCTTCCTGATCACCACTAACACCCGAAGCAAGAAAGGAAATACTGGTACGTTCACCCTCACAAAACACACAAACGTGCACATGCAGAAATCACGCGCAGAACGGAAAACCGCTGTGGCCCTAAGGGCGCCGCTCAGCTGTCAAAGCCCGGAGACGGGCACAGACGGACAGCGGTCCCGGGAAGAAAGGCAGAGGCCGCCGCGGTCGCAGTGGAAGGTCCTCTGTGTGCACCAGGCACCCTCTCAACTCTGCATCCAAACAGGTGACCGCTGCTCCCGCCACTGGGGGAGGGGCAGTGGGCCCCCCGAACTGTGGGGGTCCCGCAGCACAGGTGCCTCTCCCCTCTGGACCTGCAGCCGCCCTCCGATGACGGTCCCGAAGGGGCGCCCTGCGGAGTGGCTGCGCGGCCGCAGCGGGGGTCGCCCACGCCCTCCCGGGACTGGCCGGCGGCCTGGGTGGCAGGAGGCTCACGTGGTAAAGGAGACCGCACTCCACCCCTCAGTCTGAGGCTGCTCCATTGAAAACAAAGCGAGGGACTTCCGGTCAGGATGGCGGGTAGGTAAACCTGGTAACCGTCCTCCCACAACCACATCAAAGTTACAACTAAACTATAGCACAACCATCACTCAGAAACACCTGACATCGAGCTGGATGGAAGTCCTACAACTACGGAATTAAAGCAGCAGAGACAGGTAGGCGGGGCAGAGGTGGACGGGCTGGTCCCACACCCAAGTGTGATAGATACAAATCAGGAAGACACCTCGGCTGGGAAGGGCCTCCCTAAGGACTGAGGGGTCCCCGTCCCACACCAGGCACCCCGCTCAGGGTCCCAGTGCCAGGAAGAGAATCCCCATCACTTCTGGCTGGAAAAACCAGCGGGAACTGAGGATCAGGGAGGCTGAGACAGCTGGAGCCCCAGGCAGCTCCTTAAAGGGCCGCGCACGGTCTTATCGGACTCTCTCCCTCTAAACTTGGAGGGGAGGCAGCTTGAGAGGCACCAGAGACATACAGGGAAGAACTGAGCTGTTTGACACTGGAGCGAGAGCTGGAGAGGGGGCTTTCTCCGGGACAAACGTGATGTCAGAAGCCTTTGTTCCTTTGGTGAGCCCTTCCCTGGGGCAGCAGACAGCCCCCATATCTGGGACTCCAGCAACCTGGCTCACACTGGTCGCCCCGCCCTGGTGACTCCCTGAGGAGTCAGGCCCAACTTTCAGGCCCACCCAAGCTGTTGCCAGTTGCTTAACTATAGGATTGGCCTGTCTTGGATCCTGCTTCAGGTTTTCCTAAATTCTTTCAAACAAGTTGCACCTGGTCTCAGCTAGACCCATACCACTTGTTAAGTAATACATAGAAACAAACAGAGAGCCAGCCAAAATGAGGAGACAAAGAAACAGGTCCCAAATGAAAGAACAGAACAAAACCCCAGGAAAAGAACTAAGCGAAATGGAGATAAGCAACCTAACAGATGCTGAGTTCAAAATACTGCTTATAAGGATGCTCAATGAACTTAGTGAGAACCTCAGGGAACTTAGTGAGGGCCTCAAGAGCATAAAAAAGGACCGGTCAGAAATGATGGATGCACAGTCAGAAATGAAGGTGGCATTAACTGAAATAAAGAATAATTTACACAGATTCAATAGTAGAGTACGTAAATCCAAGAAGCAAACCATCAATTTGGAATATAAGGAAGCAAAAAACGCCCAATCAGAACAGCAAAAAGAAAAAAATAATCCAAAAAAATGAGGAGAGTGTAAGGAGCCTCTGGGACAACTTCAAGCGTGCCAACATTCGCATCTTGGGGGTGCCAGAAGGAGAAGAGAGAGAACAAGAAATTGAAAACCTGTTTGAAACAATAATGGCAGAAAACTTCCCTAACTTGGTGAAGGAAACAGACATACAAGTCCAGGAAGCACAGAGAGTCCCAAACAAGATGAACCCCAAGAGGCCCACACCAAGACACATCATCATCAAAATGCAAAAGGTTCAAGACCAAGAGAGAATCTTAAAAGCAGCAAGAGAAAGGCAGCTAGTTACCTACAAGGGAGTTCCCATAAGGCTGTCAGCTGATTTCTCAAAAGAAACTTTGCAGGCCAGAAGGGAGTAGCAAGAAATATTCAGAGTGATGAAAAGCAAGAACCTACAACCAAGATGACTCTATCCTGCAAAGCTGTCATTTAGAATCAATGGCCATATAAAGAGTTTCCCAGACAATAAAAAAGCTAACGGAGTTCATCACCACCAAACCATTATTATATGAAATGTTGAAGGGTCTTTTTGAAGAAAAAGATAAAATATATGAACAAACAAAATGGCAATGAATACATATCTATTGACAATGGAATCTACAAACAAAGTGAACAGGCAGACAAAAACATTCTCATAGATACAGAGAACACTTTGTTGGTTGCCAGATGGGAGGCGGGTTGGGGGATGGGTGAAAAAGGTGAAGGGATTAAGAAGTACAAATTGGTTGCTAGACTGACAAACCTCAAAGGGAAGGGGGTTGGGGGTGGGAAGAAATAAACCAAAAAACTTATATGTAACCAATGGACACAGACAACAGTGTGGGAAAAGGCAGGAGGGGGTCAATGGGGGAAAAATGGGGAACATACATTCAACAATAAAGATAAAAAAAAGAATAATAATACCAGCTTACACAATATAGTCTAGAGAAAGAAAAGCAAACTAAATTCAAAGTAAGTATCAGGAAATAATAAAATAAGAGCAAAAAGCAATTGAATTTATAACAAAAATATAAAAAAATATCAGTGAAACCAAAAGTTGGTTACTTAAAAATTAATAGAATTGATAAACATAAATTTGTGAGCAAGAAAAGAAACAACTTTAGGAATGAAAGAACATCACCACTGATCCCAAAGAACATTTTTTTAAATAACAAAGGCTAAAAAATTGTAGATACTACTCCTTCGTGGAAGTGAATGAAACAACACCCACTCTTTAATGGCGGGCTGCACGGTGGCTTCCGTCCCCGGAGCGGAGTGTATGGAAAGGGCAGGAGTGGAGTGCAGTGCAGTGACCCCACACACACCACCTCCCAGGGGTCGAGCTCAAGGTGCATGGTGCTGAGCCACCATGATATGTGCACTACGGACACAATGTGATAAGAAGGGCACTTTACCTCTGAGATCTTCTGACTAAACACATGTAACCCCAGTCTAATCATGAGAAAAACATCAGACAAATCCTAACTAGACATTATAAAAAAATACCTGACTTTTAATCCTCAAAGCTGTCAAGATCATAAAAAAATAATAATAACTGTGGAGGTCTGAGAAACTGTCAGAGCCACAGGAGACCAAAGAGACATGAAAGATAAGGTCATATAACACCCTGGATGGACCCCTAGGATAGTAAAGGAATGTTAGGTAATAACAAGCAATCTGAATAGAGTATGAAGTTTAGTTAATATTAATGTATCGCATTGTAACAATTATACCATACTAATGTAACATGCTTATAACAGGGGAAAGGTTGTGATGTATACGGAAACTATTACTGTTGCAATTTTTCTATAATTCTAAAATTAAAAGTTCATTTAAAAAACAAAAAACAACAACAACAACAAAAACAAAGCGAGAGCCCTGGCTGGTTTGGCTCAGTGGTTAGAACGTCGGCCTGCGGTCCAGAAAGACCCGGGTTCAGGTTCCCGCTAAGGTCACATCCCTCGGTGGCATTTTGTCCCCGGCCCTGGTTGGTCGTGCGGGTGGGAGCCATTCGATGTGTCCCTTTCACATCGATGTTTCTCTCTCTCTCTCTCTTCCTCTCTCTCCCTCCCACTCTATCTGAACAAAAAAATGGAAAAGTGTCCTCGGGTGAGGATAAAAAACAAACAACAAAGCGAGGTGTGGGGGTGAGACAGCAGCAGCCACCTGCTTCATGAGGGAGGGAGGGGCGTGGCCACCGCGTCCCACACGGGGCCTCCGGGGCCGTCTGACTCCTGAACCACATAAAAGCTTCCTAGTCACCCTGGCCTGTTTTGCTCAGCGGTTAGAGCATCAGCCTGTGGACCAAAGAGCCGCGGGTTCGATTCCGGTCAGGAGCACGTGCCTCCGTTGCGGTTGGACCCCTGGCTCCGTTGGGTCCTATGGGAGGCAGCCACTCGATGTGTCCCTCTCACGTCGATGTTTCTCTCTCTGTCTCTCTCCCTCCTTCTCTATCTGAAAATCAATGGAAAAAATGTCCTTGGGTGAGGATTAAGAAGAAAAAGGTTCATAGTCAAAAACACTGCGGAAAGGGGGAAAGCATCAAATCTGAAGGCTGAATATAAACAGAAACTGTCCGATGTGACTCTGAAATCGACAGCACAGAAGGGTGCTTCCCGCCCCAGGCCCACCTCGACCTCCCGCAGGTGCCCCGGGAGACGCCGGAAGGGTGTTGTGAAGACTGTGTGTGGGGGAAGGTAAAATAAAGCAGTAACTGCAGGTTATTGGGAAACAAGATTTCCGGAGTGAGAACAGGACCACAAACAGAAAATAACAGAAGTTGAAGGAAAACCCTAAAATGTAAACTTCGAGTCGGAAACACAAACCTACGTTTGGGACGGACCTTTGGACACAAGGGGGCAGAAGCCGGTCTCCAGCTGTCTGTGTGGGGAACAGCGCAGTAGTTAACAGATAACAACAAAGGCCTGTCCTGGTTGGAGGTCGTTCGTATGCCAAAAGGTTGCGGGTTCGATCCCTGGTTGGGGTGTATACAGGAGGCAACAGATCGATGTTTCTCTCCCCCCTTCTTCTCTCTCTAAAAATCAATAAAAACTTATCTCTGAAAAAAATAGAATAAACTCTGTTTGTGGACTCACAGCTGTAAACCTACTTTTGCTCCCCCTGTATAAATACTCAGCTCTGCCTGCTGAACGGGCTTAGAAGCAGCGACCCCCCAGGAGGAAGGAGCCCACCAGCCCCTGGACCTCGGCTTCCATGCACGATCCCCCCAAGGGGGGCAGGACGAGGACAAGGAGAGCCTGGGGCTGCTGCTCCTCCCCGCAGCAGGGCCCGCATAATAGGACAAGGGCTCCCGCACCGCACTGTGCAAACAGTGCCGCCCACCAGTGCTCAGAAGGGCTCCCCGGGCTGCCTGCCGGCTCCCCCAGAGCAGGGGCGGAGGCCCGAGGCTCTGCTGTCAGAAAGACCCGCAGGCGAAGCACTGCACACGCCGTCTGCGCGGTGCCCTGACCAACCCTGACCGTCCTTCCTGCCAAGGGGACGCAGGCCTCCCTGGGGTCAGTCTGGCAGCTGCTGCCTACTGTGCGGGAGGGCCACACCCACGCTCCCATGGACACCACAGGACAGATATTCACAGGCGGGTCATCTCCCAGACTACCGGCCCAGACTCCAAAGAGTGGGTGCACGAGGGGAGGGTGGGACTTAACAGCCAAACGCCAGTCTGAGCCTGAGCAGGGCTCAGCCCCAGAGCACACTCCTGGGATGGCCCACGGAGAGCGACCGTGACCTGGAGTGACCTGGACGGCATGATGGGCGGGACAGCTCTGGCACTGCAGCTGTGATCACAGGACCCTGGTGTGCAGACTGAGCCGGAAGCAGAGCCCCACCCCGACCCCCACCCCCGGTCAGAGAACATAGGGCACTGACCCCTGGTGGCAAGGTGAAGCCGGCCTCATGCCCCAGGTGGTCAGACGGTGCGCACAGCCCTGTCCGGGAGACGCTCTCCAGGCCCGCGCACAGGCGGCGGAGGCTGTGAGTGGGGGACACGCACCTTGAGGGCGGGCGGGTAGTCCTCGAACACCTGCACGACTCTCCTCACGCTGAAGGTCAGGTACCCGGCGGCCGAGAAGAGCAGTGGCGCTGTGAGGCTGCAGATGGCCACCAGCACCTCCACCTGCGGAGCAGACGGGCGTCACCATGCCGGCCCCGCGGCTGCTCGGCCCACAGCTCCGAGGACGGGGTGCCCCGATTTGCCCGCTCGTCCCCAGTGCACCGCGTGTCACAAGGTTCCTCAAGTTCACACCTGTCCACACGTTGACGATCACACTGTGGTCACTGCCCTGCGGCCTGCCTTGACCGTGCCCACAACGCACCCCAGGTCTCCAGCGCAGGCCCTTGGGCCCAGGCCTGGCAATGGTCCGTGGTCAGATGACCGACCATCAGTCTGTCAGTCCGACAGATGCAGGATGAGGCTGGGGGCCAGGCTCCACCCCCCAGGCTGAGGCACAGCCCCCACAGACAGCCCAGCCCTCGGACAGCGGCCCACCGCCCTGCAGCCCAGCCGGTCCCCACCTACCAGACACCTGCTGGGGCACTCGGCTGTCACATGACTGGCAATGGCGCTGGGAAAACACTAGGAGAAGAGGAGGGCCTCAGAGGTGGGGGCCACGGAGCCAGGCGCCCCGCTGTGTCCCCCTGCAGCTCAGCCTCCAGCTGCTCTCAGTGTCTGCACCCGCACAGCAGCCGGAACCTCACGGGAGAGCCCCGAGTCCCCCCTGCGGGCGTCCCCCTCACCCGCCCTCTGCCTGCCCGTGTGCAGGGCTGAGCCCAGGCGCCCAGGAGACACGTGCCCCCGGAGGCCATGCCGGCTGACCCTCTGACCTGCGCTAGCACTCACCACGGGGCAGCTGCCGTGCTGAGCGTTCACCGCAGTGGCATTGCGTATAGAATCATAGCACACAGTAAAGATGTGGTATGGAATACGTATTTTGTCATAGAACAATATAATGATGTTATAGGTTACAAAATTAGATAAATTAAAAGGTATTTTTTCAGGAGAAAACAACACAAAAATGATAAAATAACAAGAGCCATAAAAATAAAAGCAGCTGCACACGGACTCGCCGGGTCCCACATCCTCCAAGGCCGGCACCCACATCCCCACCCCTTCTCTCCCCTGCCCGAGGGCCACAAAAACCGAGTTCAAGAACCAGCCACTCCAGGCCTTGGAGAGCAGCCCGGCCGGCCACGACAGACGGACATGGGCCGCGCTGGACGTACTCACAGCCACTAAGATCCAGAAGAACGTCACCGAGAGGTGCGGGCTCGAGACGGCCTCGTGCACGTTCAGAGTGATGACCCCACCCAGGACGGCAGAGACACCAGCAATCACCTCGATGACCTGTGGGGGGCAGTGCGGTGGTGTCACATGGGGAGTGGGTGGGCTCCTGGGGTCCCCAGAGCACAAGTGTCACTGACGTGGCGGGAAGAGCTCGGGGCGAAGGAGCAGCAAACCGTGTCCACGGCTCGAGGGAGGCCCCCAGGGAGCCCCGGAAATGCAGCCTTCGCAGGCCGGGGTCAGTGGGAGGGGAAGACGGGCAGTTCTTCCCACCAGTCCCAAGGCAGCCGGCAGGCGGGAGAAGCCCAGGCACGTGCAAGGACAGCGATGCACACAGGGGTCGCAGCCCCTCGAAGGGAACGTGCTCCGCCCAAAGACACAGAGACAGCGACAGCTGGGGTAAGAATAAAGGACAGCCCTGGCCGGTTTGGCTCAGCAGTTGGAGCGTTGGCCCGCGGACTGGAGAGACCCGGGTTCAGTTCCCACTGAGGGCACGCACCTCGGCTGCAGTTTGTCCCCCATCCTGGTGGGGTCGTGTGGGTGGCAACCAGTCGATGTGTCTCTCTCACACCGATGTTTCTCTCTTTCTCTTTTCCCATCTCTCCCTCCCGCTCTATCTGAGGATAAATGCAAATATGTCCTTGGGTGAGGATAAAAATAAAATAATAAAATAAAATAAAATAATAAAATAAAACACAGTAGTGCGCTGTCCGGAGAGACAAACCGAAATGAAAGTGAGGAGGAGAGCGATCCCCTGGCAGACGGTAACCACAGATGACTCACCGACGTGCTCAAGGCTGTCAGTGCAGGTTCATGGGAAACACCGTCACTAATGACAGAGCTGCCGTGTGAGGATGGAAGAGAAAGAAATCGCAGGAAGCAATTCTAGGCGGGTCCAGGCATAGAGCACAGGCTGAAACACCTGCAGCAGAGTCTCCCGAGTCACGGAGACCATGACGCCTCTCGGAGTGGGGGGCAGTGTCAGTGACAGCACAGGAGGCCGAGGGAAGGCCTCCAGGGAAAAGAGGGGTGGCCACAGCGTTTACCCTTAGTCAGGACACTTGGAATGAGGACATGCTTCAGGACCCCAGAGGCAGCAGGTGTCAACCAGGGCAGTGTGTTACCTCACTCAGCCCCAGATCTACACCCCACCTGTGTGCACACCCCACCTGTATCCACACACCTGTATCCACACACCTGTATCCCCCACCTGTGCACACACCCCACCTGTGCGCACACCCCACCTATGCACACACCCCACCTATATCCACACCTCACCTGTATCCACACCTCACCTGTGCGCACACCCCACCTGTATCCACACCTCACCTGTATCCACACCTCACCTGTGCACACACCTCACCTGTATCCACACCCCACCTGTGCACACACCCCACCTGTATCCACACCTCACCTGTATCCACACCTCACCTGTATCCAAACCTCACCTGTGCACACACCCCACCTGTGTACACACCCCACCTGTATCCACACCTCACCTGTATCCACACCTCACCTGTGCACACACCCCACCTGTATCCACACCTCACCTGTATCCACACCTCACCTGTATCCAAACCTCACCTGTGCACACACCCCACCTGTGCACACACCCCACCTGTATCCACACCTCACCTGTATCCACACCTCACCTGTGCACACACCTCACCTGTATCCACACCCCACCTGTGCGCACACCCCACCTGTGCACACACCCCACCTGTGCGCACACACCCCACCTGTGCGCATACCCCACCTGTATCCACACCCCACCTGTGCACACACCCCACCTGTGCGCACACCCCACCTGTGCACACACCCCACCTGTGCGCACACACCCCACCTGTGCGCATACCCCACCTGTATCCACACCCCACCTGTGCACACACCCCACCTGTGCGCACACCCCACCTGTATCCACACCCCACCTGTATCCACACCCCACCTGTGCACACACCTCACCTGTATCCACACCTAAGCCATACCCACACTGACATCGTACATTATCAACACCTACCTAGGTAAGCTGCCCTGAAGGAGCACGGCAGCTGCTGAGATGAGGTGTTTGTCACCAACGACACTGCAGGAGCTGAGCTCGCAGACCATGCAGCCCACACCGCCACCCCAGCCATCTTCAGACAGACGTGTCCCCTCCCCCAAATAAAACAAAATGACGAGGAAGAAAGGAAAGTGTTCCTACCGAGTAGGACTTCAGGACCCGCGCCGGAAACGTCACGTCGTACAAAATGCTGGTGCTGTCACAGATGGAACCCTGAGAGAAATGAGCGGTGACCTCCCTGGGCAGGCTGTCACCTGGTCCCGTCTCCAACAGGAGCAGCTGCGAGTTGCTAGTGATCACCAGGCCTGGGAGCAGAAGCTCAAACAGGCGTTTTCCTTGCACGTGAAGAAGCATTTGCGCACAAGGAGGCACCTTCAGGAGACTGGGTCTCCCTGTGGTCCTGCTGGACGCGTGGTCAGAGCCTCAGGTGGGCAGGCCCAAGGCCACCAGCCTCCAAGGCCCGGAGAGCCACAAGCAGGCGTGGGTGGGGAGGGGCTTCCCTGCATGAAGGTGGGGTGACCCCGCGGCCCCGCACCGTGGGCACACGGCACACCTACCTTCTGCCCACCAGACACCTCGCCGGACCTCGCCGAGATGATCACTGTGGCCGCCATGAGGAGTTCCAGCAGCAGCAGCAGAACCAGGTTGAAATTGATCTGCCGGAGGGAGCCCCAGTGAGGAGACCTGCTCCCCTCACTTCGATTCTGTAGCAGCAGTTTCGCGCAGGCCGCGCCGCCTGCTCTCGGCTCCAGGCAGCGTCCCGGGCAGCCTCCCGGGGCCGGGCCTCGCCTGTGTTTCCACCCCACTCCAGCTGATCTAACCCCTGCCCCGACCTAGGCCTCCGTCTGACCCCTAGGTCTTCACTCTGGAGAGAGGAAACCTCCACTCACGCTGAAACCGGGCACTTGTCTGTTGCTGGCACAGGTAACTGTTTTACACCGATGTTCACACCCGGCACCTCCGTCCAAGCCCATAACTTAAGTCCTAGGGTCACGTTTCCTGCAGACAATTCGGCCAGGCGGCCTCTCGGACCCCCGCGCGCCTGTCCGTTTTCTGTGCCTCCTCAGCCTGGCTCAGCTTCCCTGGGGCTACCCCACTGCTTTCCTGGCCGTAATGTGGGTGGTCAGCATCCCGCCAGCAGGAGGCCTTTGGGAGGTGTCTCTGACCAGGTCCTGCTTTCGTGAGGCTGCCTCACGGAGTGGCAGGCTTCTCCGTCTATCTTAGCGGCACACCTCAGCTCCAACAGCATCACAGACCTGACAAAACACGTCACTACGCTCCTGTTCACTTTTAGGGACTGTTGCGAAAGAGGCGTTAAAATGTTACCAGCAAATCCATCCCCTGGAATCAATGAAAAAGTTAAAGACAATTCTTTTCTTCAGACGGATAAATAAAATTCTCCAGCTTTGTCGAACTCAAGGGCCATGACACACACACACGTTTCCGACCCAGGGCCAGCGCTCGGCGACACCAGCCACACGCCCCCGCAGCGAAGCCCGACGGGAGGACCTCGCCAGGAGGAAACGGGCAAGAATGTGGGGCCCACGGGGCTCCAGGGACTCACGTCTATTGCTGACGGATTCATGACAAGTTTGCATCCAAACCAGATCAGACATGTAGTGGTCACAGCAAATGTGGAAACAAACAACATCTGAAAATTGGGAATCTGAAAAAGAGGATGGGGGGGGGGGTGTTATTCCCATTGCATAACTGAAGAAGTACAGTAGAGGCAACATCACACCTAATTCCAGGTCACTAATTAAAAATCCTAGCCTGGCCCGTGTGGCTCAGTGGTTGAGCGTTGACCCTGCACCAAGAGGTTGCCGCAATTCCCAGTCAGGGCACATGCCCAGGTTGTGGGCCAAATCCCCAGTGGGGCCATGCAGGAGGCAGCCGGTCAATGTTCTCTCTCATCAATGTTCTCTCTCATCAATGTTCTCTCTCATTGATGTTTCTATCTCTCTTCTCCCTTCCTCTCTCTCTAAAATCAATAAAGGGGAAAAAAAAAAAAGAAATCCTAAAGACTGTGACACCTAAGAATTAGCTGGGGCCAGAGGGTGGGAGGGCACAGGAAACCCTACAGTGGGGGCACGGGGCTACTGTGGGCAGTGGAGGTGTGTCCCACCCATGCAGAAGTGTGTGTGCATACACACACAAACACAAGTGCACACACGTGCACGCACGTGCACAGAATTGCACATGCACGTGAGTACACACACGTGCACACATGCACGCACACACACAATTGCACAAAGTGCACGCACACATGTACACAAGCACACATGCATAAACACAAGTGCACTTGCACACACAAGTGCACACACATACACGCACAAGTGTACACACATATAAACAAGTGCACATGCACACAAGTGTGCACACACGTGTACACACACAAGCACACATGGACACGAGTGCAGACATGCACACACGTGTACACACATAAACACAAGTGCACATGCAGACAAGTGCACACACACGCGCGCATGTGCTCTCAGCCCGGCAGGGCCTGGCTTCTCTTGCACAGCCGTGCGCCTGCCCCCATGGTACAGAGACTGGACAGAAGACTGTTCTCACCACGTTGGCATTTCTGCGGGAAACAGCAAAGCTCACGACCGCCGAGGGGATGCACTGGAAAGAAAGCAGAGCTCGGTGAGCAGTGGTCAGTCACCCGTGTGTCCTTAAAGCATAATCTTCCGATGACCCGACACCTGTCAGCAAAACAGTGACGCGGCCACTAGACGCAGGGGCTTCGCCAGACGCTGAGAGGTCCTCAAGTCTGTCATAATTCATTCTGGAAAAGGTTTCCATTCTTCTGACGAGATAGCAAAGGCATTTGCTAATGAACAGTATTCTAGGTGGACACACTCGGAAGCTGGAATGCAACTTCCTACCGCCCAAGACCAGGGTCCATCAACTCCTAAGAAATTACCCAAAGGGGGAATGTGTCACCGCAAGAAGGAAGTGAACACACTCAGGGGTCCAGAGCCCAAGGGAGTTCTTGTCAGGGGCCCCACTTTGACCCCCACAGGAGCAAAGGACAAGCAAAGAGGGCGAATGTGGGGGCGTCAGGAGGTAGGGAAGTGGACAGAGGGGGACCAACAGGGGGCCTCGAGGTGCTGCTCTTGTGGGTGACGGACCCCTGCAGACCCTGCGGTGGGGGCAGCAGAGCTGAGGGTGTCACAGCCTGCAGGGCACACAGCTGTGGTTGGATGGGGGTGGGGCTGGGCCCTGAGGGCTGAGCAGGAGCCCTTGGGAACCCATGACCGGTCTCCCCAGCCCGTTGCCTGAGGGTGAAGGGCACTGCCAGGACACCAGCCTAGGTTGGCGTTGCCCTGAAGTCATCTGGTCAGAGGTCAGGTCACTGTGGCCCAACTAGGGCTGCTCCAGTGGTGAAGACAAAGGGTCTCCTAGAAGGTTCTAGAGAGAACTGCAGGGGCAGGTGGAGTGGATTCAAGGAGTTTTGTTCCAAGGCAGCGGAGGCCAGCAGCATGGGGTGGGGGATGGGTGAGAGAAGCGGCGTCTTTGTTCTCAGATGTTCGTGGACAACGAGGGACTGTAGGGGGAGAGCGCCGGCAAGAGGCCCCCAAGGCAAGCCCTGTGACCACCAGCGGCCCCCACGAGCTGTGGGAGGGGCGGGGTGCAGCCCGAAGCCACTGACGTCAGACACCAGGGTGCGTCCAGCCCAGGAGTCTGTGGAGAGGCTCAGACAGCTTCATCAGTTGTTTTCAAAAGGCATGACCTCCACTGAAGCTAAAGCCCCATGGGGAGATTCTGAGTGAGTGGCGATGGACAGAAACGGGGAAATCTTAAAGCACAAAACCCCAAGGCACAGCCGCAAACTTCAGAACCAGAGGACGTGACGGGACGCTGCTTACCGAGCCTGCAGCGCAGCGTAAGTAATCCATCTCGGAAGGAAACACGTTTCCCAGGTACAGCGAGAGCCCGGAGGTCACCAGCAGGCAGCCCTGCAACACGGCAGCGCAATCAGGCAACGCGTGGCCGCGTCTGAGCACACGGAGCACAGCCGTCCGTGCAGCACCAACGTTGCGCCTGGATCCTGCCGGACCTGACATCCTCACACAGGACGGCCATGGCCCACCCTCCCCCATCATCAGACTATGGGCTTCCACATTTATTTGGGGAACTAAAGGAGGGGCCCTGTCAAAATCTGAGCGAAAATGGCACCTCTCCCCAGAAGACGCCCTCAGCACAACACTTGCAGTTTCTGGGCCTCAGGATCCCCAGCCCCAGGTCCGGGCATGAAGCCCTGTCCAGCTCAGGGTCCGGAGAGAGAAGCTCACTGCCGAGGGTGAGGTTCTGGGGCAGGGGTCAGTGTTAAAGGTCACTCGGACCCGGGGTCCAGGCAGGAAGCCTTCATGTCCTACTGTGATGGCGGTGCTGGGACGTGGGAGCCTGGGGACAGAGGAGACCACGGCCCACACCTAAGTGAGGAGGGGCAGCAGGATCGGGGGCTGGGGCTGCCGCACAGAGTCCAGGGCCCAGGAGCAGGAGGGAGGAGGAGCTTCCTCCGTGCCCCACATGGGTGGGGGTGCCAGTGTCCATGGGACGAGTCATGGCTGGGGAGGAGGTGAGCAGGACTGTTAGGGTGCTTCCTGGGGGGGGCCTGAGGCCTGGAGGCAGGGGGAGCAAGGTCCTGGCCTGGATCCTGGTTCTCAGCTAGGATGGCACGAAGGCCTGGGACTCCCAGGTGGCCGTGCCCACCGAGACCAACATAACACCTGCAGTCCTCACGCCCCTGCCCCGGTGCTTCTGGAGGCGAGCGTCCAAGTCCCCTCAAATGTTTGGTCCCCCCAACCCAGGCCTGACTCCCAGCTCCTTGCAGGCCCTGTTCATTGGCCCCTGGGCCTGCTCTGTCTCCATGGCCCTGGCCTCACCCCACGGGACACTGTCCTGCCGTTCACTGCGCCAGAGGCAGGGTGACTCTAGACGCTCCCCAGGAGTCGAGGGTTGTGGAGGCCGCCCCTGCACCTTGCATGACCCTGCAGACAGTCAGGTGGGCCCTGGGCTGTCCCAACCGCGGCAGGACACAGAGCAGCCAGGGCCCTGGAGCCCACAGGGCTGGCGCCATAGGTACTGGTGAACAGAGGACACGCCCCGTGGCGCTCTCCACTGCAGTGCCGGAGCCGCTCTGTCCCGCTGGGCCTAGGAGACACCTGCCGGGGCACCTCCCAGGGACGACGCCTCAGTGGCCCTGGTGCAGCTACTCACCCCCATCAACACAGAGAAGACCCACATCTTGTGGCTGAAGCACGAGGGCAGCCGTGAGGACAGCTGCAGGTCGCCGGGCTTGGAGTCCGCGCAGCTCCCGGCGTCCGGCCGGCCCCGCTCCAGGGTGGGCATGCGGTCATAGCCCAGCTCCTCCCTGCCCGGCTCGTCCCGAGTCATGGCGCCGGGGCAGACACTGCGCTCCGTGCTGAACGGCAGCCGTGCCCGCAGGTCTGCGGCACCGGCACGGGCACCTCTGCTGCTTGGATCTCCCTGAGGATGCCCTGATCACACGGTGCTTCGGTGAGAGCAGCACCGGCCACACACAGGGCTGCGGCCAATCTGGAGAAGGAACAAGGACTGAGCTTGACAGGTGAGCGGAGCCGCTTTCCCAGCACCGCAAACCTGCGTCTGGATTCGGGGCGTGCGGGGCTGTGGGCGCCCGCCCACCGGCCCTCAGTCCTTTCGGCTCCCGCTCCCCCGGGCGGGCGGCTCCTCCAAGCCCTTAGATTGCTCAGGGTGGTAACCGAGCTGGCACACACAGCGCCGCGTCAGGCCCGTCCCCGGCTGTCCCGCTCACCTCCCAGCGGCTCCCAGGGCAGCGGCACTGGTCTCTGGGTGAGGGGCTCGCGGCTGCCCAGTCATCCTGCCTGGGGCTTCCAGCAACAACTATTCACAGAGGAACAAAAGGCCAGCAAATCTTCCAGGAGCAGGGGAACCTCGGCCTGAATTTCAATGAGGCCTGGAAAGTTCTTGGCCGTTGTGTAACCGCTGGCGCACAGCCTTGCCGAGCCGTCTTCACGCCACAGGAGGCAGAGGGGCCGCAGGGCACAGGCGCCGGAGGGGCATCTCGGAAGCAGTGTACCCCAGTGGAGGCCCCAGCAGGTCCCGCAGGCAGGGCTGGTGCTCTGTGTCGGAGACATAACTTTTTACTCAAAGGCCTTATTATACCTCCTCTCAAGCAGCCGTTTCCCGTCCTCCATGAACATACGAGAAAACCTCCTGCACGACAACACACACACACACACGCGCACGCACGCACGCACGCGTGCACACACACGCATCTGCGCTCAGCCTGGCTGGGTGGCCCCGGACCTGCTGGGGACTCTGGCCTGTCCCTTCCTGCAGGCGGCCCCAGAGTTCTGTGGCGCCTTTACTTCTGCTCACTAAGCAGAGAAAAAGGCCAGGGGCAATCTTCGCCCGGAGACGCTGGCACACCGGCTGTCACAGCAACAATTCTTTGTGCCCAGGGCTTGAGCGCAGGCCTCCTGAAAACCGGCTCCTCAAACACGAACCACGTAAAGCTTGAGCAAAGGCATCCGTTTCCCATCGTGAGATGTTTTGTCGTCTCCGTTTTCAACCCGGCGAGAAGGGTTAACATGCACAAGCCACCATGTCCGAAGTCAAGAAGGGGTGTACATGGATCGAACAACCTCCCAGATGTCTTTATCAACTACCTTTTAAAGCAATACACAGAATTAGTAGGGATTTGTCCAACTGGATCGAACCTTCTGCATTTCTTTTCTTTTTCTTTCTTTTTATTTATTTATTTTTTTAATCCTCACCCGAGGATATTTTTCCATTTTTTGTACATATAGAGCGGACGGAGAGAGAGGAAGAGAGAGAGAGAGAAACATCGATATGAAGGGACACATTGAGTGGCTGCCACCCGCACAACCAACCAGGGCCGGGGACAAACTGCAACCGAGGTACGTGCCCTTAGCGGGAACCGAACCCGGGTCTCTCCGGACCGCAGGCCGACGCTCTAACCGCTGAGCCAAACTGACCAGGGCTGCATTTCTTTTCTTTTTTAATGAGTTTCAGGTGTACGATTATATAATTTAGGAAGTGATCCCCCCGGTATTTCCAGTACCTAGATGACACTGTACATAGTTATTACAATGTTATTAAGTCTATTCCCTAAGCTGTCTTCATAGCCCCGTGACTACTGGGTAACTACCAATCTGTGTTTCCCAGGCTCTTCACCCATCACCCAGGCCCCCAGCCTCCTCCCCTCTGGCAACCATCAGTCTGTTCTCTGTCTTCGAGTCTGTTTCTGTTTTGTGTGTTCATTGGATTCCACGTCCAAGTGAGGTCACGCAGTGTTTGTCTTTCTCTGTCCTTTCTCTATCTGACTTATTTCACTCAGCCTAGGACTCTAGGTCAATCTCTGTGTTTTTGTTGGAAGAAAAACGTTCAGCGGATTTCACCGTTTCTGTGCTTTTCCAAAGTTGTTTCCTGCTGAGAAACACAAAGGAGCTGCCTTGCATCCGACGCTGCCTCCAGCGCCGCAGCCGCTTGGGAGGGGCTTCCTCCATGCCAGTCCCTGGAACAAGTCCTGTTCTTTCCTAGTAGGTTCGAAACAGCTCCTGTTCCTGCAGGGGCCCACCTTCCTCTCCAGCTGCCGAGGTCTTCCTCGGACTTCGGCACGTACGCCTCCAGCCAGCAAACGTTAATGGAGCAAACAGCAGGTCTCGGTCCTTCCCACACGGCGTCGTGCTAGTGGGAGACAGCAGCACACAGATAAAGGTAGTGGTGACGCACCTGACTTTCCCTATGATGGAAAATAAGGCAGGGAGGGGAACAGGTGGTGCTGCTTGGGGGTGTCAGGGCAGGTCTCACTGAGGAGCAGGTGTTTGAACAAAGACGCACAGGAGGCGAGGAGGGGGGTCCGGTAGAGACTGGGGCAGAGGTGTGGCCGGTGCAGTGGGCCATCTAGGTACAGGGCACCCGGCGTGCAGACAGCCTGGGCTTTGAGATGGACCCGCTGGAGGTTCTGAGCTGAGGAGCGTCCAGGTGCTAGCGGACGACAGGCCGGAGCGGCAGGTGAGAGCAGGTGCAGGCGTGGGCTGGGATGGAGGTGGAGGTGGTGAGAAGTCACCAGTGACTGGGAGGCCTTCAGTGTGTGCACTGAGGGTGGCACGGCCTCACCTGAGATGGAGCCCAGGTGAGGCAGGTTAAAACAAGGGTCAGAAGTGGCGTTTTGATGATGTTTGTTGGACAACCAAGTGCATTTGCTGAAAAGGTGAGCTGAGGAGTCCAAAATCTGGGGGAGAGGCTCAGGCTGATGGGCACAGGGAATGAGTCCTGTTGCAAGTCACCCTGGCTCTGGGCACCTCCACCACTGTGCCCTCGGCAGGAAGCCCGACCCAGGCTCCCGACGGTCCATGTTGCCCAGTCCTGTTTCTGAGGACATCTGTCCCACCTACCCAGTAAGTCCTGGGACATCTCCCACAGCCACATGTACTCCCTGCACCAAGTCCAATACGAGGACTCAGCAGTGCTTCATAAACATGTAAGGTATGGTGGCCCCGCCTCTCGAGAAGGAACAGTACTTGCGCCGTGCATCACGTCAGTGAGCTGGCAGATCTGACCCAGGGAAATTAAAACATGCCAGTCAAAATGAAATGGGAGCCCTGGCCGGTTTGGCTCAGCGGTTAGAGCATTGGCCTGTGGTCCAGAGAGACCCGGGTTGGTTCCTGCTAAGGGCACGTACCTCAGTTGCAGTTTGTCCCCGGCCCTGGTTGGTCGTGCGGGTGGCAGCCACTTGGTGTGTCCCTTTCACGTCGATGTTTCTCTCTCTCTCTCTCCCTCCCACTCTATCTGAACAAAAAAATGGAGGGGTGTTCTTGGGTGAGGATAAAAAAAAAAAAAAGAAAAGAGAAAACAAACAAACAAAAAAAGAAATGGGACCCCCAGTCCACACCAGCACCTGGAACGTTCATGGAAAGAGACCAGGTGTTGGGAGGAGAGCCTCAACAAGTTTTGAAAGATGGAACTCCCCTAGATTTTATTCTCTGCTCATGATGAAATTAGATTAGAAGGTACTAACAGAAAAGTATCTGGAGAATCCCCAACTATTTAGAAATTAAGCAGCATATCTCTAAAACCATCCCATGGGCCCTGGCCTGTTTGGCTCAGTGGCTAGAGCGTCGGCCCTCAGACCAATTTGTTGTGGGTTCAGTTTCCAATCAAGGGCACATACATAGGTTACAGGTTCAAGCCTGGCCCTGGTCAGGGTCGCAAGAGACGCAACCAATCAATGTGTATCTCTCACATTGATGTTTCTCTACCTCCCTCCCTTCCACTTTATCTAAATATCAGGAAAAATATCCTTGGGTGAGGATTAACAACAGGAACAAAAAAGAACATCCCAGCCCTAGTTGGTTTGGCTCAGCAATTAGAGCATCAGCCCGTGGACCAGTGAGACCTGGGTTTGATTCCGGCCAAGGGCACATACCCCGGTTGCAGTTTGTCCCCGGCCCTGGTCGGGGTCGCTTGGGAGGCAACCAGTCGATGTGTCTCTCTCCCATGGATGTCTCTCTCTCTCTCTCTCTTTCCCTCCCTCCCACTCTATAAAAATAAATAAATAAATAAATAAATAAGTGCCCTGGCCACTTTGGCTCAGCGGTTAGAGCGTCGGCCTGCGGTCCAGAGAGACCCGGGTTCAGTTCCTGCTAAGGGCGCGTACCTCGGTTGCAATTTGTTCCCGGCCCTGGTTGGTCATGCGGGTGACAGCCACTCGATGTGTCCCTTTCATGTCGATGTTTCTCTCTCTCTCTCTCTCTTTCTCTCTCTCCCTCCCACTCTATCTGAACAAAAAATGGAAAAAAAAATGGAAAAATGTCCTTGGGCGAGGATAAAAAGTAAAATAAAATAAAAATAAATAACATTTTTAAAAGATCAATGAAATTGATCAGCCTTTCTGATCAGCTGGACTGGTGAAGAAAAACAAGAAGGAAGACGCAGGGGACCAAACTCAGGACTGGGAGATGGCTCATGACGGCGACTCACGCACATCAGGAGACAGTGAGGACAGAAGACAGTGAGGACAGAAATAACTGAACCATCCTATGCAGCAATTCCGCGCCTGGGAGCAAGTGGAGAAATCCTCCAAAGAGAGCCGAGCTGTCGCCCCAGCACCGCCTGGGGAGTGGACGAGCCCTGAGCTGCTGCAGACGTTGCTCACTTACAAAGCTGCCCCCAGGGAGCCGCAGGCCCAGGGGGCTCACCAGCGAAAGCTGCCCCAGGGCTGCGGGCTCCACCCCGGCCGCTGCACGCTGACCCCCGCAGCCGGCCGTGCAGGAGAGGACCCGCAGACCGGTGTCCCGGAGCCAAGATGCCCCTGGGACCCATGCGCCAGGCCGGGGCGCTGTGCCCCGAAGGGGGGCAGCCCGGGGAACCTGCCAGGGCGGCTCAGTCATGACGGGCCCATGTCAGCAGGTGCAGAAAAGCATCAGAAACCCCACGGCGGCCGGGGCTGTGGCTTGGTGGACTGGCGACCCCGTGGACTGAGGGGTCCCGGGGGGATTCCGGTCAGAGCACGTGCCCGGATGGGGCTCGACCCCCAGCAGGCGGCCAGTCCATGTTTCCCTCTCACATCGATGTTTCTCTCTCTCTCCCTTCTCTCTAAAACAGAAATCTATAAAAATACATTTATAAAAGGAAGGAAACCCCAGCATGGGCCGGGTCAGGGCTCCTAGAAGAACAAGCTTGGTGCGAACCTCGTTGCCACGATGTCAGAGCGTCCCCCAAAGCCACACCTGACAGCCAATGGGAAGGAGGCCAGGAGGCGCACCGTGCAAGGCCCCGCCCACCTGCCCGAAGCCCCGCCCCCGCGCTGGACACGTGCCCGGCATGACGTAACTTCTACGTAGCACCGCCTCGCTGGCTGGCGCGCAACGCCAACGGTTGCCAACCGCTAGCCACAGACTGCTAACCGTCGCAGCGCGCATTGGCTAGTATCGTGGGGACATGGGCGCAGGCGAGAGTGCTGCGATTCCCATTGGCCAAACCCCACTGGGAGCAGGCACAGTCCCAGAAGGGGCAACCCCATTGGTCAAAGTCAAAGGGAGCCGGCGCAGGCGCGAGTGCGGCAACCCCATTGGCTAAACTCCCGAAGTAAGGCGCAAGCGTGGGCGCTGTCATCCCATTGGCTGAGGGTTGTAGGAGCAACGTAACCACGTGCCAGAGCCTCGGGTCCGGAGACCCTGCGTGGACTAGGACGTGGACAAGGCGGCGGCCGGGCCATGCTGCGCCTCGCGGCCAAGGTGGTGGCCTTCTTCTGGAGGAGGGCGGACAGCCCCGACGAGGAGGCCGGGCCGCGGGGGCTCGAGCTCCCCGAAGGTGCCTCGTGGGGCGAAGCCGGGACAGAAGGTGCCTCGAGGGGCGGGGCCCGGGCTGGGCGGGGTTGCGGTTGGGCCTGCGCGCTGGCTCCCAGGGCTCCTCCTCCCAGAGCGAGCCACAGAGGGGCGCGTGCGCAGGTGGCTGCCTCTAACCTCCCCACCCCCCTTGCTCAGGCCTGTGGAGGTGGCTTCCTCCATCTGGGGTGTCTGAACAATGTGGGCTTCGAGAGGCAGCCCAAGCCCAGGCTGCACCCCAGGAGGCCACGCGGGCTGGACGTGACCTCTGCTCCTGTGCCCCGGAAGCAGCAGAGCAGGTGCAGCGAGGGCTCACGACACTGGCTGCAGCAAGCTTGTGGGCCATGAGTGGGGAGGGTCGCTGAACCGCCAGGGCATGCCCTGCTCCCAGGACGGGCTTGCTCCCCAAACCTGGGATCTCTGGTGTTGCTTCGTTTGGTGAGATGAAGCAACCCCCTGGCACTGCTGTCGATGTTGCTGGCGATGGAAGAAGACAGCAATAGTAGTAACAACTCCGGGATGCTGCAACGCCAACAATTCACAGCGCGGCCGAACCTGCGCCGGCCTCTCGGGTCTATGTGTTGCTCCGGTTTCTGGCCCTAAGCTCTCTGGGTGGAGGCTATCACGGCGTCCCCTTTACAGATGGAGCTGGACAGGGTGGTGCAGGACTCCGCCTAGGCTTACAAGTTGCCGTGGAAGAGCTGGAGATAGAGCACCAGGCAGCCTGCCTCACACACCTGACTTTCTGTGCTCTCCCCGCGAGGGCCCTCCTGCCCCTTTGGGGCGCCCCGTTTTCCACCTTCCTGCAGTAGGACTGCAGTGTAGGGCAGGCTCACTTTGTGGTCAGAATAACCTGTTTGTTTACCCACTCAGGTGACACCAAGTTGAAAACGGTCCAGGGTGTGGTGACGAGGTACTGCAGTGATTATGGCATGATTGACGACCTGATCTACTTCTCCAGTGAGGTTGTGACTGGCAAAGTGCTTCTGAATGTTGGGCAGGAAGTTGTTGCAGTTGTGGAAGAAAATAAAGTGTCCAACGGACTGAAAGCAATCAGAGTGAGGCCCAAGTTGGTTTGGGAAGTTTCTTCACCATGGGGTTTCACATTGCTGTCCTCTTGTTCGGGTAGCGTCTCAACAGACAACCTGGCTAAAGGAGGGAACTGGGTGTACTTGCTCGGGGTGCACTTGTTCTCACAGTGCTTTCTGTTTAAAAAATCAGTGGTGGCCCTGGCCAGTGTGGCTCAGGTGTTAGAGCATCAGCCCTTGGACCGAAAGGTCATGGGTTTGATTCCTCATCAAGGGCCGTTGCCTGGGTTGCAGGTTCGGCATGAGGGAGGCAACCAATTGATGTGTCCCTCTCACATCTATGTTTCTCTCCCTCCCTACCTCCCTTCTACTCTCTCTAAAAGGCAATGGAGAAAAGTATCCTCGGATGAGGATTAACAATGATAACAACAAAATCAGTGATGGTCTTTGTAAATCATTCAAACACCAAAGAAGTTTGTAATTCATAAGTTTGCCTACAACTCTATACCATGGAGAACATTGTTAATATTTCTATATCTATTGTTTTAGTCTTTTAAAAATATTGTTAAAAGTAGTAATTATTAGACCCTTTGTTATCCAATTAGCAAAGACAGTTAGTGGACTCTATTATTCAGCAATTTTTTCATTTAAAAATAGCATTTTTATACTGTAATTTTTGGAAGTAGAATTGTTAGTCAAAGGGTATGCACATTTAACATTTTATTGGACATGGTCCAGTTATTCTCTAATAACATTGTACTAATTGAAACTCTCAGGAACAGGGTGGAAGGCTGGCTGCTCCCCAGTGCTGGTGAGGACGTGGATGTCATCACCCTCTGGAATCTTGGGCAGTCTAATCAGTAAATCTTGTCATTTAATTTGCACTTAAGTTTTTAAGTAGATTAGTGGTTCACTTTTTTTGTGAACTATTTTCATGTCCTTTGTCCATATTTTTTGTTGAGTTCAACTTTTTTTTTTTAATCCTCATCTGAGGGTATTTTTTTCATTTATAATCAAATAGAGTGGGAGGAAGGGAGGGAGAGAGAGAGAGAAACATTGATGTGAGAGAGACACATCAATTGGTTGCCTTCTGCACGACCTGGACTAGGCCAGGGACTGAGCCACAACCAAGATATGTGCCCTTGACCGAACCTGAGACTCTTTGGTCTGCCAGCCCATGCTCTAGCTGCTGAGCGGGGCGGATTCAACTTTTTTTTTTTAATCCTCACCCAAGGACATTTTTGCATATATCTTCAGATAGAGCAGGAGGGAGAGAAAGAAACATTGATGTGAGAGAGACATATGGACTGGTTACACCCACACAACCCCAACCGGGGCCAAGGACAAACTACAACCTAGGTACATGCCCTTAGCGGGAACCGAACCTGGGCCTCTCTGGTCCATGGACCAACGCTCTAACCGCTGAGTCAAACTGGCCAGGGCAGATTCAAGTTTTTAAATTAAAATTCTATTTTAGGGATTAGATCTTTTTTTTCCTCAAATTTTATTACAGATGTTTCTCCTTTTTCCTCCCCAGACCCCTTCCTCCCCATACTCCCCCCCACCAGGATTGTTGTCTATGTTCATTGGTTATGCATACATGCACATAAGTTCTTTGGTTCATCTCATCCATCCCCCACCCCCAGGGAAAATTATTATATGAAAGTATTGCAAATATCTCCCCCAAGATTATCTTTTGACTGTGTGTTGTAAAGATTTTTGTAGTTAAGCCCTGGCCGGTTTGGCTCAGCGGTTAGAGCGTCGGCCTGTGGTCCTGAGAGACCCGGGTTCGGTTCCCGCTAAGGGCGCGTACCTCGGTTACAGTTTGTCCCCGGCCCTGGTCAGTCGTGCAGGTGGCGGCCACTTGATGTGTCCCTTTCACATCGATGTTTCTCTCTCTGTTCCTCTCCCTTCCACTCTACCTAAAAAAACAAACAAACAAAAAAAACCTAAAAAAAAAAAAAAAGATTTTTGTAGTTAAATGTGTTTGTCTCAGTGTAGTTTTCGAGCTCTGTACGAGCCTCAGAGAAGCTTCCTCCACTCTTTACCACAATACACCCAGGTTCTCTAGAAGTGGCAGTCAACTCTGAATGTTTGATCTGTCTGGGACTTACTTGGTGTACAGACTAAGAGAAGGGACCAGGAGCTACCGGTCACCCTACTGACTAGTCCACTTTTTTTTTTTTTATCCTCACCCGAGGACATTTTTCCAATTTTTGTTCAGATAGAGTGGGAAGGAGAGAGAAGAAGAGAGAGAGAAACATCGATGTGAAAGGGACACATTGAATGGCTGCCACCCACATGACCCCAACTGGGGCTGGGGACAAACTGCAACTGAGGTACATGCCGTTAGCAAGAACCGAACCCAGAACTTTCTGGTCCGCAGGCTGATGCTCTAACCACTGAGCAAAACCAGCCAGGGCTCAACTACTTTTTTTTTTAATGTTTTTATTCTTTAGAAAGAGGAAGAGTGAGGGAGAGATAGAAACACTGATGAGAGAAACATCAACATTGATTGGCTGCCTCCTGCGTGCCCCCTACTGGGCCTTGTCAGTCTTGATGCCTGTGTGGCCTGGGGATCGAGCCTGCAACCCAGGCATGTGCCCTGACCAGGAATTGAACCAGTGACCTCTTGGTGCATGGGTTGATGCTCAATCACTGAACCACAACTGCCAATGATCTCAACTACTTTTTTTTTTTAATCCTCACCCGAGGATATTTTCCCATTTTTTGTTCAGATAGAGTGGGGAGGGGGCGGGGGGAGAGAGAGAGAAACATCGACGTGAAAGGAACACATTGAGTGGTTGCCACCCTCACGACCAAACCAGGGCCAGGGACAAACTGCAACTGAGGTACGTGCCCTTAGCGGGAACTGAACCCAGGTCTCTCTGGACCGCAGGCTAACGCTCTAACCACTGAGCCAAACTGGCTACAGCTCAACTACTTTTTAAAAATAGTTGAGGCCCAACTGGTGTGGCTCAGCGGTTAGAGCGTTGGCCAGCAGGCCAAAGGGTTGCAGGTTCAGTTCTCAGTCAAGGGCACATATCTGGGCTGCAGGTTAGATCCCCAGCCCCGGTTGGGGTTGTGTGGGAGGCAACCAATCGATGTGTCTCGCATCTGTTTCTCTCTCTCTCTCTCTCTCTCTCTCTCTCTCTCGCCTTCCCTCCCTGCACTCTATCTAAAAATTAATGGAAAAATATCCTCTGGTGAGGATTAACAACACCAAAAAATAGTTGAGGTGTACTTTGTTTCTATTTTAATTAGTAACTATCATCTTAATGCTTAAGATCGTCTTTCTCATTTTAAAAATAATACTCATTCTAGAGTGGTGTTGTTCAGTACAGTAGCTTCCAGCCATGTGTGGCTATTTAAATGTAGTTATTAAAAGTAAATAAAATTTAAAATTAATTCTTAAGTTTTACTAAGCACATTGTAGGAGCTAAACGTAGCTGGTGATTACAGACTAGGCGGAATACACACTTTTCCTGTCCGCAGAGTGTCTGTCGGTCGCTCTGGCCTAGCGTGCTGGGAGGTGCACAGCAGCTTCTCCCCACTCCCCCCTGTACCTGTCTCCGCGGCCTGGCCCTGTCTGCTCTAGCTCTTCTGGGGGCGCCTGAGCCCCCGGCCTGTGCTCCCTCCCCCGACACGCACAGGGTGTGCTGACTTCCACCGAGAGAGGGGCCTGGCTTGTCACCACGGCCCTCGGTCTCTTCGCTTATTTTTTTACTTAGTTTTTATTTTATTATGGTAAAACGCACATCACATTTTAAGAACTTCTAAGCATACGATTCAGTACATTGACGTTGTCCTGCAGCCGTCACCCCCATCCGTCCTCCGCACTTTCTCGTCTTTCCCAACAGAAACTGTCCCTCTGAACAGAAGTTCACTGCTCTTTCTGTCTAAATGTGGCTGTTCCGGTGCCGCGTGTGAGTGAGGCACATGACGCTTGTCCTTCTGTGCCGGCTTATTGGATTCAGCATGATATTCTGGGTTCACCAGTGTCACATGGTCACAACTTCCTTCCTCTTTCAGGCTGAGCCGTGTCCTCTGTGCGGCTGGACCACGCTTGTTTCTCCACTCGTCTGTTGGCGGGCACCTGGGTTGTTTCTGCCTTTGGCTGTTGTGAACAGTGTCTGTTCGCGTCCCTGTTTTCAGTTCTATTGGGTGCATACCTTGGACTGGAATTGCAGGTCACGTCGTAATTCTGTGTGTAACTTTTGAGGACCTGCCAGACTTCTCCAGTGGCTGCACCGTCTCACATGCCCACCAGCTGCGTGCCGAGGGTTCCCATTTTCCACATCTCAGCCAACACGAGTTTCTTCCCATTTTTTTGACAGTAGCCATCCTAGTGGATATGAAGGGCTGTCTTTTTGGTTTTGATTTACATTTCCCTAATAATAATGTTGAGCATCTTTTTATATGCTTATGGGTTATTTATGTTCTTTGGAGATGTGTGTCTTCAAGTCCTTTGGCTGTTTGTTTTGTTAATCCTCACCTGAGGATATTTTTTCATTGATTTTTCGACAGAGTGGAAGGGAGGGAGGGAGAGAGAGAAACATTGATGTGAGAGAGACACATTGATTGGTTGCTTCCCACATGACCTGGACCAGGGCTAGGGATCAAACCAATAACCTAGATGCATGCCCTTGACCAGGAATTGAACCCATGACCTTCTGGTGTGAGGGCCGACACACTAAATGACCCACATGGGCCAGAGCTGTATGAATTTAAGGATATATTTTCTATTTCTGCAGAAATGTTATTGGGATTTTGATAGGGATTGCACTGAATTTGTAGATTGCTTAGCATAGTGTTGACATCTTAATATTAAGTCTTTCGATCTGTGAACATGATGTCTTTCCATTTATTTGACTTTCACTTCTTTCAGCCACATTTTGTCATTTTCTGTGTGTGTCTTCCACCTCCTTGCTTAAATGGTGCTAAGTATCTTCTTCTTTTGATGTTTTTGTCTTTACCAGATAGGGTTTTTTTATCCTCACTTGAGAACATTTTTGCATTTATTTTCAGATAGAGCGGGAGGGGGAGAGGGAGGAAGAGAGAGAGAGAAACATCAATGTGAGAGAGACACATTGAGTGGCTGCCGCCCACATGACTCCAACCGGGGCTGGGGACAAACTGCAACCGAGGTACGTGCCCTTAGCGGGGACCAAACCCAGGACTCTCTAGTCTGTGGGCTGACGCTCTAACCACTGAGCAAAACCATCCAGGGCCCAGATTAGGTTTTAATTTCCTTTTTCGGATTATTCATCGCAAGTGTATAGAAGTACAGCCGGTTGTTGTGTGTTGATTTTGTATCCTGTAAATTTGCTGATTTGTTCATTAGCTGTAACAGTTTTTATTTTTTATGTATATTTTTTTATCCTCACCAGAGGACCCTTTTTTTTTGCATTTATCTTTAGATAGAGCGGGAGGGAGAGAAAGAGGAAGTGAGAGAGAAAAACATCGATGTGAGAGAGACACATCGAGTGGTTACCACTCACACGACCCCAGCTGGGTCCGGGGACAAACTGCAACTGAGGTACGTGCCCTTAGCAGGAACCAAACTCGGACTCTCCAGTCCACAGGCTGACGCTCTGACCACTGAGCCGAACCAGCCAGGGCTGTAACAGTTTTTAAATGGAATATTTAGTGGTTTCTGCATATAAGATCCTGTCATCTGCAAACAGATAAATTTACTTCCTCCGTTTTAGTTAGATTCCTTTTCTCTCTCTCTCTCTCTCTCTCTCTTTGCCTTGTTGCTCTGGCTAGAAATTTTAATACTGTTCTGAACAGAAGTGACAAAAAGAGGTTGTCCCTGATCTTAGAGGAAAATCTGTCCTTCAGTCTGTTACCGTGGACTGTGATGTCAGCTGTGGGTATTGTGTACATGGCCTTTATCATATTGGAGAGGTTCCCTTCCAATCCTAGTTTGTTGAGCGTCTTATTGTGAAAGCAAGTTGAGTTTTCCAGCTGCCTGTTCTGCATCACCTGAGATGATAGTGTGTTTTTCCCTGGCTCTTCCAGCCTGGCGCGTCACACTGACTGGGGAAAGCATCCCTTGGTTGTGGTGCACAATCCTTTCAATATTTTGCTGCTGGGTTCAGTTTGCTAGTGTTCTGTTGAGGGTTTTTGCATCAGTCTTCGGTGTGCTGTTCCTGTGGTCCTCTTGTTATGGTTCAAATAGAGGTTCGCTTGTCCACCAGGTGGAAGCTGTCTCTGATAAATGGGAAGAGGACAGCAGAAACCAGGGCGGAGGGCTGTCCGACTCTGGCCCCCGAGTGCTGATTGGCTGTGTGACATCGCTGATGAAGGGTGCTGGCTACATCAATCAGACCACGTACTTCTCTCTGAAGAGTGTTTGTGAAGGTAAGCTGGACGGGTTTCTGCTTCACATTTTGTTGTTGTCCTCACCTGAGGACATTTTTTGATATTTTGTTCAGATAGAGTGGGAGGGAGAGAGAGAGAGAAACATAGACATGAAAGGGTGGTTGCCACCCACACGACCCAACCAGGGCCGGGTACAAACTGCAACTGAGGTACGTGCCCTTAGCGGGAACCAAACCCAGGTCTCTCCAGACCACAGGCCAATGCTCTAACCGCTGAGCCAAACTGGCCAGGGTTCTGCTTCACATTTAAAAGTGGGTTTTTCCATTTTTATGTCTTAGAATAGTGGTGGTTACACTCATCCTCGAGAGGGTAAACCTGGGGCATGTACTGTGAGGAGAGGGTGTGGGACTGGACGTGGGGGAGTGGCTCGTTTCTGGGTGACTGTTCCTTTCACGTAATTGCTGCTGCCACAGACGTACCAAGGCGCTGCTGTTTTTAAAGCACTTCCCATGTTTTAAACAGGGCTGGGGGCTCACCTTGCACCTTCCCAAGAATATGCATCCATTTTTAATTGCATTATTTTTAGCTCATCTAAGATTTTCTCTTCATGGCTAAAGAAGTGATTGGTCAGTGCCTTCATTGAGTTTAGCTCAGCAGCTGTTCCCATGTGCCCACTGCGCACAGTGGTGGAGGTGGGGCCAAGGTGAGAGGACCTAGGTCCTCCCCCGAGGAGAAGCAGACTGTCCCTGCTGGGAACCGAGCAGGAATTGGCAGAGCGGCTTGGGGAGGTGCCTTCTGAGCTGAGGTCCAGCCACAGGCCCTGCAGGCCGCATGCTGAGAAGTAGCCATGGGACTTCTCCACTGGGACTCAGGGCTGGGACAGAGGGCACCAGCTCGCCCACCAAGAGAAGCTGGGCTCAACCTTGACTGCTCACCCTGGGAGTCCCCAAAATGAAGCTGACAGGTGACTGGCTGGGCGTTTGAAACCTCCGTCCTGTCAGAGCTGCTCCGGCTCAGCTCCAGAAGGAGCTCCAGGTCCGGCAACCGTGCCAGCAGCGGCCACGCCCACGGGGACCTGGTTCGCGCTGCAGGTGTCGCCTGGCGGGCACAGAAGAGAACAGTCTCCTGGGGACTGGCCCCTGAACACAGGTGGCGGGATGGGACCCAGCACACTCAGTCCTCGCACGCTGAGCACCACGCTGTCAGTGTGGTCGCAGGGCCTGGTGGCTGTTCAGAAAGAACATGCTTGAAGAGTCGTGACTGACCCACGGTGGACTGCGTGTCAGAGCTGTGGCCCTGCGCTTCTCAGCCTTGTCTCCGGACGGTGGTGTGAGCGCAGCCACGGGCCGCGCCTGGCAGGCTGGTTCCCACGGACAGGCGGCTGGGTGCTCCGCTGACCTCTGCCTTCAAGTGGGAAGAGGAAGAGTTAGGGCAGATGTTTCGTTTACCAAGGGAGCGTGAGATTGCAGTTCCCTTACTGGGGCCTTGCTCCAGCCAGGAGCTGCTCGGCGCTGGCTCATGAATGGGAGGGTGGACAGGCAGCGTGCAGCGCTCTCTGCCCGGGGGCACTGCTGGGCACTGCAGTAGGACGGGTGAGGCCTGACTGCCGAAGAGCCAGGCGGCACGCACTTCTGCCCTCCGCAAGCCTTTGGGGTGACTGGGCGAGGGCTGGCTCGGTCGCCCAACGGGGGTGAGCGCCAACCAACTTTAGGAAGGGCTGAGGCCGGGGGTCTGTGGATGCTGAACAGCAAGAAGGTGGGAGGTGGGTCCCCCAGTCTCAGACTGCTGAAGTGCTGGCCATCAGTCCAGTTACGTGGATGAGATGTTTAGGGTCTGGGCCCACAGAGGGCACCCGTGGGACCTGAGCAGCAGCGGCTCCGCGCTCCCGGGAACCCCGGGAACCCGATGCTGGGCAAGGCGCCCCGGAGCGGGCTCTCCTGTGCTCGGTGCTGTGGCGTTGGAGGCTGGTTGTTCTCTGTTGTGGGGCTGCCCTCACCCCACCCCTGGTGTGACAGTGCAGGGTGTCCACAGATGCTGCCCCCCGGCCCTGGAGGGGCAGCATGGCCCTGGCAGGGCCCAGTGGCCCAGGGTGGGGTCAGGTCTGAGCGCAGGGTCCTGCTTCTCCCTCCACGGGCGGGGCACAACTGGACAGCCCTGTAGCACCCGCACGTCCTGAGTGCACAGCCTGGCTCACGGGTCTGATTGTGCTCGTTTCAAACTGAGCTGGTTTGTGAGCCGCTTGTAAGATGGAGAGGAAGTTCCATGGATCCTTCCTGAGACCATCCACTGTGCCCGAGAGCCCGGTGCCCTGCCCTGGCCAGGGTGCCTCATGGTGCCCAGTCTGCTCATTCCAGTCTTCACGTGCCGCGTCGCTGAGGTCCTCAGCTGGTCACTCCGAAAGCCGCTCAACCTCCGGCTCCTCCTTTCTGAGTTGAATCCCAGGCCTCTGACACCCACCCCCAGACCCCCAGTGGCCAAGCTCTTTGCCTGTGGAACTAGGCAGTCTCCCGACTCCGGGCCTGTCCTGTGTGGACCTCCTGGCCTTGACCTCTGGCTTGTGCTTGGGATTAGCCCACAGAAAGGGCTAGCAGATTGGTGGGAGGGGGTTGCCCCATGTCAGCCCCTCCTCGCCCACAGCCAGGCCAGGGCAGCATCCAGATGGGTGCCCAGCTCCAGGGAACACGGGTGTTGGACCTAATTAAAATAAAGTCATGGTTGTTTTTTTTCTCTATTAATCCTCATCCGAGGATATTTTTCCATTTATTCTTAGATAGAGTGGGAGGAAGGGAGGAGGGGAGGAAGAAACATTGATGTGAGAGAGACACATCAATTGGTTGACCCCGACCAGGGGGTAAACCTGCAACCCAGGTACGTGCATCACCGCTTCCCTGAGAAACAGACTTGGTCCAGGCGTGTGCTTGCTCACTGGAGCCTGCTGCTGCCAGAAGCGTTCCTGCAAATGACCAGAAGGCGGTGCCCAGCTGCGCGTCCCACCGGGCTCCACAGCCACCCTGCTCAGCTGCGCCCTCCCTCTCTGTGTCAGGGCTGCCTTCCGAGCTCCCGAGCTTCCCAGCGTCCCCCGCCCGCCCGCCAGTGGGCCTAGTGGCACCTTGCACCCTGTGGCCGTGGTACAGGCCACGGCACGGCCACCTGGCATGCCACAAGGCTGGCGGGCATTGCGGGCTCCCCACCGGGGCTGGCACAGGCAGAGCTGCCAGCCCTCCCTTCCCTTCGCCGCAGCACCCGCGTCCCTGGGCGGGAGGGCACTCACACCACGTCTGGGTGCGGCGTGGAACTCCGCCACCCGTGTGCCCACACCTCCTGGAGGCTGGAGGTGATGACAGAGGTCTGCCACTGAGCTGTTGCTGCTGCAGCTGTTAATAATAGTTGGGGTGTTATAATGAAATGTGGGGACTATCTGAAACCAGGTGGGCTTCTGAGACTGCCCACCAGCCACCCGGCCTGTCTGGCGGGGAGAATCAGGCTGAGGGGAGGAGGCCAAGCAGTCAGTTGGGTCTGGAGGCGACTGGGTGAACCACGTGTCTCGGCTGAGGGACCAGTGGGGGTCCCTTCCAACGGGCTGGACACTGCAGCTGGGGCAGACCCGGGTGACGCTGCTTTCCTGCCCGCAGGCTTCGAGCCGTGCAAGGGAGACTGGGTGGAGGCCACTGCACCTGGGTAACACTGCACCTGGACACTGCACCCGGGTGACGCTGCTCTCCTGCCCGCAGGCTTCGAGCCGTGCAAGGGAGACTGGGTGGAGGCCACGTACTGGATCCGGCCAGGCACCTGGAGCAGTGAGGCCGTGTCGGTGAAACCGCTGCGGTACAGGCGTGTGGACGGGGTAGGTGCTGGCCTCATGGCACTGGGTCACCGTGGTCAGGTCAGATTGGCAAGGGAGGACCTCCTGGGGTGCTGTCCCGGTTAAGTCCTACGTGAGGTTTGCACAGAAGTGCTCGAGCCCTGCTTGTGGGCAGCGAGGACAGTGGGGTGCAGACGGGCACGTGGTGGGGTTGCGTCGTGCATGGGGCCACGGCTCCAGGGTCCTCGTGACCTGTCGTGCTCAGAGCATTGCTTCTCCTCTGCGAGCAGGGTTCCCGCTGCCCTGCAAGGGCTCCCTCCCCCCGGTGAGGGGAAGCCGAGGTCTCCGGGTCTCTGTTCGGGGCCAGTGGGCTGAGCTGGTTGCTGAGGCCATCTGGATGCTGTGCCACAGGTCTGCATCTCCAGCCTCTGTGGAAGAAACGGGGTGATCGACGACAGTGTCTTTTTCACCTTGGACTCTCTGAAGCTCCCCAAGGGGTACGTGCCTCGACGGCACGACGTGGTCAGCGCCGTGGTGGTGGAGAGCAGCCAGTCCTGCTACACGTGGAGGGCGCTGTGCGTGACCCTGGTGAAGAGACGGTAAGGGGACCAGCCGCTGGCTCGGGGCAGAGTTCCCTGCACCAGCCCAGCCTCCACGGGGAGCGGTGCGGGCGGCAGCACCTCCTGCTGGGTGTCCTGTGCGTGATCGGAGGTCCAGTCAAGGCTCCCTCCTGCCCACGGTCTGACCTGGTGGCCCCGCCTCTGCGGGGTTCATGCCTGTTCCACACGTCAGCGTCTTGCAGGACGTACCGGGCAGGCTCCTAAGTGACGGGCTCCCTGTGTCGGTCCTGCTGAGGTGCTCAGTGGCCTCCACCTCTGGCAGGTGCTCGCAGCGCAGGCTCCCCCACTCAGCACCCTCACCGCACCCTCCTCAGCACACGCTCCAGTGACCTCACTGCACAGGCCCTGACTGTCCCCCCGCTGCCTCCTCCCCGTGGAGCTGAGCCCTGAGCCTGTGCCTGCAGGACGGCGCTGGGGACAGACTGACTGCCGCTCAGGCTATGGGAGGGTTGAGGCGGCTTGACAAGCGAGAGCCTGGCCTGTCCTGGTCAGCAGCTGTCTCAGGCCTCAGGGTTATTGTCTTGCCTGGGTCCGTCATGTTCTTCCCCAGCACTGACCTCTTGGCGTGCTCTGTGGTTCACTCACTCAGCTTCCCGAGGACTGGGGCTCGGTGGGCACACCAGGACTGCTGTGTGCAGGTGTGGGCACGGCCAAGGGCTCCTGGCAGCAATTGGTCCCTCCCTGCGTGGCCTTCTTGGCCCGCCCTGGGCTGCTGAGTGTGAGTCAGGGCAGCCGTCCAGTGGGGTGCTGGTCCCCCCGGGGCAGTGACTCACCCCAGGCCTGCTCCATGAGGCTCCTCCCTCATCTGCCTCAAATGGCCGTCTTCACAGGGCAAGGGAGGACCCCACCTTCAGACAGCAGAAAGCCTGCTGTGTCCCTAGTAAACCCCCGCCCCGAGGCCCAGGACCTCCTCTGAGGTGTCACCACTGCATCACCCCCTCTCTCTGGAGTTTAAGGGTGGCTCTGTCCTTCAGGGTGACTGCTGTCCACCTCACGAGTCCTCAACATTGGAGACCAGGCTCAGTGTCTGGCTCCTCTGTGGGGCAAACGTTGTCCCTCCTCCGGCCGCTTGTCCTGAGACGGGTCTTTCGGGTCTGGGAGGAGAGGCCGTGTGGAGGGTGTGGCGCCACAGGCTGCTCGGTGACAGTGGCACCATCTGGGGACTCTCTCCAGAGACGACTCCACCTCCGTGGCCGCTGAAGAGGCCTGCGAAGCCCTTTTACTGAAAAACAAAGGTGACATCGAAGTCACGAGAATGACGAGCTTCGGCACGCTGAAGGAGGGGGCCAGCAGCAGCATGGTGGTCTGCATAGAGTGAGTCTGCCTGGGGGGTGGACGGTCTCAGCTGGGATTCAGGGAATTCTGTGGCGCCCGGCCGTGTGGCTCAGTGCGCTGAGCATCGGCCCAGGGACTGAGAGGTCCCAGTTCGATTCCGGTCGGGGCACATGCCCAGGTTGCAGGCTCTGTCCCCAGTAAGGGGCGTGCAGGAAGCAGCTGAGGGGTGTTTCTCTCTCTCCCTTCCTCTCTCTTTACAAAATCGATACAAACATTTTTTAAAAAAACGAAATTCTGTGGAACAAACTTCATTTGGCCCAGTTGTTTTTCCCTAATGAAAATATCTACGGCAGAACTTCCTTCGCAGCCACTACTCACCAGTTACTTTGAATTCTGTGTTTCATGGTAACTGAGGATGAGCATCGGGAATTCTGTCTGCAGGAATAAAGGGCAGGTCCCTCAGAACCTGGTCAGCTGCAAGCTGGCCGGCTGGGACAAGGGCAGGCAGTTCCGGTTCCACCTGCTGCAGGGCGCCCAGCACCGGCCGCTGGCACCGTCTGCTCCCGACCCTGAGAAGGAGGGGACCTTCTCAGCAGACAGCTGCCCGGCCAGCAGAAGCTACCGGACGTCGGAGAGCAGCTTGGCCCTCGGCAGAGGAGTCTCTCCAGGTAGACGCTGGTTCAGCCGGCCTGAGCCCCGAGCCGGTCAGGGGCCTAGGGTTCCTTGACGCTGCAAGCTCCTTGGTTCTAGACCGCTGACGTTTCGGGGCTGGGGACGGGCAGAAGTGGCTGAGGATGCCCAACAGTGCGTCAGACACCCCGTTTCTTGCAGGTGGTTCTCACTGGGGAAAGGCTGCCTGCTGTCAACTTGTCCCTGGTCTGGTGATGGGCTGTGTGTGCCTGTGTGTGTGCGCGTGTGTGTGCACATGTGCGTGTGTGTGCCTGTGTGCGTGTGCCTGTGTGTGTGCACGTGTGCACGCGTCCACCAGTGTGCCACTGCTCTCAAGTGATTACCTGTGGGTCTGATTCTACCTCAGATGACTGTACCTGCAGAAGAGAAAGTGAGGGGCGAGAACAGGACGTCTCGAGGAGGCAGGCCGCAGAGCCCGAACCCAGTGGGCTCATCCCTCCCGGTGGACAAACCCTGATTGTGGTCGTTTGTGAGGCAAAGTACGTGCTGGCAGGCTTGCAGGGAGTTTGCTTTGGGAACCTCGTCACACTTAACTTTTAGGTCCTGCGTTTGGTCCTTCTGGGTTCTGTGTTATAAATAGTACTTGTAGCTCTTTTGCTCAAAAAACTCAAAAGAAAAAGCATTGGTGGAGATGGTGGCTTGAGTGAGGGACAGAGGGTGAGCTGGACGCCCTCAGCCTGTGGGAACCGGTCCACCGCCTCCTTTTCTGCCTCCTTCCATGTGTCCCGAGCTCCCGCCATGCCCGCTGGTTGCCTGTGGCTGCAGGCCTTCCCTCACTCACGTGTCGTCCACGTTTGCCGATTTACTAAATCTCTTTAAAACGTGGGTCTGAGTGAGTCCCTGCCCTGCTGCAGGCCCAGCGGTGTCCAACCACGGGGACCTGTAAGGCTCCTTCGGTCCATGGCATGTGTGGTGGCCGCTCCACACGGCCTCCGGGACACTGAGGATATGGGGCGGGCACTGCGCTGGGGACCAGGCCGACAGCAGGAGAGCGGGCAGGAGGCAGAGTGGGAGCCGTGTCTCCGGTCACGTCAGACAGCTCTGACTGAAAAACAAGCTGTTGCCCTGGCCGGTGTGGCTCAGCGGTTAGAGCATCGGCCAGCAAACCAAAGAGTCGCTGGTTTGATTCCAGCCAAGGGCACGTACCTTGGTTGTGGTTTGTCCCCAGCCCTGGTCGGGGTCATGCGGGAGGCAACCAGTCTATGTGTCTTTCACATCGATGTTTCTCTCTCTCCCCTCACCCCCCTTCCACTCTATTTAAAGATAAATGGAGCCCTGGCCAGTTTGGCTCAGCGGTTAGAGCGTCGGCCTGCAGTCTGGAGAGACCCGGGTTCGGTTCCTGCTAAGGGCACGTACTTAGGTTGCAGTTTGTCCCCGGCCCTGGTTGGTCGTGCGGGTGGCAGCCACTCGATGTGTCCCTTCACGTCGATGTTTCTCTCTCTCTCTCCCTTCCTCTCTCTCCCTCCCACTCTATCTGTACAAAAAGTGGAAAATTACCCTTGGGTGAGGATAACATAAAAAAAAAAAAAAAAAAAAGATAAATGGAGCCCTGGCTGGTTTGGCTCAGCTGTTAGAGTGTTAGCCTGCGGGCCAGGGAGTCCTGGGTTCGGTTCCTGCTAGGGGCACGTACCAAAAAAAGAAAACATCATCCATAAAGATAAATGGAAAAAATATCTTCTGGTGAGGATTATTTAAAAAAAGAAAAACTGAAGATGTTCTTCCTCCTGCCCTTTGGTTTGAGAATTACAGAGAAGACCGGGCGCTTGATTCTGTCTGGGGAAATACTGCATTGCTCATTGTAGAAAGTCCCTTCTCCCAGTAAGAAGGATCAGGAAGGAAGGACACGGCGGCCCAAGAGCTGCCTGCCCTCGCGCACGGGCCTCGCTGACCCTGCCCTGTGTGCGCAGGACCGTCGGCCGCTGCAGGGAGCTGCCTGCCCGGGCGTGCGGCCTCACTGACGCTGCCCTGTGTGCACAGGACCGTCGGCCGCTGCAGGGAGCTGCCTGCCCTCGCGTGGGCCTCGCTGACGCTGCCCTGTATGCGCAGGACCGTCGGCCGCTGCAGGGAGCTGCCTGCCCGGGCGCGCGGGCCTCGCTGACGCTGCCCTGTGTGCGCAGGACCGTCGGCCGCTGCAGGGAGCTGCTCCTGCTCTGCTTCTCCAGCTTCCTCATCGGGCGCTTCCTGGACGTGAGCGTGGTGAGTGCGGAGGAGTCACTGATAGCCGTGCGCGAGCCCTTCCTGTGGAAGAAGTCTAAGAGTCCCCAGGCGCCAGCGCCCGTGAAGACCACGGTTGTGGTGACCACGCAGAAAAGGTACCGCGCCAGGAGAGAGCGGCGTGGCAGCGCCCTCGCTGCGTGAGCTGCTGGAGGGCAGGCGGTGCAGGGGGAGGGGCTCTTGCCACCCGTGCACCTGGGGGACAGTGGTTTGCGCAGAGCTGTCTGAGGGGCCAGGGCGCAGCCCACGTGAGTGTGAAGATGGGAGGTGGGCCCGCGGCACCCTGGCCCCCACTTCTCCCGGCTGGTCCCGGTGACCCTCGCAGCTGGTGACCCTTTCTCTCGTTCCTGCCGCCCCTGTGCGGACAGCCCAGCTGTCTCCCCAGACGGCTGCGCGCCACACGGGCACCCAGAGGCGGCAGCACGTGGCTGGCGTGTCCTCCGTGAGCTGTCGCAGCACTGAGTGCCGCCTGTGCGGGGCAGTGGGCCGGTCGGCTGCTGGAGGCCATTGGAGATGCGGCGCCTGCGGCGCCTTTGAAGAATGGAACGAAGAAGAACAGTTGTCTGCTGGTGCCGCGGGGCTGGGCACCTCGGCCACCGGAGTTAACCGGGCGTCGTCTCGAAGGCGTAGGTCGGAAACCTCTAAAAAGTCTGGTGCCCAAAAATGTGACCTGGGGGGACGTGACAGTATTTCAGGTGGCCACTGGCGGGCTCACTCAGGCATGGCCCAGACGCACGGGGCATGTGTACCCCTCCTTCCCCGGGTCAGAGAATCGGGGCTCCAAACCACACGTTGCCTGGTAGCAGTTGAGACGAGCTATCGTGGATTCACTGGCATGCGGGCCAACGAGAAATCTTTCGGCAGAGAGAGGGTGAGGCTGCCCACCTCCGGGCGGGCCGTTGGGAGGTTGCTGCACCAGGGAGCCGTGGGGCCTGGCCCAGCCCTTGGTCCCTGGGAGCACTGGTCACATTCAGGGAGCAGCAGTCCCCTGGTGTGGTCACGGGTCTGCAAGACGAGCAGCGCCGGGCGTCTGCACGGAAGGGGCTGCTCTGCTGGCCCAGAGCTCGGGGCAGACGTCGCCACGGCCGGTGGCTGGTTTCATTGCGGGAGCTTCTGGAAGCCCTGGCTGGAGTTAGTGTCCACCAAGCAGCGTCCTCGTGCTCATGGTGTAGCCAGACTGTGAGCTCAGCCCACACCGGCATCGACATCACGGGTCAGTCACTTGCGCCGGACGCTGATGGTTGTCACTACTTAAGAGTCTGAAGCAAGACATCCTGTCCTCAACTAGTGGCTGATTGCCCATCCTGGGCGGCTCAGGTGTGCTTGGCACCCCAGCACCCACCTGTCCCCCACGGTGGGGTCCAGCAGCTCTGCAGGTCCAGGCAGCGTGTCCATGTCCACGCTGAGGACACTCAGCTGTCTGCAGACACCCAGGCTGTGAGCAGCACGGTGGGGTGTGATCCCTGATCACCTGGGCACTGGAGGCACTCTGTTCCGTGCCTGCTCCTGTCGGAGAGACTGCCATCCCTCAGGCCGTGTGGTCAGAGGGATCAGCCAGCCACTGACCTGGATGTGGGAGTGATGGGTCTGTCCCCTCTCTTGTGCACACCTGTAACTAGTACTTTGCTGTCACTGACGGAATGCCTCTGCTTTCCACATGCACTTCACATGTGTGCTTATCCAGCCCTTGTCACAAACCATGGGGGGACCGTGTCCCCGTGTGTCAGGCAGGAGGTGACGGCCTCCGAGGTGCTGCTGGCCCTGGGTCTCCTGGGGCGTCCCTGCTGAGGAACCCACACTGCGGTGACCGTTGGGGACAAGGAAGGAGGCACTTGCCTCTGCTCAGACTCGGGCGAGCAGTCAGAGCGGCAGTGCTGGCCCCGGGCCTCCTGTCAGGCGCACCGTTCGACACTGACGTCCACTCTGCCTGGCTCTCTCCTCCCAGTTCCCTCTCCCACATCACGTTGCCGTGTCGGGTTTGCCCACAGCAGTGGTGACGTTCTTCCTGCCGGGGCCGACTTGGTGACTCCCAGTAACAGCCCTTCCCAGCAAAGGCAGAGCTCCAGGGTGACGCTGACCTCCCAGGGAGCTGTTCCTCAGTCATGGCTGTGGTCCCAGCAGTCAGGGGGCAGGTCACTGGGAGCTTAAGAACAGCTGTTGGAGGCCCACACTTCCTGGGGTCCCACGCATCCGGCCGTCCCTGCGCAGGACGGGGGGCAGCCTGAAGTGAAGGCTGCACCTGCAGATGAGCGTTGCCCCTGCTCAGATAGGAGTAGGTGTGGATAGACTGTCTTGTCTCAGATGCCTGGGTGATTAGGAATCCTTTCCAGCCCGGCCGGTGAGCGTCGACCCTGCACCAAGAGGTCACTGGTTTGATTCCTGGTCAGGGCACATGCCCAGGTTGTGGGCCTGATCCCCAGGGGGGGTCATGCAGGAGGCGGCCAGTCGATGTTCTCTCATCGATGTTTCAGTCTCTCTCTTCCTCTCCTTTCCTCTCTAAAATCAATAAAGAAAAAAATTTTTTGAGTATTAAAAAAAAAAAAGAATCATCTCCAACTGTGAATTTCTTTCTTAAGGAACTCAAGACGTCAGCTTCCAAGTTTCCTTCCCCAGTACCCAATACCCGATCGACTGAAGAAATGTGTGGAGCAAAAAATTGACATCCTGACTTTTCAGCCGTTACTTGCAGAGGTAGGAAAAGCGCCCGACACGAAGTGCTGACCTGTTGCACCCCGTGTTTCCTGACAGCCAGGCCTTGCCTGGTTCCCACTCGCCACAGTGCCTTTCGGTTGTCCTGCTTGGACACTTACATTCTGTGTGATCATTGACAGTTTGCTTTAAATCTCCCTCTTGTTGCTTGTTTGGTTTCTTTTGTTTCTTTTTTTCTTTTCTCTATTGATGTTAGAGAGGTAGTGAGAGGGGGAGAGAGAGAGAAACATCGATGAGAGAGAACACGACTGGCCGCCTCCTGCTCGCCCCTCACTGGGGATCAGGCCCACAGCCTGGGCATGTGCCCTGACCTGAATCCAGCCGGCAACCTTCTGGTGCAGGGTTGACGCTCAGCCACTGGGCCACACTGGCTGGGCTTGCTACTGGTTTTCTGTTTGCTTTCTTTTTCCTCCTTTTCTGCTATTAGGGTGGCACTCGCCCGCCTTCGGGGCTGGCAGTTGTCTTTTGTGGCATTTGCCTCGGGCAGAGGCGTGTGAGCCCACGGGGGCCACTGAGCGTGTGCAGGGGGCTGGCTCACCGGGGAGCCGAGTCCTAATGCTCCTCCGTGGCCCCTCGGTTCAGTGTGAGGAGCCACAGGTCCCGAGCTGGTGTCACAGCTCCTCGGCGACGGAGTGAGCGTCCTGGCACCTTCGGGCTCTCTGTCCTTGGCTTTTGGGTCCCAAAATGCATTGACTTCGTGTGTGTTTTGAACTCCATGATGCACTTGACCGTTCACACCCGACGTGATGCGTCATCCTCCAAACCGTTTCAGAGAGCGGGTGCTGTGCGGACCACGCGGTCCCCTTTCCTGGTGCCGTTGGCCCCGCGTGCACCCGGCCTCTGTGAGCTCTTGTGCGGAAGGACCTGACCGCCTCCTGGGTGCCCAGTGGCTTCCATGCTGGGAAGGCCGAGGCTGCCGCGCCCACCACGCCGCATCTGAGACTCGGCTCCGCTTCCTGCCCTTGCCCCTCCACACGCGCGGACTCCCCGCTGCCCTGGGCGCCCTGGCGCAGCTTCTGCACCTCGCCTGCAGCTCGGCCTCCTGCTGTGGGCTGACTGCCCCCGGACCTGTTTCCAACACTCTTCCGCCCTCCGGCCTTCCTGCTGCTCGGCTCCTTCCCGCCGCTCCCTCTGCGCCCTGGTCTGGACGTTCCTGCCGCTGAGTCTTCAAGCTCACAGACGTCAGCCCAGCCACTGTTTCGTGCCAGATGTTTTCCTCTGCAAGTTCAGTTTGGGTTCTTTTTATTTTTTCTGGATCTGTACTCAATATACTCAGTCTTTCCTCACCTTTTTTAACATGAATGATGCAGGTTTGTTTTCTTATTTTGAATCCTCACCCAAGGATATTTTTCCATTTATTTTCAGATAGAATAGGAGAGAGGGAGAGAGAGAGACTCATCGATTGTCTGCCTCCCACACAACCCCGACCAGGGCTGGGGACTGAGCTACAACCCAGATCCATGCCCTTGGTCAGACTCAAACCCAAAGCTCTTTGGTCCGTGGACCACGCTCCAGCCGCTGAGCCAGACTGACCAGGGCCAGTGACAGTTTCAACAGCAGGTCCACCTCCTGTCTCCTGAGTGGATCTCAGGCTGGTGCCAGGCTCCTCCTCGCGGCTCAGGTTCTGCTGCCCTCCTGCCAGGGGGTCTTGCATGGCTGCCGACTCCTGGGATCAGCTCGTCGAGTTTGGTTCTGGGACCCACTTGCATTGCTTAGGAACATGGATGTTTGACCCTTCAGAGCTCTGTTAGGTGGAGACGGGAGCACTCGTCGGGGCTGGTGCCCTCCTGACTCTGCCCAGGCACTTGCCACACGCTCTGCACTTGGGTGGCGGCGCCACTGTCCTGGGCCCTGTGTGAGCTCTGGGCCTTGCTCCCTTGAACCAGTGGTTCTCCACAGGCGGCATTTGCCCCAGGAGACAGTTTGGCCATCACTGCTGGGTGCTAGCAGCCTCTGGTGGGCAGAGGCCAGGGGTGCTGCTGACACCTCACAGTGCCCAGGACACCCCACTCGGAAAGCGGGGCAGCCCCACGCTGGCAGTGATGGCCGAGGCTGCTCCCACACACTGCGCACTCTCTGGGCACCTCACAGCGCTGCCCCTCAGCCTCCTTGGACCCCAGTTCCCCTTCTCACCACCCAGGCCACATAGCTCCGGGTCCTGTCCCTGTGCCCGGTCTGCAGACTGCGGGTCGTCGTGGGCAGTGGGGCTCACTGAGGTGCCGACCTCAGGGGCGCTGTCCCGCACGGCCTGGGTCACAGTTTGCAGCCGTCATCCCCACGCGTTGGCTGCTGTCTCCTGGGCGTAGGTGTTCACGTTTCCTCTGTTCTCACCGAGTTGTGGGCCGTTTTTCAGCTTCTGAACATGTCAAACTACAAGGAGAAGTTCTCGACGCTGCTCTGGCTGGAGGAAATCCACGCAGAAATGGAGCTGAGAGAGTATAACATGAGCGGGGTCATCTTGAGGAGAAGCGGGGATTCGCTGGTGCTGGAGGTCCCTGGGCTGGCCGAGAGCCGGCCGTCTCTGTATGCAGGTGGGTGAGGGCCAGGTGGGCGGGGTCACGTCAATAAAAACACATTTTTAAAGAAAGAGATCGTCACGTCCATAGAAATCCTGTCATTTCCAACCCCGTGGTCACGTCAGCTCGTTGTGGTTTGGGCTGGAATGTCACTCAGAGCTCGGTCAGCGACCCAGAAGCTGCCCCGTCACTGCACCATCGTGTTAGTGGCTGGCCCCACGCTGTGCTGCCGTGGCTCACACGTGGCCCGTGTTTTTCACTAGGCGACAAACTGGTTTTGAAAACACAGGAGTACGAGGGACACGCTGTCGAGTACATTGGCTACGTGGCAAAGGTGAGAGGCCTGGGTGGCGGGGCTCCGGTGGTGGGGTCTCCGTGCGCCATGGCTGTGTTTTGGAAAATTTGAGGGCTAAGCAACTATTTAAGTAAATTTGATGTATAAAGAGATTGTAACAGCCCGGCCGGTGTGGCTCAGAGGACTGAGCGTCATCCCAGCGACTGAGAGGTCCAGGTTCAGCTCCCAGTCGGGGCACATGCCTGGGTTGCAGGATCGCTCCCCAGTAGGGGGCGTGCAGGAGGCAGCTGATCCGGGTTCTCCCTCACATCAATGTTTCTATCTCTCCCTTCCTCTCTCTCTAAAAAAAATCAATAAAAACACATTTTTAAAGAAAGAGATCGTCACGTCTATAGAAATCCTGTCATTTCCAACCAGGTGAGACAGATCGCACGTGAGTCGGGACGTGTGTGTCTGGGCAGGTGTGAGCATTCTGAGTCTGTTCCCAAGAGAGGGGGCGCCAGCCGGACGCCAGCTCTGACCCTGCCGCGAGGAGGCTGTCGGTGTGCGGGCTCCGGGTCCTCCAGCAGGTTCCCGCCCCCACCTGACAGGCCTCGGGGACCGTGATGGGCAAGACGAGCCCATGGGCCCCCAGCGTCGAAACAAACAGCCGGGCCTGACTGCAGGGGCCAGGCCGTGAGGCCTCAGAGAGTCGGGGTTCCCAGGAGAGGCCATGTGGCGGCACCCACTGCTCTGTTTGCTGCACCTGCACCTGCATGCGGGCCGCCCTGTCGCCCAGCCCAGCTCGCGGCCTCTCCCCAGGGCACAGCAGGCAGGGCCCCAGGTGCCACAGCTGGCACCCCCACCGAGAACAGGGCGGAGTGAGGGGACCAGCCGTGTGTCTCAGGAGCCAGGCACTGGGCACCCCCACCGAGAACAGGGCGGAGTGAGGGGACCAGCCGTGTGTCTCAGGAGCCAGGCACTGGGCACCCCCACCGAGAACAGGGCGGAGTGAAGGGACGAGTCATGTCTCGCAGCCCAGGGTGTGGAAGGTCATGGCGGAAGGCCTGCGGTGTGAGCGTGTGGTGCGTTTCTGGAGTCGGGAAGCGACAGCTCAGCTCCCCTTCCCACTCTGTCCATCTCTGGTCTTTGTTTCAAGTGACCTGTGTCCTTCACTGAAGCTGCCCTGTCGGCTCTGTGTGACCTTAGCTCCCTTGTTGCCTTTCCATTATTTTAACCCCACATCTAGTTTTTTGTGTTTCTGTAAGTGGCAGTGTCGGGATGTGATGTCCTTGGGGCCTGATCTGCTGGCCAAGCGGACCTCACCCTGGGGGACGTGCGCCCTGTCTCAGCCGTCTCTGCTCGTGGGTCCATTTTCCTCCTGTCGGTCTGGGGAACCTGGGCCTGCTCTGAACCAGCGTCCCTCGAAGGGCCTCTTAGCTTCTCTGAGACGGGCTCCTGCCGGTGATCCCAGCCCCGCAGTCCCGACCCTGCTGCGCTGCACCCAGCACCCCTAGTCTGGAGCCCAGCCAGTTGATGGCACCCCTACTGCCCCCCATGCTTCCTCAGAAATGCCTTTCCTTTCCGAGGTCCGGGAATCATTTTCTGCAGACTCTCACTTTGGCTGAAGGCCCCCAGAATATCCAGTTTCCGGTCCCACTGGGAGGGATGGTCCCCGGACAGCCTGGCACGGTGGCCTGTGTGTCCATGATGCAGACCCTGTGGAGCTCGGCCAGTGAGCAGGGTCGGGGAGCACGTGACGCGTGGGGGGTGCCCCACATGAGCACAGTGACCGCACCCTTTCGATGGCTGTCACACAGATCACTCAGCTCTGTGGGCTGATACAGACAGAAGGTTGTCCTAAGAAATCAAGTGTGAAGTGTGGAAATTAAACTTTGTTTCTTTAGATTCACGAAGAAGACGTAACTCTTAAACTGAATCCTGAATTTGAACAAGCATATAACTTTGAGCCTATGGACGTGGAATTCACGTATAACAGGTAACGCTTCTAACGCCCTCCTGCAGATGCGTCTTCCTTCCTTGACAGTGGCGCCTCCTCCCGTGTTGGCCCCTGAACGTCAGGAGGAGACACAGTGGTTTGTGTCGAGAGGCCTGTGACCTGTGAGCAGGTTCCGCAGGCCGCTTTGCACTCCCAGCAGCTGCTGAGGTTCCCGCACTCACTCACGTGGGTCCCTGTGACCGCCTCGTGCTGAGGGTGGGGTGGGTGGCCTCTCCGGGCTCCTGGCTGCCTGCTCGCACTGGTGGAGCTCAGCGCCCTGCAGGTGCGTCCCAGCCCCACACTGCCGAGTGCCGTCGAGTTTGTAGTGTGTGTTCTCAAACCAGTCCTCCACCAGTGTGTTCTCTTTCCTTCCCATCCTCACCTGGGGATATTTTTCTCCATTTATTTTCAGACAGAGTGGGAGGGAGGGAGGGAGGAAGAGAGAGAGAGAGAGAGAGAAAGAGAAACATCGATGCAAGATAGACACCAACTAATTGCCTTTCACACGACCCTGACCAGGGCCGAGGACCAAATAACCGAGGTACGTGCCCTTGCTCAGAATCGAACCCAAGACTCTTTGGTCCTTGGACTTGATACTCTAACTGCTGAGCCAAACTGGCCAGGGCATGATTTTTACAAATATTTTCCTAGATTTTGGCTTGTATTTTTATTGTTATTATTTTGTTGCTTTTTAAAATTTATTTATTTTTTCACAATTTTTAATAATTTATTTTTGTTAACACTTTTCTCCTTTTTCCCTTCTAGACATTCCCCCCCCCCCCAGCCTGCTGTGTGTGTCCATTGGTCACACATACATGCATATAAGTTCTTTGGTTTATCCCATCCCTCCTCCCACCCCCCTCCTCTGAACTATATTCCTTTCCATGTCTCTGGGTCTATTTTGCTCATAAGCTTATTTTGTTCATTATATTCCACAGATAAGTGAGATCATGTGGTATTTGTCTTTCTCTGATTGGCTTGTTTCGCTTAGCATAATGCTCTCGAGGTCCCTCCAGGTTGTCTCAAAGGATAAGAGATCTCTCTTTCTTACAGCTGCGTAGTACTCCATTGTGTACATGTACCACAGCTGTTTTATCCATTTGTCTACTGATGGACACTTGGGCTGTTTCCAGATCTTAGCTATTGTAAATAGTGCTGCTATGAACATGGGGGTACATATATTCTTTCTGATGGGTGTTTCAGGCTTCTTAGGGTACATTCCTAGGAGTGGGATCACTGGGTCAAATTATTTTTATTGTTTTCAATAATGCCTTTTGAAGAGAAGTTTTTAATTTCAGCGAACTTCAGTGGATTCGTTTTCTCCTTCGTGACTGATGCTGTGCCTCACACAGGACCCTCCTGCTTTCTCCTAGAGCTCGGCAGGTCGGGTCACCTTCAGGGCTGTGCTCGGAGTCCATCCTTCAGAGGATGGGAGGTGGGGTGGAGGTTGACTTGGGGCGTGGTGCCCCATTGTCCCAGCGCCTCTGTGACAGTGGGGCCTGTGTGGTCAGCCAGTGCTCGCATCTGTCTTCACGCAAGGCCTCCCTCCCCCGCCTTTGCAGAGGCGGGTGTCCCTCCAGACCCCAGAACCAGCCTTGTTCCGACAGACGCCTGTTGGGTTTGGCTGGGGCTGCGTGGGGCCCTCAGTGCTGCCTCTCCATCTGCTTAGCTTCTTTCCGTCTTCAGCAGTGCTTCATGGTTTTTATGTCTTTTGTCAAATTGTCCTTGACAATAAGAAGTTTTAAATGCTGTTGTAAACAGTATTTTTAACTTAAATTTCTAGTCGCGCCCTGGCCGGTTTGGCTCAGCAGTTGGAGCATCGGCCCACAGACCAATGAGTCATGGGTTCGATTCTGGTCAAGAGCATGTGCCTCGGTTGCAGTTCGGTCCCCATCCCTGGTCAGGTCATGCAGGAGGCGACTGATTGATATGTGTCTCTCACAGCGATGCCCCCCCCCCACTCTATCTGAATATAAATGGAAAAATATCCTTCGATGAGGATTTTTTTTTTAATTGTAGCTGCTTGTAGCTGGGACTTACAGCGCATTTGTACATCGCTCCTGTGTCTTGTAAGCTTACTGAGCCCGGGGTTTCCAGTAGCGCTTCACGGGCGGCGTGGGGCTTTCCACACACTCAGCCGTGCGCTCAAGCAGACGGTCTTCTGCGCTCTGGGGGCTGCGCCTCCTTCTCCCCCTGGTGCTGCTCCCCGTCCCCACCCTGCTCTTCTCCGCGGGAGGCTCCCGCCTCGGTGTCCTCGTCTCCCAGGGCTGCTGGGGCCTCGGCCTCTCACCCCCGGGCCTCGCTGTCCAGAGACCTGCTCATTTAAGGACTTCTCCCTCCGTCCGTACTTCAAGCTGTTACACTCGCTGCCCTTCTGACACTTCTGGAGACAAGTCATTTTTTTTTCAGCCTATTGATAAGTTGAAGCATTTCGACTGGATCACTTTATACAAACCTTCCTTGTGTCCAGAATGAAAACCGTGATGTGGCTTTGATGGTTGCTGTCATTGATCAGCACCCGAGGATATTTCTCCATTGATTTTAGAGAGAAACATCAATGTGACAGAGATACATCCATTGGTTGCCTCCTGCACGACCCAGACGGGCCGGAGACCGAACCTGCAACCCAGGTACGTGCCCTTGACTGGAATTGAACCTGTGACCCTTTGGTCTGCAGGCCAGCGCTCTAACCTGTGAACCAAGCTGGCCAGGGCGAGATGTGATTTTATTTTGGTGAATTCTTCCTTTGATGCATTTGGAGCTGTTGAGGGGACGGCGCTCATCTGCAGGTTGGTGGATGGGCTGGTTTGCTCGGCGCTGTCTGCGGCGGTGTCCCTTCCTCTCTGGAAGGGGTCAGACGGCCTGGGTCTTCCTGGACGGAGCGGCTCTCGCTGGGAGGAACAGGTCATGTTGTCTTGCAGCTCCTTCCTCGATAATTCACCCACTTTGCGCCTTTTGTCTTTCTGGGGGTCAATTGGGTAAGTCCTAGGTTCTTTTCTGGTTGTTCTCATCTTGAAGTTTACAGTATCTCAGGCAGCTCATTGAAGGCTTCGTGGAGTGGGGCTGCCCGGAACCTCGTGCCAGGACCCTCAGGCGCAGCATCCTGGGGGGCCGTGCAGCCCGCTTCTTCCTGCTTCACACGCCCCCCAGGATTGTGTGCTGTGATGGGCCCTGAAAGCCCCTTAGCCCTTGGAGCACCCACCCTGCACCCCGTCATCACCCAGGTGAGACACGTAGGTGGGTCCTCCAGGGCCCGGGTTTGACCTCTCCGGGAGTGTGGGTGTGGCCGGCTCTGCCAGGCTGTGACTGGGCTCTTGGACCTTTGCGTCCTCTTCCCTTGTGCTTTGGAGCGCGATCGTCTTGTTTCACTGAAGGCGGAGTTTTATGCTCCTGTCAGTCAGGGCCCAGGCTGCACACCTGAGGGCGTCCGCCTGGTGGCCGGGCAAGTGTCCCTAAAGAAGTGATCTTGCCCAGGACAGCGCCCCTGTTCCGGCTCCTTCTGATGGCAGCTCCTCCGTGCAGGTCCTCCGAGCGCCTCCCTGTCTGCCGGGCCGGGCTGCCCGGTGCGGGGCCGGGTTTGCTCAGATAAATGCCTGAAATGTTTAATGTGCCTCAGTTTCTTTTATCTGAGTTTCTTTCAGTGGATTTCAAGGGAGTGATTCTTTGTCATCAGAATTAGTTCTGATTGACACAGCACTGTTACTATTTCCCTGACACTTCATACAGTATGTTTTTGGGTTTTTTCTGCTTCTCTACACATGAACATTCCTGAAAGAGGAGCCTCTGCTTTCCTGACACGTGTGCTGCTGGAACTGCCCACGAACCTGGTGTCAGTGTGTCGTGTAGGACAGACAGGGACCTCCCCTCCCCCTCCAGAACCTCGGGAGCCGATCGGCTCCTTCTGTGTTTGTAAAGGTCCGCACGGTCGGATCTGTGACCCATACCAGCCTCAACGTCTGAGCGCGACGTGTGGCTCTGTTGTCTTCTCTCGGCAGGACCACAAGCCGGCGGTGTCACTTCGCACTTGAGCAAGTCAGCCACTTGGGAGTGAAAGGTACCGTTGCTGTGGAACGGTGGTGTCGCGCTTCTCAGGGGGCTTTGTGAGGTTTGTCTGCATAAAGACAGTCTCCTCGGTCACATATTAGAAGGAAAACTGTATCGTGTCGAGTGTTTGTCTTTCTGTTGGGAAGTTTCTGTGTTTTCTTACTATTTCGGTTATGTAAAAACAGCACACCGAAATTATTGAAATAAAGCCGTTGTACTCTGCTTTCTCGTCTTAATAGAATTCCTCTTGTGCCTGCAGGTAGACACAGCACAGCCTTTGTCCCAGGTCATGTGCTGGGTGGGCACAGCTATGAGTAACTCGGTGCCCGGGGGCCAGAGCGGAGAGGGCACACAGATTGGGCTATTCAGGGTTGCAGTGACCATTGAGGTTGCTTCTGCTCATCTTTCTAAAGCTTTTCAGTAATATCGACCTTGTTGCCCTTCTTGTTTTGAAAGTGTTGTTTCCAGAAGAAGTCATCTTACAGTCTCCCCAAGTGACAAGCAGTTGGAACCACATGCAAGATGCCAAAAACCATGGACAGCCCACCACCGAGGTCCGTGCATGGCGGCCGTGTCTGAGGTTCCGTGTGCGTGCTCAGGCTGACTGGGGCCTGAGGGGTGGGATGTAAGATAGCCCAAAGCCACGGGTAGAGTAAACTCAGCCCGGCAATGTGGCTTAGGGGCTGAGCGTTGACCCATTCCCCAAGACGTCACCGGTTCGATTCCTAGTCAGGGCACATGCCCAGGTTGTGGGCCTGATCCCCAGTGGGGGACATGCAGGAGGCGGCCAGTCGATGTTCTTTCTCATCGATGTTTGGGTCTCTCTCCCCCTCTCCCTTCCTCTGTCTATAAAATCAATAAAGAAAAAAAAAATTTTTATAACTAAAATACCCATAAGACAGAGTATGAGCTCATGGTTTTATTTTAACAGCATGTATGTGGTTTAGTGGACATTCAGACAGGCCATTTATGTGATGATTTATGCTTAGAAAACATGTGGAAGATACACACCCAGCAGGTGGTTAAATGTCATCTTTGTTAATGTCATGAAGACACTTTGTTTTTACCTAAACAGTCCAGTCTCCATAAATAGTAAGGGATAGGTGTTCTGTGCCAGGCACGCCGAGGCTGTCCATGCACTCGCACGCGCACACTCGCACGCGCACACTCGCACGCGTGCCCAAACGTGGCTTTGTCGCCGCGTGTCCAGAGCAGAGGAACCGCTTCTCCACGTGGAGGGCTTGTCTCCTAGAATCCTGCGCTGGTGCAATTTAGTTTTTTGAGTGTGTTCTAAACTTACAATAAATAAGGATTTTTAAATCGTGTCTGATGTTTAGAAACCCTTTTACCATTTTAAGCCCCTCTCCAGATATGCAAACATAGTAGGCTTGGTTTTAGAATGCCTACAGGACCACAGGGAAGTCGTCGAGGAGACAGCAAGGTTTCCACGCAGACCCCTGCTGCGGTCCGTCTGTCGGCATCGCCCTGGCCCTGCTGTCCACCTGCTCGGGTGGGGTGGAGGGTCCCATTCCAGATGGGCTAAATTTGTGTTGTTTCTTTTTCAATGTAGAACATTGTCTCTTTTGTTTTGTTAATCCTCACCCGAGGACATTTTTCCATTGATTTTTTAGAGAGTGGGAGGGAGAGAGATAAATGCAGAGATGAGAGAAACACATCAGTTGGGTCCCACACGACCTGGACCAGGGCCAGGGATTGAACCTGCAACCCAGGTACGTGTCCTTGACCAGGAATTGAACCTGCGACCCTTTGGTCCGAGAGCCGATGCTCTTAACCACTGAGCCAGACTGGCCAGGGCCAGAATGCTGCCTTGTCATGGATTGGCCAGGCTGTGGGTGCACGCGGGCATGGCGCGTGTGGACAGTGTGGAACCGCGGCTCTCAGACCTTAGCATCAGATACCACAGGACACGACTCCTGAGAGGAAGCAGATGGGGCTACCCTGTGACGGCCCAGCTCACAGCCCTCGGGAAGGGGACCGGGAGACACGTTTGGCCCCAGCAGGAGAGGTGGGGGAGGTCAGGGGTAGACAGTGCTTTTGGGGTCTGCATAGCACCCTCCCTGTTTTCAGCTGAGGACTCAGCAGCACTGGCTTCTGAAGGGACCCTGCATTCCCACAGCCCAGCAGGAGGCGCCCTTGGGACAGGAGCGCAGTTGACAGAGGCAGGGGCAGTTGCGTTGCCTGAATTCACCTGAGCTGGGGGTGGGCTGCGGAGAGGGTCCTGACTGGGCTCCCAGGACTCTCCGGCTGGCGTGCCTCAGCCCCTGCGGGTCCTCCCTCGCCCTGAGCAGGCTCAGCGGGAGTCACAGTGAAACCCTTTGTTTCAGTGTCACAGATTTAGTTTACTTACGTTTATTCAAAAGAGAAACAAAGTTTTTAGCAGCTTTGTGTCAGGTAACGTGCATTTTTGTTGCGTTTTGAAGGGGGTGTGGCCTGAGGTCCCTGCCAGGAGTGTTGGGTCCTGAGCCAGTCCTGTGTGTGGGTGTTTGTTCTCTTTGCTTCTTCTCTCTTTTTAATTCTCACCCGAGGGCCTTTTCACATTTACCTTCAGATACAGGGAGGGAGAGAGGGAGGAAGAGAGAGAGAGAAACATCCATGTGAGGGACACATCGACTGGTTGCCACCTACACAACCCCAACCAGGGCCGGGGACAAACCGCAACCAAGGTACGCGCCCCTAGCGGGAACCGAACCTGGGACTCTGGTCGGGGGGCCGGCGCTCTAACCACTGAGCAAACTGGCCAGGGCTGTTTGTTTTCTTTTCAAACTGAGTCCGGGTGAACACAAAGCTTTCTTTAAGCTTTTTTTTTTTTTTTTGCGTGATTATTTCTAGAACAGGAAAACTGTGAAGGACCAACCTAAGCCTGCCACCAAGACAAAGCAGGCGGGGGCGCAGGATGCACAGGGGCCCGCAGGCTCTGCTGCAGGGACAAGTCACCTGGGTACGTACGGGGAGCTGGGCCCCTCGAAAAGCTCACTGTGACTAGAGACTGAAGTCAGGGTGGGCTTCTCCAGGGAAGTGAGGTTGGCGCGGAGACCCCAGAGGGACAGGGCCCCACACGGCCACTTTTGTCACAGTCACAAGGTCCGGAGCATCCCAGGTGCTGCTGCCCTGAAGGTGCCATGTCCTGCATTCGCTCGGACACTGATTAGTTGTCCTGTGGCCTCATGGCACCAGCGCTGAAGTGCTTGTGCCCCAGCCGCTCAGGTTGTCCGACGTCTGCCTGACCCTGTTCCTCCACTCGACCCAGGAGACCAGCTGCCGCCCCCGGCCGGAGAGGAGTTTTTCAGCCCACTGCTCAACGAGAACCAGAAGCTGGCCGTGAGGAGGATTCTGAGTGGCGACTGCCGCCCCCTCCCGTACGTCCTCTTCGGGCCCCCTGGAACCGGGAAGACGGTGACGATCATAGAGGCTGTGTTACAGGTGAGGCCAGAGGCCGTGCGGTGTGTGCGCCGTCGGGAACCCTGGCCCTGTTCGCCTTGTAGAGTCAGAAAGGGCTGACAGAGCCAGTTCCTTACATTGAACTCGGTCTGTTTTGTGCTGTTGATGGGACTGTAAGCGTGAGAGCTAATTTCACAGGGTTAAAAGGGAACCTGTTCCGTTCGGCACCGTCCCAGAATCGTGCTGCAGACCAGGCCCCCTCCCGGCGGCTGCAGTCAAGTTCTGCAGACGTCTGCTGCCCTGTGCTGTGGCAGTTGGGTTTGTGGGCACGGTGTGTGCCCAGCGTCTCTGCTCACGGAGCTCAGAGCAGCGAGCGTGGGAGGCCCAGCAGCCTCCTGCAGGCGGGCGGCCGTGGGTTGAGTCCTGGGGCGCGGAGCCCACCACCTCCTCTCACGGCGTCTGCTCGGAGCTTTCCCAGGGTGACTGACACCTGTGTCTCCTGTGCCTGATGAAGGTGTACCACGCCTTGCCTGACAGTCGGATCCTGGTGTGCGCGCCCTCCAACAGTGCGGCTGACCTCGTGTGCTTGCGGCTGCATGAGAGCCGCCTGCTGCGGCCGGGCACCATGGTCCGCGTGAACGCCACCTGCAGGTTTGAGGAGGTGAGCGTCACGGAAGCCACTGTGCTCGCTGGCCCTGTGCCTGATGTGTTCTGAGCAGCAGTCCTGGCTGCTTCTGCGCCTGCTCTCCCTCAGCTGCCGCCCTCCTGGTCCTTCCTGCGGGTTTTGGCTGCTTAGCCTGGAGGGTGCAGTGTTGATCGGGAAGTGGGTAACGGTGTTTCAGGAGGGTCTGCAGGATCATGTGCTCTAGTCATGGCTCCAGAGGCCGTAGACGGGGACTGAGTTGATACAAAAATGTAAATGTTTTGGTCTAAGGAAACGACCTTAAGTCACTACTTAGTTATAACTGGGAAGTGGAACAGGACAGAGTCACCTCTCAGAATCCCTTCCAGCTATGTGATAGTGTCCAATGAAACAGTAACTTGAGAACGAACTTCTCCCCTCCCCAGACGATCATCGAGGCCATCAAGACCTACTGCAGAGACGGGGAGGACATCTGGAGGGCCTCCCGCTTCCGGGTCATCATCTCCACGTGCAGCAGTGCGGGGCTCTTCTACCAGATCGGCGTGCGGTGAGCCCTGAGCGGGCGGGCGGGGGGCGGTGGGTGGCGGGGCGGCGGGGGGGCCTCTCTGTCCTTGCAGCAGCTCGGTGGCTTCTCCAGGGAAGTGAGGTTCGTGCTGAGACCCCAGAGGTGACAGGGCCCCAGGCTCTCAGGAGGGCAGTTGTGGAGGTCGAGGGAGCGCGTGTGCAGGGGGCAGACGCCCAGACCAAAGCCCGGAAGGACTTTGTTTTGGTGGAGGGAGGGCAGGAGGTGCCAGGGGAACAGTGGCAGGACCAGCACACAGTGGGCAGTGCCAGGGCCTTGGGAAGCTCAGAAGGTGTGAACAAGGGACAGTATTGTCTGATAAGTAACTAAGTAACTGTTGTTGATACAGAATCTAAAGCTTAAGTGCTTACGTGTTAAGAAAGATACATTACCATTACACTTTCAGCTGGGATATGAGGTAAAAAATGAAAGTGTGCTGACCTGGTCCTGCGTGGGGTGGGCAGGGGCGGGGTCCTTAGTCCAGCAAGAGCTTGAGATGCGCAGACTCGGGCCCTGCATCCGAGCGACTGACCGCAGTGTCAGGAGCAGTGGGGCCAGCACTGCCCGGTGGGCGCCATGGGAACAGGGCCCAGGCTGGCGTCTCCCTCTCAGGGTGGGGACCCGGGGCCCGGGCTCGGCCCTGGCTGTCCTGGTGGCAGCAGCTCTGCAGCTCTGGGTGTTGTGTCCCGGCCGTGAGTCTTGGGCTTCCCAGCTGAGAGCAGGAGGCAGAGGTGGAAGCAGGTGGGGGCAGTCCTCGCAGGTGGGAATGTTGCCGTGCCCCACCTTGACCAGCTGGTCTGACTCCACCTGCCACGTTGGGGAAACCAAGGCACAGGGAGGTGATAGGACCTGCCCAGGGTTGCCAGCTCCTGAGTGATGAAGCCAGGACGACAGCCCAGGCCTCGGCCTGTGGGCGGACAGGCAGTTCGTCTGGCCCCGGCCTGGCCCCGGCAGCCCTGGCAGCTCCTCACTGTCTGGTCCCCTGGCCGTTTCCCTCTGACTTTTTTCAGACGAAGGGGCATGTTGGGTACAGAGTCCGGTGGTGACAGGATGCGTGACTCGGTGTCCTCACAGCTGCGGGTTGGCCTCTAGCCTGGCCCACCGAGCACCGGGCGCTGGCGGAAGTGACCACTCATGTTTCTGGCTCTAGAGTCGGGCACTTTACACACGTGTTTGTGGACGAAGCCGGACAGGCCAGTGAGCCGGAATGCCTCATCCCTCTGGGGCTGGTTTCCGACGTCAGTGGCCAGGTGAGACCCCCCCCTCACATCACCCTCACATTGCCCTCGCGTCGCCCTCACGTTGCCCTCACCCTAGTCCCCCGCAGTGGCCCTGGAGGAAAGGGCTGCTTCCCTCCCTCTGTCTCTGCCCCTGAGCCCTGCTGGGGGTGCAGAGACTAGCAGCCCAGGAGCTCCCACCCTGCCCGCCTGTCCTAGGCTGACACTGGCCTGTGATGGTGGCCTGAAGTCATTGCCCCTCACACGCTCACTGGAGGGGGCATGAGAGTCCCACTGCCCCTTGGTCCCCAGGCCGGGGCTGCACTCCCGCTGGCCGCTGCCCCTCCCCCCAGGCATGCTGTGCCGATGCCCGCATGGGCTCCCTGCCCGTCCCCGCACAGCTAGTGCCCCTGTGCGCAGATCGTCCTTGCTGGAGACCCCATGCAGCTCGGGCCCGTCATCAAGTCCAGACTCGCCATGGCCTACGGGCTGAATGTGTCCATGCTGGAGAGGCTGATGTCCCGCCCCGTGTACCTGAGAGACGAAAACGCGTTTGGCGCCTGTGGTGCCTACAACCCCTTGCTGGTGAGCTCAGGCCCCACGAGCAGAGGGCCGGGCGGAGGGCGCCCAGGTGGCCAGGTGCAGCCCGGGTTCCCAGCTGACCCCGGACCACTTGGGAATCCGCACTTCAGGGCCCCAGTCCCCGGAGCCTTGGGTCGGAGGGGCCCTGGGAAGGGGGGCGAGTGGTGGTGTCCTCTGAGCCCCTGCAGTGCAGACACAGCGGAACCTGAGCAGAAGATGAGGGTGTGACCGCAGATCACCCCCTGGAGAGAGGTCCCGGGTCTGCGGGCAGAGACTCCTGGAGGGGTCGTCAGGAGCCTCACGGCTGCCCCGGGCGAGTTGTGTCTGCCTCCGTGTGTCCCTGAGCCTCGGGCCTGGAGCTGCAGTGAGCCCTGTGGGCTGAACGCCCCTCTCCCCAGGTGCCCCGCTTCCCACTCGGGAGGCAGATGAGAGGCCAGGAGGGGAGGCCGGGGTCCAGGGGCTCGTCATGCTCCCTCAGCAGGGACGCCGGGTGCACGGCCTCAGCCGCTGCTCTGCCGCAGGTGACGAAGCTGGTGAAGAACTACAGGTCCCACGCGGCCCTGCTGGCCCTGCCCTCCCGGCTGTTCTACCACAAGGAGCTCGAGGTCTGCGCGGACCCCGCGGTGGTGACCTCCTTGCTGGGCTGGGAGAAGCTGCCGAGGAAAGGCTTCCCCCTCGTCTTCCACGGCGTGAGGGTGAGTTGTGGCCGCATTGCTGGCTGGGGCGCTGGCTCAGCTGGGGACGGCCCGGGGACTGTGACGCTGAGTGCTGGGCAGCAGGTGGAGGCGCCGCAGCTCGTCCCGAAGGGGCACCTCGGGTGCTCCCTGGCTGCTCTGGCTCCTGGGCGCCAACCTCTGTCTACGTGGAAAACCAGCTGCGCATTCCCGTTTCTCCCGCTGGGCCTCTACCTTGCTAACTTCCGCTGTGTGTCCATCGCACGTCCTTCTAAGTCGTCACCTCTGTTTGTGGTTTGTTTACTTCCTGGAGAGGACTCGGGTCCCGTCCTGCCCTCTCACAGGCAGCCCGTCCACAGGGGCAGCTCTGCCCACACGTGGCTTCCAGGGGCCTCCCTGGTGGCCTCCTTCGTGGCTTGCCAGACACCTGTGACTTTCTGTGTTTTCTTTTTCGATCCAAGGGTTATTGAGATGCATTTTTCTTAACTTTCAAGTGGCTAAGAATGCTTTGGTCACTTTTTCTTCATCCCTAATTCTATTAGGTTCTGATGAAGAACTATGGTCTCTAATCTCAGCTCTTAGAAATCTGTGGCCAAATAGGTCTCCATTTTAGTGTGTGTTCTAAGGACATAGAAAACATTTACATTCTTGCCCTGGCCGGTTTGGCTCAGCGGTTGGAGCGTCGGCCTGCGGTACAGAGAGACCTGGGTTCGGTTCCCGCTAGGGGCACGTACCTCGGTTACAGTTTGTCCCCGGCCCTGGTTGGTTGTGTGGGTGGCAGCCACTCGATGTGTCCCTTTCACGTCGATGTTTCTCTCTCTCTCTCTCTCTTCCTCTCTCTCCCTCCCGCTCTACCTGAACAAAAAATGGAAAAATGTCCTCGGGTGAGGATAAAAAAAAACAAAAACAAAAAAACATTTACATTCTTGCCCCGGCCAGTTTGCTCAGTGGTTAGAGCGTCGGCCCACAGAGCAGAGAGTCCTGGGTTCGGTTCCCGCTAAAGGCACGAACCTCAGTTGCAGTTTGTCCCCAGCCCCAGTTGGGGTCGTGTGGGTGGCAGCCACTCAATGTGTCTCTCTCACGTCGATGTTTCTCTCTTCCTTTCTCCCTCCCACTCTATCTGAAATAAATGCAAAAATGTCCTTGGGTGAGGATAAAAAAAAAAACAGTTTATCTACTGAGGGATGTAGGTTCCATATACATATTTTTAATGTTTTCTGGAATTTATTGATTTGTATTTAAAAGGAACTGTTAACAAAGGGTCACCAAAAATAATCTGAACAAGCAGGAAAATACAGTTAATACTGAAATACTACTAATTCCAGGACATATGGTGTAACTGATACAACATTATCTCTGAGATGCTGTCATTGATATAAAACTAGACTGCTTTTTACTTTCCTAAACACATAGTAGTATCATTGACAATATTCAATCGCTTCTGTACTTTCATGAATATATAAAAATTAAAATACCAATTAAAAACTAACATGTTTTCTTTAAATGTTTCTTGCAGTTACAGTTTCAATATTTTCATTCAACAGTGGTGTGGTTTATTTTTCATTCACAAGTCAAATAACAATCCACCCAAATGGAACTGATAGTCTTTAGGCTCATAGTGCAAATAAAGAGTTCAGGGATGCAGCAACTGACATTTCAAAAATATAAAACAGATAAAATTCTTAGAAGATACATGCAATAAGCTCTACTGAGCAGACGGCACAGAACTAGAACATTCGACAACTTTGCTGATATTCCAGTAGGACTCCAGATGTCCCCAAACGCAACTCGAAATCCCATCTTAGGCTTTGAATTCTGCTTTTCCAGTTTCACTAATAACACAAACATGATTCAAGTCCCTGAAGCATTCATTATAGTCAAGGGCATATCCTACAACAAACTTGTCTGGAATTTCAAATCCAACAGTCTGGTCTATACCCAGCACTTCGAGGGGTCCTTTTTACCAGCAAGCTTGCGACCTTGACCATCTTCGGATCACGTGCTTGACCAAGGAAGCAAGGTTTGCAGTGTTCTGCAGTGTCAGTTGTATCTTCACCAGTCAGGACGTTCTTCCCGGTTGAAGCTGAGAGATCATCTCCACCAGTTACTTTCATGTCCCCTGTTGATTGCTCATCACAGTAGCTCTTCAGCCTGATAGAATCTACAGTCATAGAACAGATCTGACTATTTGATGTGATCCAGCAGGTCAGCAAGGAACGTACCCCTCCCGGGGGCACACAGAGGCTGCGATGTGACGGCCTCCCATCTCCTTGTCCCATCTCCGCAAGCCGTTCTGTCCTGTGCATGATTAGTCCACGAGGAATAAACACCTTTTCCAAATCCTCAGCATAATGATTAGGGATAAGTCCAGGTCATAACCTGGTTCATCATCACTAATCACCACGCTGGGCTGTGATCGCCATGCGGAGCCGGCACAAGCGCTGGTGGGGAGCAGGCTCCAGATACATTTTTTAAACATGTTTGTGGAGCGTGTTGCTTAGCTCTTCTGTGTCCTGACCTACACTGTGTCCCTGGCATTCCTGCTAGTGGGGGCGCCGTTCTTACCAGATTCTGGTCGAGCGCCTGTCGGCCTCGCCTTCCGTGCTCACTGCTGTGTGTGTCGCGTGTGCACCGCGTGTGCGCCGTGTCTGCAGTGCATACACTGCCGTGCCTGGTCGCCGTTCCCTCAGCGTGCGTGTCCTGCACTCTCAGGGTCTCACCTCAAATCCCACCTGGTGCAACATCAGTGTGCTCTCTCCCTTCTCCTCTTGTATTTCTGATGCTCAGTGAGGCCATGTGCTCCTCAGCCATCCTCTCCCTGCAGGTTGGACAGAGGGCGGGGCAGCTGGAGGGCGTGGTCGGGCCTGGCCCAAGGGGCCTCCTGCCCTGAGCACAGCTGGGCACACACTCTGCTCCTACCTGGCTCCCGGGCTTCTGTTCCTTCCAGCGTGTGCGCCCTCCCCCGGGTCACTGTCCCCCATGGCACTGCCTCCCGTCCCGCCCTCTCGGCTGCAGCGTGACGTTTCCACAACCAGGCCTGTCGTCCCTGCCTGCTCCCAGCATCTGTTCTCCTCGTCCATGGGCCCTTGACAAGTGTCTGCCGATACATGAGGCCTCGTGACGACCTGCCTCTCTCGTCTCCACCCCACAGGGTAGCGAAGCTCGCGAAGGGAGGAGCCCATCGTGGTTCAACCCGGCCGAAGCTGTCCAGGTCATGCGCTACTGCTGCCTCCTGGCCAGGAGCCTCTCCAGCCAGGTGTCCGGGCGAGACATCGGGGTGATCACACCCTACCGAAAGCAGGTGCGGCTCTGCTCCAGCGAGCTCCCTCGTGCTTCCTGTCCACAGAGGCCACGCCAGGAGGGGACACGAGCTCGTCACGTGATGACCCTGCCAGGCTCCCACTGGCCTGCCGCACCCGGGCCCTGGGGCTGGAGCCCAGGCACCTGGGGGAGCTGCCTTGGTGTGCACTTCTGTCCCTAGCATGAAGGTGCCTCCTGCTGCGTGCTCTCGGTGGCCCACCCTCCATCGGGCCTGTTGTTGTCTCCCATGTCTCCAAACACTGGCCCCTGACCTGGGGGAGAGGTTTGGGGGGTTGCCCTGGAGTTGCCAGGGATTTGAGAATCTTTTTTTTTTATCCTCACCCGAGGACATTTTTCCATTTTTTGTTCAGGTAGAGTGGGAGGGAGAGAGAGAAACATCGATGTGAAAGGGACACATCGAGTGGCTGCCACCCGCACGACCAACCAGGGCCAGGGACAAACTGCAACCGAGGTACGTGCCCTTAGCGGGAACCGAACCCGGGTCTCTCCGTACCGCAGGCCAACGTTCTAACCACTGAGCCAAACTGGCCAGGGCGGATTTGAGAATCTTTTCATGGTTTATTGACCACTCACGTTTCATCAGAATCCCTGTTTAGCCCAGTCAGGTGGCTCGTTGGTTAGAGCATCGTCACATACACCAAAAAGGTTGCGGGTTCAGTCCGTGGTTGGGTACATACGGGAGGTATTCAGTTGCTGTTTCTCTCCGACACTGATGTTTCTCTCTACCTTCCTCTCTCTGAAATCAGCAAAAGATGCCCTGGGGTAAGGATCGTTTTAGTTGCTGTTTAAATCTCGTGCCCACTTCCCGCTGCTCTGGGTCTGCAGTGCACTGGGCGGCACGGTGCACACAGGCCCGGTGCTGCCGCAGCCGTCCCACCAGGCCCTGGTCTGTGCTCGTGCTCCCTCGTGTGCATCTCGTTCCGGTGCAGGCACACGTGGAGTGGGGATCACGCCCTCGCGTCCGTGCTTTCTGCTTTGATCTGAGAAACCCCCCGTCGTGATGTCGGGAAGTATGTTTTCCCACCTGGCCCGGAAGGTTTGACACTCTGAGTCTGTGTTTGGGGTTGAGGCGGCGGCCTGACCTCACCTGTCCACTGCAGTGGCCATTTCAGTTACTAGTCTGCCCGAGCCACATCTGCGGAGTGCAGGTGCCACCCGGTGCCCACTGGGCTCGGACTCTGCTCGGCAGCTCACGTGGCTTCCCAACAGGACCAGCAGCTGGGCCACAGGCCCTGGGCTGAGCTGACCCAGAATGCCCCCTTCCCCCCATGCCCCCACCTCCTATCCCCCCTCCCCCTCCCCCCACTGCCCTCACACCCCCACGACCCTGTTCCCCATGTCCCCTCATTCCCCAATGCCTCCATGTCCCCCACTCCCCCATGTTCCCGTCCTCCACGTCCCCACACTACCCCATGCCCCCATGCCCCCCACATCTCCCCATGTTCCCCACATCTCCCTCACGCCCCCCACATCCCTCACACCTCACCATGCTCCCCAAGCCCCACGTTCCCTGTCCCCCCATTCCCCCCACTCCCCCACATCCCCCCACATTCCCCCATACCCTCGTCCCCCCACGCACCCATCTCCTCATGCCCCTCCACGCCCCCCACAGGCAGGCATGCTGTGCTGAGAAGCCTGCTCTGTCCGACTTCCTTTGTGAGTCACGTCCTCGTGTGCGTGTGGTTTTAACGTTTTGCCTTTGTTCTTGTTTTTTGAAAGAATAATTGGTTTTTTTGTTTGTTTGTTTTTAAAGCAAGAGTACTTCAATTTTTTTTTCCTTTATTGATTTTTTTCAGAGAGAGAGGAAGGGAGAGGGAGAGAGAAACATCGACAAGAGAGAACATTGACTGGCCGCCTCCTGCATGCCCCCTGCTGGGGGTCAGACCCACAACCTGGGCATGTGTCCTGACTGGGAATCAAACTGGCGACCTCTTGGTGCATGGGGTTGACATTCAACCACTGAGCCACACTGGCTGGACTTTTCGTTTGTTTTCATTGATTTTTTTACACAGAAACATCGAGTGAGAGAGAAACATCCATCAGCTGCCTCCTGTGCGCCCCCTACTGGGAACCAAGCCTGAAACTCAGGCCTGTGCCCTGACCTGGACCCAAACCAGGGCCTCTGAGTCCCTGGGACAGCGTCCAGTCCACGGGCCACACCAGCCCGGCTGTTTATTGGTCTTTAGACAGACAGGGGAGAGGGAGGGAGAGAAACAGGGATGTGAGAGTGGAGACAGCCACCGGCCGCCTGCACGCCCCCTGCTGAGGTTTTCTTTCAGATGCTTTTTCCCCAAGATTTCAAATTGGGCCTGTTTTATTGCCTCCCAGCATCTGAGAGCTGCTTCACGTCCAGTCCTCACTGCATGACTCCGGCGTTCCCACCCCTCAGGGCGGCCTCACCTTCTCTCGGCTCCGGGCCACTCGTCACAGAGCTCGCCCTCCGCCGGCTGCCTGACCCACTGCCACAGAGGAGGGCGCAGCCTGTCCCCGGGCCGCGGGCCTCCATGCCACGCAGTGGCAAAGGCTCAGGTGCCTGGGGAGGGCTCCCCGCGAGGGAGGTGCCGTCCTCACTTGTTTGGAAACACTCAAGTCTGAGCCCCGCCCAGCACCCTCTGTCTGAAATCGGGGTGTGGGTTCTGATTGACTGAGGTTGGGTGAAACGCGACTGGGAATTGAGAAGCAATACTGCACATTGGTTAGAGTTCAGTTCTGTAATGTGTAAAGAAATGGTCAGACTTGTAGAATTTTATCTGTTTTCTTTATTTGCTTTAAAGGTGGAGAAAATCAAAATTCTTTTGAGAAACGTGGATCTGTTGGACATAAAGGTCGGCTCAGTAGAGGAGTTCCAAGGACAGGAGCACTTGGTTATCATCATCTCAACCGTAGGTGGCCCTGTTCCCAGGCACAGCAGTGACGGGCTCGCCTGGGCCGCGCTGGGCCCGCAGCACACCCGGGGGAGGTGACCCAGGCTGACGGGCGGTGCAGAGCAGCAGGTGCAGAGCAGGCAGGCCTGCAGCCTGGCCTCAGCCCGTAGGCGCAGGGACCACGCTGAGCATCAGAAGCGTGGAGATGGGGTCAGGAGGAGGGCGGACGTGCTGGGGACGCAGGGACAGGTCAGCGGGGGAGGTAGGGTGCGGTGTGCACGGGGCCAGAGGCCACCCGGGGAGACCAAGTGGAACTCAGAACTCCTTTCATCCTTAAGTTGCCCCCTCAGCAGAGGGCTGATTGCAGGTATGTTCAAAAATTCAGTCAGGAAAAGAAAAGAATCACCTCAAATCCTGAGTCACCCCAACACCCTGCACCCAGGGCCCCAAAGTGCTGGGCCCCTGTCGTGCAGAAGAGGGCAGTGAGGCTCCTCCCCCACCCCCATCTCTGCTGCTTTTTTTTTTTTTTAACCAAAAATGAGGTCCTAGTGGTGTTTAATGTTCCTGAATGCTCTTCTATGTCAAGTTGCTTTCCAAAAAAATTTAGCCAAACAAACTTGAAATATCGCATTTCTTTGTCTTGTGTTTTAGGTCCGGTCAAATGAAGATCGATTTGAAGATGACAGATATTTTTTGGGTTTCTTGTCCAACTCAAAAAGATTTAACGTTGCCATCACCAGGCCCAAAGCCTTGCTGATTGTGCTGGGAAACCCTTACGTCCTCGTCAGAGTGAGCTGCTGCCCGGCACAGGGTCGCCGAGGAGGGCGGGCCTGGGGGCGGCGGCCAGGCAGCTGGCCCCTCCCTGGCCCTGAGGCCAGGCTCCGTGTGTCCCCACAGGACCCCTGCTTCGGAGCTTTGCTGGAGTACAGCATCACCAACGGCGTGTACACAGGCTGCGACCTGCCGCCCGAGCTGCGGCACCTGCAGAAGTGAGCCCGCCCTGGGCCTTGCCCCTGCTCCCGGCTCGCCCCTCCCGGCCCAGCTGCCGCGGGCACGCGCGCCCCTCGTAGAGACCACACCTCAAAGCGGCACCTGCCCATCCCACCACAGTGGCCCCGAGCCTGTGGCTGGAGGGGTGCAGCCTCCCCGCCCAGAGGAGCCAGGAGCTCTGGGACCAGGGAGGCCTCCCACGGAGCCCCTGTTGATAAGGGACGGCGGGGCCACTGTGCTGTGGTCGCTGGGCCTCCTCCCACAGCCTCGGCCGCAGACCTGGGCCCTGGACTGGACGGAGCCTGCTCAGCCGTCAGCCCGCCCCAGCCCCTTCCTGCCCCAGCCCCTTCCTGCCCCGTCGTCCCTGCACCACAGCCCATCACCAGAATAAACACTCGAGTGGGACACCACGTGGCTTTGCGCCCCAGAGTGTGCCAGATGTGGGGCAGTTATGTGTTCTCGTGGCCTCTGACCCCAGCGGGCCCCATCCCTTCCCCTCCGGGCCTCAGGCCGGTGTTGAGGCCACACTGGCCGTGTGAAGTCCAGTGGCTCTGTGCAGCCGGCAGAGGTGGGCTCGGCCTGTGTGCCAGCCCCTGCCTGTCCTCTGGCCAACAACTGGCCCTTGGTCCTCGGAGACCTGGTTCTAGGAAGGCTGGGGCCTTCGCGCTGGGTGTGTCCCTCCTGAACGGCACCCCCGGCGCCCACTGAGGGTCTTAGATGGGAGTGTGGTCGCGCATCTCGGGGAGCAGCCGTAGTGCGGGCACGGCTGCAGGGCGGTCTGGGCGGGAGGCAGGCCACGCCCCTGGCTGGGGGCACCAGACACCTCAGCAGCCGCATGCTAGGACAGACCTGCGATGCGGCCAGGACCCTCGGCCTGTCATAGCCACAGTGTCTGGGGGAGGTCTGACAGGGGCCGCACCCCCCGTCCCTGGGTAGGACGGGCACCGCTGCTGTGGACACGGCCCCACATGGCTTCTTTCTGGGAGCTGGGCCCCCCACCACGTAGGCTGCGAACGCTGCCTGGGAATCGGAAGTCCTATTGTCTGACCTATGGAAACACCTGAAACAGCGTCACCCCAAGACCTGCGGAGCCCTGGGAGCTGTGCTGAGGGGGAAGCGTCCCCAGTGCCAGGGTCCACAACCCTTGCTCAGGTTCCTGCTGTCGCTCGTGTTGAGGGCATGGGGCCGCCTCCTCCAGGGAGGCAGCGGGACAGGGTGAACGCAGTGGCCCAGGCACTGACGGAGGGCTTGGACATGGCCGGGGGAGAGCAAAGAGCCTTCCAGAGGCTGCAGACGCCCCTGGGACCTTCTGAGGGTCTTACAAAGGATGCGGGCACAGCAGGCGTGGTGGGGGGCTCCGATTACTCCCTGGGACACTTGGGAGGACCTCGGGCCATGGCTGTGAGCACCGAAAACACCATCTTACTGGCTTACACATAGGGAGAGTCAGGCCCTGGTGGCCCAGCCCGGTGCCCACACTGGCCACTATGCCTGAGGATTGGGGCTCTGTCTGCAGACACCCCACAAACGGCTGCTATGGGTCAGCTGGCAGTGAAGGGTTGGACCCAGGAACAGCTGGTGGTTTGTTGGGACCTGAGAAGGTTCTGGTCACAGACACACGCACTCTTGGCCTGGTGCATGGCTGTCCCTGTCCCCCGTTTGCTTGGGCACCAGGTCACCTGGTGCCCCACCCAGTGGAGTCTCAGTGGAAGGCAGCTCGGAGCCTGGTCACAGCACCAGTACCATGGCCTCCTGCAACTCCGCCTGTCGTCGTGAAAGGGGACCCCAACCAGGGCTGTCCGGACAGGGGGCCGCCTCCCCGTCCGCACCCAGGTGTCGGGGAAGGAGCTGTCTGGCGGAGGAATCAGGCCCTGGACATGCTGTCCAAGCCCGAGGGGTGGGGCACCGAGAGAGGCTCCGGTCGGGGCGCCTGGTCATTTATGCCCAGGCTGGGTCGTGGGGCTCCTGGTGCTGCACCAGCAGGCTGGGCCCACTCTGGGCTCTGCCCGCGTGTGGGAGATGGGCACACCTCTGGGGGGTCTTCTGCCAGTGCCAGGTCCACAGCAGTTGGGGCCCCACCGGCAGCTACATGTTGGGCTGGCACCCATGGGGGGCAGTGTCCCAGGACAGGCATGCTGGCCATGATCCACAGGTGTGTGGGCAGTGGGAGACCAGGTGGGGCCCTTCTGCACAGGGCTCGGTGCGCCTGTGCCCTTCAGGACCGCGGGGGACTGCGGGGGGAGGGGGAGGGAGGAGCTCCAGTGACCAAGGGGCCACAGTCGGGGAGCCTGAGCCACCCGGAGGTGCGGCCTGCGCCAGGGAAGGTTGGTGCTTGGAGCCGCTCAGTGAAACTCGGTCCCCGAAGGCCCTCGTCGCTGCCCACGTGTCGTTCCGCGCGGCAGGGGCTGTCCTGGCACAGCAGAACGGTGGCAGCCTGCCCGGGCACCAGTGCAAAGTGCTGCGGGGATGCCCCTCCCCCACCGCTCTGCCAGCAGGCCACCCACTGCTCCAGTCCCAGGGCCTGGCCGTCCCACAGTGAGGGTCACGGGTCAGAGCACCCAGACACCGAGGCGAGGGGTGAAAGGGCTTGACTGTCGAAGCTTCCAAACCTGGGCAGCGCCTGCGGGCGGCCGGCCCGCCTCGCTGCCCCCAGACGTGCACGCGGCAGGTCAGTTCCAGCCTGTGAGACCACCTGCCGGGCCCGGTCACCGGGTTCCCTCGGCTCCGCGTCCCCACGTTCAGTGTGAGTGCTCAAGCGACTACGCACGCAACTGTGAACTCCGTGAAGAACAGCGAGTCGGAGCTGGGGTGCACCGGGCAAGGAGCTGCTCCCCGTCAGGCCAGAACGAGACAGGGCGTCAGCCCACTTCTTCCTCTCTGTCCTGTCGACGAGGGAGCTGATGGCTCGGTCCACCTAAGTGAGGAGCCAGCCCTGTCACCCACTCTTTCAGATCCCCCCGTGCGTCAGAAGCCACGAGTTAACGTGAGACAAGCCACCCCCCAGCGTGGTCCGTCCCCACGGACCTGGAGGGGTCCCTCCAGTCTGGGCCAGCGCAGAGGGAGGACCGCTGCGCCCCCTTCTCTCCTCCCACGGGTCCTCCTGGGAGGGCACACGGCGGGGGGCTGGCTCTGGGTCTCCGCAGGATTCGTGTCCCTGGGCAGGGGTCACCGGGGACTTCTGCTCACCGCCGCGCCCCCTGGGAGTGAGGGCTGCAGGGTTCCAGACCCAAACCTCAGCTCTGCCAGGGGCCCCCACAGCTTCCTCCGTGAGGTGGGGGAACACCCGCGGGCGCTTCCTGGAGCGGGTGGCACCCGCTCACGCAGTCCCCAGTGTGCGCTGAGCGTTCAGTGTGTCCAGGGGCAACCCCACACGGGCTGCGGCCCGGGGGGCCTGTCTGAGGCCATGTCAAGGTCAGCAGCGCGCCTCTGCACCGGAACCGCCACCGACACAGGAAGCTGTGTGTCCAGGAAGCAGCCTAACAGGCCAACCCCACGAGCCTGTACAGATAACTAATGTCTTCCCAGGGCGTGGAGGGGACCCGCGTACACGGAGGGCTGTGCTCTGACTGCAGCTCGGATTCCAACTTCCCCAGGCACGTGCCTGCAAGGCAGTGCGCGCCCCCCAAGGCGATGCACCCGCAAAGCGATGCGCCCCCAAGGCGATGCACCCCCCAAGGCGATGCACCCCCCAAGGTGATGCACTCGCAAAGCGATGTGCCCCCAAGGCGATGCGCCCCCCAAGGCGATGCACCCCCAAGGTGATGCACCCACATGGCGATGCACCTGCAAGGCGATGCAACCCCAAGGCAATGACCCCCAAGGCAATGCGCCCGCATTGAACATTCCAACTGGACATGTATGTCAGAACGTGGCCAAGTCCAGGAAGCGTGGAGAAGTCAAGGTCGCAGACCCCACGTCAGGGTGGAGGGGCAGCGGTGGAGGCGCCTCTGGAGCCCGGCAAAGGGACAGACCCTCACAGGGGCGAGGACACCTGCCGGCTTAGGGAAAGGGTGTCCAGCTGGCTTTCTGGAGGGGGCCTGCTGACACGATGGGGCTCAGGGGCGAGCTCCCCCTGGGGCTGGTAGGCTTGGCTGGGTGCAGAAATTTCCTGAAACTTTCAGTCACAAGTTACTTAAACTGAACCATTCACCTCAGGAGAGAAACAAAATTGGAGACCACCATCCGACGGAGCCATGGAAAAACAAGCATGAAAGGAACCCTGTCCCTCTGAGGGACGCTGGGATGCCCATCGCCTCATAAGGATCATCCAGACTACAGAAAAGAAGGCCTGGCCCCTGTGGCTCAGTTGGCGGGGTGTCGTCCTGTGCGCCGAGAGGTCGCAGGTTCAGTTCCTGGTCAGGGCGCATGCCCGGTTGCAGGCTCGATCCCCAGTGGGAGGCGTGCAGGAGGCAGCCAGTCGATGTTTCTCTCTCACATCGATGTTTGTCTCTAAAAAAAAAAAAAAAAAAAAAATCAATCCAGATATTGTTTAAAATTCTTTCATTCATATATATATCACCCTGGCCGGTTTGGCTCAGCAGTTAGAGCATCAACCCGAGGATCAAAGTGTCGCGGGTTGGCTTCTGGTCAAGGGCACGTACCTCAGTTGCTGTTCATCCCTGGCCCTGGCCATGTGGGAGGCAGCCAGTTGGTGTGCCTCTCACGTCGATGTTTTTCTCTCTCTCTTTCCCCCTCCCACTCTGTCTAAAGATAAACAGAAAAATGTCCTCAGATGAGGATTAAAAAATATATATATATATTTGGGGGGGAAAGGTGGTTTTTGACTACATCGAAATTAAGGATTTCTCTTGAGACCCTATGGATAAACCGGGCAGAGAGCTCGGAGGAGAGCTGACAGCTGATCGACCAAAAGCCAGAGAGACAGGCACACGGCGACCCCAGGGCAGCAGACCCCAGCACACAGACATGGGGACAGTGAAGACTGCTACGGGACAGCACCTCTTTTCCATGAGGGGGTGTGGCCTCACCCTTCTGGAAAGCAG